TGCACACACCAATCAGCCTTTGTTAACACAACAGAAATGATAAGCACATATTTAATTGAAAACCTACATAAAATGTATATACAGCGCATTTGGAAAGTATTCAGACCTCTCGACTTTTTCCATATTTTGTTACGTTACAGCCTTATTCTAAAATGGATAAAATTAAGTTTTCCTCATCAATCTACACACAATACCCCATAATGACAAAGTGAAAACAGTTTTTTAGAAATGTATTAAAAATAAAAAACAGAAATACCTTATATAAGTATTCAGACCCTTTGCTATGAGACTCGAAATTGAGCTCAGGTGCATCCTGTTGATATTTCTACAACTTGAATGGAGTCCACCTGTGGTAAATTAAATTAATTGGACATGATTTGGAAAGGCACACACCTATCTATATAAGGTCCCACAGTTGACAGTGCATGTCAGAGCAAAAACCAAGCCATGAGGTCGAAGGAATTGTCCGTAGAGATCCGAGACAGGATTGTGACGAGGCACAGATCTGGGGAAGGGTACAAAAAAAGTATGCAGCATTGAAGATCCCCAAGAACATAGTGGCCTCCATCATTCTTAAATGGAAGAAGTTTGGAACCACCAAGACTCTTCTTAGAGCTGGCCGCCTGGCCAAACTGAGCAATCGGGGGAGAAGGGGCTTGGTCGGGGAGGTGACCAAGAACACGATGGTCACTCTGACAGAGATGGGAGAACCTTCCAGAAGGACAACCATCTCTGCAGCACTCCACCAATCAGGCCTTTATCATAGAGTGGCCAGACTGAAGCCACTCCTCAGTAAAAGGCACATGACAGACCGCTTGGAGTTTGCCAAAAGGCACCAATAGACGCTCAGACCATGAGAAACAGGATTCTCTGGTCTGATGAAACCAAGATTGAACTCTTTGGCCTGAATGCCAAGCGTTCATGTCTGGAGGAAACCTGGCACCATCCCTACGGTGAAGCATGGTGGTGGCAGCATCATGCTGTGGGGATGTTTTTCAGCGGCAGGGACTGGGAGACTAGTCAGGATCGAGGCAAAGATGAACAGAGCAAAGTACAGAGAGATTCTTGATGAAAACATGCTCCAGAGCGCTCAGGACCTCAGACTGGGGCGAAGGTTCACCTTCCCATAGGACAACGACCCTAAGCACACAGCCAAGACAACACAGGAGTGGCTTCGAGACAAATCTCTGAATGTCCTTGAGTGGCCCAGCCAGAGCCCGGACATGAACCCGATCTAACATCTCTGGAGAGACCGGAAAATAGCTGTGCAGCAACGCTCCCCATCCAACCTGACAGAGCTTGAGAGGATCTGCAGAGAAGAAAGGGAGAAACTCCTCAAATACAGGTGTGCCAAGCTTGTAGCGTCATACCCAAGAAGACTCTAGGCTGTAATTGCTGCCATAGGTGCTTCAACAAAGTACTGAGTAAAGGGTCTGAATACTTATGTAAATGTGATATTTCCAATTTAAAAAATATATAAATTAGCAAACATTTCAAAACTACTGTTTTTGAATTGTGTGTAGATTGTAAAAAAAAAAAAATAAGTCGGTAACCTAACAAAATGTGGAAAAAGTCAAGGGGTCTGAATACTTTCTGAAGGCTTTTCCAACACTCTGGAAAGAGTTCCCACATATGCTGAGCACTTGTTGGCTGCTTTTCCTTCACTCTGCTGTCCGACTCATACCAAACCATCTCAATTGGGTTGAGGTCAGGGGATTGTGGAGGCCAGGTCATCTGATGCAGCACTCCATCACTCTCCTTCTTGGTAAATAGCCCTTACACAGCCTGGAGGTGTTGGGTCATTGTCCTGTTGAAAAACAAATGATAGTCCCACTAAGCCCAAACCAGATGGGATGGCGTATCGCTGCAGAATGCTGTGGTAGCCATGCTGTTTAAGTGTACCTTGAATTCTAAATAAATTACAGTGTCACCAGCAAAGCACCCCACACCATAACACCTCCTCCTCCATACTTTATGGTGGGAACCACACATGCGGAGATCATCCGTTCACCCACACCACGTCTCACAAAGACACGGTGGTTGGAACCAAAAATGTTTCTTTGCCCAAGCAGGTCTCTTCTTATTGGTGTCCTTTAGTGGTGGTTTCTTTGCAGCAATTCGACCATGAAGGCCTGATTCACACAGTCTCCTCTGAACAGTTGATGTTGAGATGTGTCGGTTACTTGAACTCTGTGAAGCATTTATTTGGGCTGCAATCGGAGGTGCAGTTAACTCTAATGAACTTATCCTCTGCAGCAGAGGTAACTCTTGGTCTTCCATTCCTGTGGCGGTCCTCATGAGGCAGTTTCATCATAGCGCTTGATGGTTTTTGTGACTGCACTTGAAGAAACTTTAAAAGTTCTTGAAATGTTCAGTCAATCTGGAAAATGTCAAGAACTTCGAAAGTTTCTTCAAGTGCAGTCGCAAAAACCATCAAACGCTATGATGAAACTCGCTCTCATGAGGACCACCACAGGAAAGGAAGACCCAGAGTTACCTCTGCTGCAGAGGATAAGTTCATTTGTTAACTGCACCTCAGAAATTGCAGCCCAAATAAATGCTTCACAGAGTTCAAGTAACAGACTTCTTGGTCAAATTGCTGCAAAGAAACCACTACTACAGTATACCAATAAGAAGAAGAGACTTGCTTGGGCCAAGAAACACAAGCAATGGACATTAGACTGGTGGAAATCTGTCCTTTAGTCTGATGAGTCCAAATTTGAGATTTTTGGTTCCAACCGCCGTGTCTTTGTGAGATGCAGAGTAGGTGAATGGATGATCTCTGCATGTGTGGTTCCCACCGTGAAGCATGGAGGAGGTGGTGTGATGGTGCTTTGCTGGTGACACTGTCAGTGATTTATTTAGAATTCAAGGCACACTTAACCAGCATGGCTACCATAGCATTCTGCAGCGATACGCCATCCCATCTGGTTTGCGCTAAGTGGTCCTATCATTTGTTTTTCAACAGGACAATGACCCAAAACACACCTCCAGGCTGTGTAAGGGCTATTTGACCAAGAAGGAGGGTGATGGAGTGCTGCTTCAGATGACCTTGCCTCCACAATCACCCAACCTCAACCCAATTGAGATGATTTGGGATGAGTTGGACCGCAGAGTGAAGGAAAAGCAGCCAACAAGTGCTCAGCATTTGTGGGAACTCCTTCAAGACTGTTGGAAAAGCATTCCTCATGAAGAGGGTTGAGAGAATGCCAAGAGTGTGCAAAGCTGTCATCAAGGCAAAGGGTGGCTACTTTGAAGAATCTAAAATCTATTTTCATTTGTTTAACACTTTTTTGGTTACTACGTGATTCCATGTGTTATTTCATAGTTTTGATGTCTTCACTATTATTCTACAATGTAGAAAATAGTAAAAAATAAAGAAAAACCCTTGAATGAGTAGGTGTGTCCAAACTTTTGACTGGTTCTGTATATACACACACACTGCTTTCCCTTTGTCTGCGAACGCGAAAGAGCAAGGGAAGAGTGAAAATCAAATTGCAAACATAAATCAACCTCCCACATCTGATCTCTGATATAACATGACATGACATGTCTCTTATGTGGGAACATAACAAACCAAGGTGCCACCGCTTGCTCCTCTGTAATAACTTTAGATGGGTCCCGCCCTGGGAGAACCTGTTATGTCCCCTTTATATTTCAATTCACTGCACCTGAATGGTTGATTGATTGCAGAAGGAGAATAACCTGCAATAGAGATGTCCAATAATTTTCCAATAAAGATATCCAATTATATTACACATTACAATAGAGATGTCCAATAACATTAAAGAGGAGTCTGGATGTGTCTTTTGCTAAACATGGTTCTTTTCTATCACAATAACCCCAATAGGTCCATTTGAGTGCACTAAAGCAACACTTGTCATTGTAACATGTTATCAAGCAATCCTTTTGAAATATCTTTGTATGCTCCCTGCTGACTAGATGTCAACAGCTCTCCTGATTTGCATGGCAGAGTTCTAGGGGAGTAATTGGGCTTCTGTAAGCATCACTGTGTGGTCTGGTCTGGTCTGGAGGGAGTCATGGGGTCCCAGTCCCACAGCACAGCCCCTCACTCTGACAACATCACGGAGGCCTGTAAACTGTCCAACAGCACAGCGACCAGTCCCAACACGAAGTCAGAAATCAGATGTCAGCAACCACTATTCGCAATAAAATTAAGCCCATCTCTCACCCGTCAGTTCAGCTTCTACTGTAGCTATATATTCACATCATTACAGAAAAATACATGGTCTGGTCTCCAATAGTGAAATGACACCCCTGGTGGACACGAGTGGATTGAATCAATCTAAATCAGAGCTGGTCAAGTATTCAGAGGTTTTACTTGTTACAACTGAAGTGGATGAAAAACGAATTAATCTGGAGACCTTGATTTTGCGACAATGTGCGAAAGAGTCTAGAGATGGCTATTCATCACAGTGCTCTGGACAAGTAGGCAATGCAGAGGCAAAGAGGTTTTAAATTGAAAACCATAACGCTCATTAGCTCAACACTCAGCATAAAGGGGAATCAGAAGTTGCATTAGCCACAAGAGGGTGCCTGAACAAAATTACATCTGTAAATTGATTAGACTAAATAGAGTAACTGATATTGTATAAATGCATATTCAGCCCAGATGAACTCCACACTGTGCTTAAAAGTATAATTGATCTGTTAAGTCAGGATGCAGTTAACAGTAGGAATTCATTATGTTTAATACTGTAGTTTACCAAAACATTGAGAAAATAATTATTGTACATTGTCCCAATAAGTACAATAGTAGCTACTGGTACAATAATCATCCCAGTGCAATAATTATTGCACATAATACATTGTCCCAATAACAGTAGAACATGTGAATCTGAAATTACACTTTAGGATAGCATCAATGAATAGGTCAACCCAATTGATCAATGTACAAAAAACATTTCATTTATTTAAGTATGAAGTGCTTCAAAACCAACATATCTTCAGGAAAAAGCTAGAGATAACAGATATGAGGGAAAAAAATAATCACTATCTGTTATTCTCTATATCAAAAGGAGGCATGTTCTGCACAGCCAGACCGTACAGATGGTGTTCCTATCACCTGTAAATGATTACCCATCACTAAATCTCACACAGCGTGATTACACACATGGGACACAGAGTGGGCCTTCCCCAGCCAGCCAGCTGCACCGCGCAGCTCAACCTCTACTGTACATCTAGGACCATCAGTGGGAAGAGGAGAAGGAGATGGGGCCATGGTGGGGGTTGTGCTACAGGGGGTAGGCAGGGCCGCCATTAGGCCCCCTGGATCAGGCCTGTGCTAGCCTCTCGATGACTCTCCTGTACTCGGCCAGCACCTCCTGGTAGCTTTTCTCCAGCTCCTCCTGCTGCAGCGCCGTGTCCATCTGACTGATGTGGGACGCCAGCTCCTCTGGCCGCAGACACTTCATCATCTTGGTCAGCTCCCGCTGGTTCTTCTAAGCACACAATAAAGACATACACTGGTTAATGCACTGCGTTTGTGTAAAATCCCCATGCTAGTTTCCCCAAGACTTTGCATTATTAGCTTGTGTTAGCCATGTTTTTTTATTGGAGCAAAACAGAAAATGCTGTATGGTATTTTGCGAATGCATCTGTTAAGTTTTGATTGCAATTAGCAGCAGGGAATCTTACATAATGCACGTTTAACTGACAAGACCAAGTTAATATTGTTCCTTCTCTAGGTCCTCAGATTGCAGACCTGACTGCATCTCATTAATGTCTTAAAACCAAATAGTCAGAGGGGAGGCAAAGGATTCTGTAATTGAGTCCGCAGGAGTGCTGAAAGCTTCTGGACATGGACCAAGAGTCCTCACTCATGTATTTTGTGGCCAGTGCAAAAAAGTTTGTTGTGTACACACACTTTCTCTCACGCTCTTGGGAATCGGGGAAGAGAAGTTGAGCAGAGACGTGAAATCATCCACACATTCACAGAAAGGAGGACACTGCCATTCAGCTAACTACAAACCAAACCTCCCCAAAAACAAATCAGCCTGCTGCATCTGGCCGCCAGATCTCTCCACTCCACAGCCAGTCTCCCAAGGAATTCCTACTTCCTTTTTCACCACAGACCTTTTTCCTCCGCAGATATTGGCCTTTTTTTTTGTATATGATCACGCATCTCTCTATTATGCGTGGTAATAATTCGAAACAGATTTCCAAAAATAAAATCACTTGGAGCTGATTTACTGGTGTTTTTTTACAGTCTTTTATGTCCAACAATAAAAAATACATTAAAATAAAGACATGCGGGGAGGGGGGCAAATATAAACACCCACGGGCCAAATTCGGCACGCGGGCCACCAGTTGTAGAACCTGCTGTAATGGCTGATATCCTCGGTTTCAATGAGACACTCAAAAATGACATGTCATGGAACATACATAATATGTAAATCAATATTATCCTGTAAATACAAAATTAGTAACAGTTTGTATAATCAAATTTCAAAAAGCACAGTAAGAGTGCTGATATAAAACTTGTGCTATTTGGCAAGCAGATTCTCTAACTGCTTGAATATGTGCTGTTAGCAACCTACTTCTACCTAAATTACTCCCCCCTCCTAATGACATGCAAATCCTGCATAATGACACTGCTCTGAATGGAATTGAATCCTGGGGTAACAATACTGTGGAGGCCTGCCGTGCTCCATTGTATCGCCAATAATAAGCCTTTGGTACTCCAGACATTTTCCTGCACCTGGGGAATAATCGGTCTCCTTATTCTAGACAAAGTCATGCAACATAAGTTACAAGACACAACAAGAAGTACAGTATCTCACAAAGGTGAGTACACCCCTCACATTTTTGTAAATATTTGAGTATATCTTTTCATGTGACAACAGTGAAGAAATTACACTTTGCTACAATGTAAAGTAGTGAGTGTACAGCTTGTATAACAGTGTACATTTGCTGTCCCCTTAAAATAACAACACACAGCCATTAATGTCTAAACCGCTAGCAACAAAAGTGAGTACACCCCTAAGTGAAAATGTCCAAATTGGGCCCAAAGTGTCAATATTTTGTGTGGCCACCATCATTTTCCAGCACTGCCTTAACCCTCTTGGGCATGGAGTTCACCAGAGCTTCACAGGTTGCCACTGGAGTCCTCTTCCACTCCTCCATGACGACATCACGGAGCTGGTGGATGTTAGAGACCTTGCACTCCTCCACCTCCCGTTTGAGGATGCCCCACATATGCTCAATATGGTTTAGGTCTGGAGACATGCTTGGCCAGTCCATCACCTTTACCCTCAGCTTCTTTAGCAAGGCAGTGGTCGTCTTGGAGGTGTGTTTGGGGTCGTTATCATGTTGGAATACTGCCCTGTGGCCCAGTCTCCGAAGGGAGGGGATCATGCTCTGCTTCAGTATGTCACAGTACATGTTGGCATTCATGGTTCCCTCAATAAACTGTAGCTCCCCAGTGCCGGCAGCACTCATGCAGCCCCAGACCATGACACTCCCACCACCATGCTTAACTGTAGGCAAGACACACTTGTCTTTGTACTCCTCACCTGGTTGCCGCCACACACGCTTGACACCATCTGAACCAAATACGTTTATCTTGGTCTCATCAGACCACAGGACATGGTTCCAGTAATCCATGTCCTTAGTCTGCTTGTCTTCAGCAAACTGTTTGCAGGTTTGCAAGATTGTTCTGCCAATTCTCACATAGGAACTTCATTGGGAGGAAGGATGTTTGAAATGCTTTTTACATTTGTATCACAAACCATTTATTTGAAAATCATGATGAAAGTGGCCATTTTAGACCTATACATGCCTCCTGTAAGACTCTATGATCCATGAACCGTACATGATACAGACAACATCTTGGTTTCTTTATACTCCTTATAGTGTGCTGATTCTGAAAGACAAATGTTCACATTCATTTATTCAACATTCAAAATATTAATATCTCATAACAACCCTTTTAGATTTAGTTAATTTTAAGACATTGTTTGGAACAATATATAAGTACATCAAATTTCCAGAGTGGGCTTTGCTAATTCTGAAGTTATGATACATTTTATGAGCACTACCAACACAGTGAATGGGAAAATGGATTCAAAGGGAACTCCCTGTGCTGATGATTTGCTGATATGCAATCCTAAAGGAGGGCTGTGATTGGTTAATGACCTACACCAGGGGTATTCAACTCTTACCCTATGACGTCCAGAGCCTGCTGGTTCTCTCTTCTACCTGATAATTAATTGCACACACCTGGTGTCCCAGGTCTAAATCAGTCCCTGATTAGAGGGGAATAATGAAAAAATGCAGTGGAACTGACTTCAAGCTCCAGAGTTGAGTTTGAAGGACCTATAATGTCAATTTCTATATATAAAATGGACCATATCATTAAAAGTACCAGAGAGCCCACTCTGAAAATGTGATGTGTTTGAAGAGTATACTTTTCCAAACAATGTCTAAAAATAAGCAAAATCAAAAAAGGGTAGTTGAGATATTCATATTTTTTATGCTGAATATATTAATGTGAAAATGTGTCTTTCAGAATCTAGACATACTCCATAACTTAGAGCACACTATAAGCAGTATAATGACAGCAAGATGTTGTCTGTATCATGTATCGTTCACAGGTCATAAGGTCATACAGGAGGCATGTATAGGTCTAAAAAGGGCCTAAAATGGCCACTTTCATCAAAAACATCAAAAAATTGGTTTGTGATACAAATGTAAATAGCATTTCAAACATCCTTCCTCCCAATTAAGTTCCTATGTGAGATTTACCAGAACAATCAGATAGTATAAATATTTTCTGCTCCCGCTGGTGTGGAATCGCCTTATTATCAAATTAAATCAACTCTGAATTAATCCCAGGTTGTATAGTGCGACTAACAGCCATTCACCACTGATGAAGTCCATAGGGAAATACACAGCCATTACACAGTAGACAAAACCTGCTAATTCCATTTGACTAGAAACTAGAGCACAAGGCGGACACTGCAGGAGGATAGAGGAATGCATTTCACTGGAGAAGCTCTGGTCCTTTCTTTTGAATATACCTTGGTGGGGGCAAATAGCCTCTTTTTGACTTCCAGACGGTAATCTCTTGCTTTCGTCTCATCGCTCATGTCCATCACCCTCAGTCGCAGGATTTCATACACTCGTCTTGCGTGTTTCTGTATGGGCAAAAACAGGACAGGGCCATTAGTACCTTTAAGAAACCATACAGTCTGTCTCCACAATCATCTAGAAAAGACTGAGCCAATTTCTTAGTTCGCTTGAGGTTTGGTTGAGCTAGTCAGGACCTCCTTGTACAATGCTGAGGTGACTGAAGCCTCATGGAAGAGCCATGGCGGAGTGAGAAACAACAATTTGGTCTCGCGACACCATGGGCATTAGGGCTGGGACGATACCAGTATCGCAATATTTTTTCCATGGCAAAAATGAAAACATGACGCAGAATAAGTGCAGTAAGATAAGTGAGTGCCCACCCCTTTAGATGAAATGGTACATTTTCCCTCTAGGACTGGAGAGCCATGGGTTAATGACTGAATTTGTCCAATAAGGGTTTTGTGAAAAGAAAAAAGCCTTAAGATCCTTTGAAAGTACAGTAATCAAATGTATCCTCCTCTGGGCTTTATGGCTAAAGCTGCTGTTGACCTTGTTTATCTTTAACTTCTCCCTGGCCTCTGTGGCCATGTCATCACTGAAGCCCAGCGGAAGCTTGTCTGTGGAGAATGACGGCAGTGTTTGGCAGAGCTTGACCAGAACGTAGTCTCTCAGCTTCACGTAGTTCTCTGAGGGGTCTTCAGCTGACAAGAACATCAGAAAACAAGACATTACACACAAGCTTGGGATTCCATTTAAAATAAATATATATTACATACAATTACATCAAATGTTAGGTATTCTCAAACTGTTCACCTCTACCACCCCAACACATCCAAGGCTAAAGTTTTCAATACAGGCATATATTCAGGTCCCATGGATTCCTGACACAGTCAAATAATTACACCATTGTCAAAGTATGATTGTGGGTGCATGTGTCAAGCACAGTTCTGCTAAAGCTGCTTGCATTTACATTTTATCTAGCTCCCACTGCGGTTTTGGAAAAATTCAGTACAGAGCAACATGGAGAGGATTTAAAGCCACATGGAATAAGAAAACCTACTTCCAGCAGGAGCTGTCCATTCAAAGACCACATTCAAAGTAGAGGGGAAAATAGACAGGAAAAAAGGGGGTGCCCCTCTGGACAGGAGAGCGGAGATGCTACTCTGTTATTCAGGGACTGCAGATGTAAATTAGCTGTCAGCTACATCTGGTGCAACGCATCACTTCTCATCTCTGAGACTTACGTTTTGTTGTACATTGTCCCTGGCAAATAAACTTAAATAAAAATAAATTCATTACATTTTCCTATGTAAATCAATTATTTGTGTGTAACTGCTTTATATTTAACCACGTAAATACATGTATGAAATTGTATGTGTGAAACTCTAGCACAGTTTTAGCCTCCTTCCCAAACTGAAACATCATAAGATAAACTCATTTTGTGTTGGTTACATTGACACATACACACACACCTGTAATGTCCTGTACTTTAGGCAGATTGCAGTAGAACCTGTGCACTGCCTCCAGCAGCTGGGCTCCATGACCCTCTCCTTGGAACGGCGGCAGGATCAGCATTTGGCTGTTCAGAAGGACACCAGGCCAACACACACAAAGACATGAAAGAACAGCCTTGCTGACCTCTGCCAGAACTATCAAACCCGTCGTCATTCACAGAAAAAAGGCAACCTTGTATATGACTGATCAGATCTCGATGTTAAGATAATCATCTGAGAAAGAAAGAATGAAAAAGCAAACTTTCATAATTTATGATATCATGGAATAATGTACAGTGCCTTCAGAAAGTATTCACACCCCTTGACTTTTTCCACATTTTGTTCTGTTACAGCCTGAATTTAAAATAGATTAAATTGAGATTTTCTTGTCACTGGCCTACACACAATACCCCATAATGTCAAAGTGGAATTATGTTTTTTGAATTTTTCACAAATTAATTAAAAATGAAAAATGGTACTGTCTTGAGTCAATAAATATTCAACCCCTTTGTTATGGCAAGCCTAAATAAGTTCAGGAGTAAACATGTGCTTAAGAAGTCACATGATAAGTTGCATGGACTCACTCTGTGTGCAATAATAGTGTTTAACAAGATTTCTGAATGACTACTTCATCTCTGTACCCCACACATACAATTATCTGTAAAGGTCCCTCAGTCGAGCAGTGAATTTCAAACACATATTCAACCACAAAGACCAGGAAGGTTTTCCAATGCCTCGCAAAGAAGGGCACTTATTTGTAAAAATAAAAAAAGCAGACATTGAATATCCCTTTTAGCATGGTGAAGTTATTAATGACACTTTGGATGGTGTATCAATACACCCAGTCACTACAAAGATACAGGCGTTCTTCCTAACTCAGTTGCCGGAGAGGAAGGAAACAGCTCAGGGATTTCACCATGAGGCCAATGGTGACTTTAAAACAGTTAAAGAGTTTAATGGCTGTGGTAGGATCAACAACATTGTAGTTACTCCACAATACTAACCTAACTGACAGATTGAAAAGAAGGAAGCTTGTACAGAATAAAACATATTCAAAAACATTCATCCTGTTTGCAACAAGGCACTAAAGTAATACCGCAAAGAATGTGGCAAAGCAATTAACTTTTTGTCCTGAATACAAAGTGTTATGTTCGGGGCAAATCCAATACAACACATTACTGAGTAATGTGTTATTTTCAAGCATAGTGGTGGCTGCCTCATGTTATGGGTATGCTTGGAGAGTTTTTCAGGATAAAAAAGGAACGGAATGCAGCTAAGCACAGGCAAAATCCTAGAGGAAAACCTGGTTCAGTCTGCTTTCCACCAGACACTGGGAAATTAAATCACATTTCAGCAGGACAATAACCTAAAACACAAGGCCAAATCTACACTGGTGTTGCTTACCAAGAAGACAGTGAATGTTCCAGAGTGGCCGAGTTACAGTTTAGACTTAAATCTATTTGAAAATCTATGGCAAGACCTGTAAACGGTTGTCTAGCAATGATCAACAAACAATTTGACAGAGGTTAAAGAATTTTGAAAAGAATAATGTGCAAATGTTGCACAATCCAGGTGTGGAAAGCTCTTAGAGACTTACCCAGAAAGACTCACAGCTGTAATCACTGCCAAAGGTGCTACAAAGTACTGACTCAGGGGTGTGAATAATTATGTAAATGAGATCCTGTATTTCATTTTCAATACATTTGCTACAATTTCTAAAAACATGTTTTCACTGTCATTATGGGGTATTGTGTGTAGATAGATGAGAATAAATCCATTTAATCCATTTTGAATTCAGGCTGTAACACAAAATGTGGAATAAGTCAAGGGGTATGAATACTTTCTGAAGGCACTGTACTAATGAATTGAAATTGAGGGAGCTCTTTTCACGTGATTATAAGAAACGTAACAAATTGTTATGTCATGTCCATCAAGACATCAAACAAAATGCTTATTTACAGGCAAAGCTTTTTTGTTGTTGAAGATACTGATAATTTTGGCTCCCATATGAGTCAGAGCGGGGTTGGATGGTTGGATACATAAGCCAGTAATTTGGGATTTTTGTAAGACTAGGGAAACAGAAATATATAATTTTCCTCTCCTTTTTTGTACAAAAGAATGGGAAGGCACGTGCTCCCCTAGCAATTACCTTACACGTGGTCGGGTTTTGTCTGGATACACATAGTAATTATAAACTGACATGTAGCCAACAGTTGCGAAGAGAGTCTCCCCATCCTTATCGTACTTCTCAAATCTGCAGATAAAACACAAAGGCAAGCAGGTCAATTACAGGCACACTCCCATGCCTCGTCCATTTTCTCCTCTCCATTCTCTGGGCCCCTTTTTCAGTGTCAGCATGCTGGAGCAGCCAGACCCGTCCCGATCCGTACACCTGCTACAACCTGAATACGTTAAGCACTTAATTGGAGGACTGCAACTTAGAAGAGGAGAAGAGGGGTAGAAAGGGGATTGAGGCCCTCCACATCACTTCAGTCCATTTACCCATTGTCACTATAAATAGGTGCCAGGATAAAGAAAACACTGGCAGAGGCTCTTTTAACTGTTTGAGATGTCATTCAGTGTTTCAAAAGACAACCATGTTCAATTCAGCTCTTGCCCTGAATTTTTTTTATGAAAAGGGTTTTCAACACAAAGGTGCCTCTTGCCAGATCAACAATTCTCCAATAACCAGGGAAAATAAAATCAAACTGGCCTGGTAATTGGTCGCGAGCACCTCAAAGGAGCCCATTGTTTCTGAATGAGTCAATGAATTGGTTTGTGGAGCGTGACGTTGGTTAAGGAGGGCACCACTCACACGAGAAAGAAGTCCCAACGATCGTCGTCCACGTCGATGAAGCTGGCCGTCTCAATGAACCACAAGAGGAAGGTCTGCAGGCGCTCATGGTAGTCTCTGAATCCCGGCCACGACACGTCCACCTAGAGAACACAGCACACAGAGAAGGTCTGAGGACAGTCTAAGTAATGAAAAATAAGCAGAGCACCCTCATACTGAAATAATCTGCAAGTCATACAGGTGACATGGAAAGCACAGTTATCTGTATATAATTACATATAGTACTGTATACTGTAGGAACAAGGACTAGAAAGTGAACCTTGTGAATCTGGTAGGTAAGGTTTTCTCCCGCCTCCACATTGTGAATGTGGTATGTGTGAAGCAGGGTGCCGAAGGGTTTGAAGTTGGCCTCCTTCTCCAACAATGAGATGAAGTCGTCCGTGTTGCAGCTGAACCCAGCAGGGATGATCTCCCGGATCTTCCCTTCAACATCATCAGGCTGCAGGGAGGAAAGAACAGGGTTTACGGGCAGCATCTTGTATGAGGGAAAGTAGCCTTGTATTTACAGTTGAAGTCAGAAGTTTACATACAGTGGGGGAAAAAAGTATTTAGTCAAATCAAATCAAATTTTATTGGCCACATGCGCCGAATACAACAGGTGCAGACATTAAAGTGAAATGCTTACTTACAGCCCTTAACCAACAGTGCATTTATTTTTAACAAAAAAGTAAAAATAAAAACAACAACAAAAAAAGTGTTGAGAAAAAAAGAGCAGAAGTAAAATAAAATAACAGTAGGGAGGCTATATATACAGGGGGGTACCGGTGCAGAGTCAATGTGCGGGGGCACCGGCTAGTTGAGGTAGTTGAAGTAATATGTACATGTGGGTAGAGTTAAAGTGACTATGCATAAATAATTAACAGAGTAGCAGCAGCGTAAAAGGATGGGGTGGGGGGGCAGTGCAAATAGTCTGGGTAGCCATGATTAGCTGTTCAGGAGTCTTATGGCTTGGGGGTAGAAGCTGTTGAGAAGTCTTTTGGACCTAGACTTGGCACTCCGGTACCGCTTGCCGTGCGTTAGCAGAGAGAACAGTCTATGACTAGGGTGGCTGGAGTCTTTGACAATTTTGAGGGCCTTCCTCTGACACCGCCTGGTATAGAGGTCCTGGATGGCAGGAAGCTTGGCCCCAGTGAGGTACTGGGCCGTACGCACTACCCTCTGTAGTGCCTTGCGGTCGGAGGCCAAGCAGTTGCCATACCATGCGGTGATGCAACCAGTCAGGATGCTCTCGATGGTGCAGCTGTAGAATTTTTTGAGGATCTGAGGACCCATGCCAAATCTTTTCAGTCTCCTGAGGGGGAATAGGCTTTGTCGTGCCCTCTTCACGACTGTCTTGGTGTGTTTGGACCATGATAGTTCGTTGGTGATGTGGACACCAAGGAACTTGAAGCTCTCAACCTGTTCCACTACAGCCCCGTCGATGAGAATGGGGGCGTGCCCAGTCCTCTTTTTTTTCCTGTAGTCCACAATCATCTCCTTTGTCTTGGTCACGTTGAGGGATAGGTTGTTGTCCTGGCACCACACGGCCAGGTCTCTGACCTCCTCCCTATAGGCTGTCTCATCGTTGACGGTGATCAGGCCTACCACTGTTGTGTCGTCTGCAAACTTAATGATGGTGTTGGAGTCGTGCCTGGCCATGCAGTCATGGGTGAACAGGGAGTACAGGAGGGGACTGAGCACGCACACCTGAGGGGCCCCCGTGTTGAGGATCAGTGTGGCAGATGTGTTGTTACCTACCCTTACCACCTGGGGGCGGCCCGTCAGGAAGTCCAGGATCCAGTTGCAGAGGGAGGTGTTTAGTCCCAGGATCCTTAGCTTAGTGATGAGCTTTGAGGGCACTATGGTGTTGAATGGTGAGCTGTAGTCAATGAATAACATTCTCACGTAGGTGTTCCTCTTGTCCAGGTGGGAAAGGGCAGTGTTGAGTGCAATAGAGATTGCATCATCTGTGGATCTGTTGGGGCGGTATGCAAATTGGAGTGGGTCTAGGGTTTCTGGGATAATGCTGTTGATGTGAGCCATGACCAGCCTTTCAAAGCACTTCATGGCTACAGACGTCAGTGCTACGGGTCGGTAGTCATTTAGGCAGGTTATCTTAGAGTCCTTGGGCACGGGGACTATGGTGGTCTGCTTGAAACATGTTGGTATTACAGACTCAGTCAGGGACATGTTGAAAATGTCAGTGAAGACACTTGCCAGTTAGTCAGCACATGCTCGGAGTACACGTCCTGGTAATCCGTCTGGCCCTGCGGCCTTGTGAATGTTGACCTGCTTAAAAGTCTTACTCACATCGGCTACGGAGAGCGTGATCACATAGTCATCCGGAACAGCTGGTGCTCTCATGCATGCTTCAGTGTTGCTTGCCTCGAAGCGAGCATAGAAGTGGTTTAGCTCGTCTGGTAGGCTTGTGTCACTGGGCAGCTCGCGGCTGTGCTTCCCTTTGTAGTCTGTAATAGTTTTCAAGCCCTGCCACATCCGACGAGCGTCAGAGCCAGTGTAGTACGATTCAATCTTAGTCCTGTATTGACTCTTTGCCTGTTTGATGGTTCGTCGGAGGGCATAGCGGGATTTCTTATAAGCGTCCGGGTTAGTGTCCCGCTCCTTGAAAGCGGCAGCTCTACCCTTTAGCTCAGTGCGGATGTTTCCTGTAATCCATGGCTTCTGGTTGGGGTATGTACGTACGGTCACTGTGGGGACGACATCATCGATGCACTTATTGATGAAGCCAGTGACTGATGTGGTGTACTCCTCAATGCAATGCCACCAATTGTGCAAGTTCTCCCACTTAAAAAGATGAGAGAGGCCTGTAATTTTCATCATAGGTACACGTCAACTATGACCGACAAAATGAGGAAAAGAAATCCAGATATTCACATAGTAGGATTTTTTATGAATTTATTTGCAAATTATGGTGGAAAATAAGTATTTGGTCACCTACAAACAAGCAAGATTTCTGGCTCTCACAGACCTGTAACTTCTTCTTTAAGAGGCTCCTCTGTCCTCCACTCGTTACCTGTATTAATGGCACCTGTTTGAACTTGTTATCAGTATAAAAGACACCTGTCCACAACCTCAAACAGTCACACTCCAAACTCCACTATGGCCAAGACCAAAGAGCTGTCAAAGGACACCAGAAACAAAATTGTAGACCTGCACCAGGCTGGGAAGACTGAATCTGCAATAGGTAAGCAGCTTGGTTTGAAGAAATCAACTGTGGGAGCAATTATTAGGAAATGGAAGACATACAAGACCACTGATAATCTCCCTCGATCTGGTGCTCCACGCAAGATCTCACCCCGTGGGGTCAAAATGATCACAAGAACGGTGAGCAAAAATCCCAGAACCACACGGGGGGACCTAGTGAATGACCTGCAGAGAGCTGGGACCAAAGTAACAAAGCCTACCATCAGTAACACACTACGCCGCCAGGGACTCAAATCCTGCAGTGCCAGACGTGTCCCCCTGCTTAAGCCAGTACATGTCCAGGCCCGTCTGAAGTTTGCTAGAGTGCATTTGGATGATCCAGAAGAGGATTGGGAGAATGTCATATGGTCAGATGAAACCAAAATATAACTTTTTGGTAAAAACTCAACTCGTCGTGTTTGGAGGACAAAGAATGCTGAGTTGCATCCAAAGAACACCATACCTACTGTGAAGCATGGGGGTGGAAACATCATGCTTTGGGGCTGTTTTTCTGCAAAGGGACCAGGACGACTTATCCGTGTAAAGGAAAGAATGAATGGGGCCATGTATCGTGAGATTTTGAGTGAAAACCTCCTTCCATCAGCAAGGGCATTGAAGATGAAACATGGCTGGGTCTTTCAGCATGACAATGATCCCAAACACACCGCCCGGGCAATGAAGGAGTGGCTTCGTAAGAAGCATTTCAAGGTCCTGGAGTGGCCTAGCCAGTCTCCAGATCTCAACCCCATAGAAAATCTTTGGAGGGAGTTGAAAGTCTGTGTTGCCCAGTGACAGCCCCAAAACATCACTGCTCTAGGGGAGATCTGCATGGAGGAATGGGCCAAAATACCAGCAACATGTGTGAAAACCTTGTGAAGACTTACAGAAAACGTTTGACCTGTGTCATTGCCAACAAAGGGTATATAACAAAGTATTGAGAAACTTTTGTTATTGACCAAATACTTATTTTCTACCATAATTTGCAAATAAATTCATAAAAAATCCTACAATGTGATTTTCTGGATTTTTTCCCCCTCCTTTTGTCTGTCATAGTTGACGTGTACCTATGATGAAAATTACAGGCCTCTCTCATCTTTTTAAGTGGGAGAACTTTGGTGGCTGACTAAATACTTTTTTCCCCCACTGTACACCTTAGCCAAATACATTTAAACTCTGTTTTTCACAATTCCTGACATTTAATCCTAGTAAAAATTCCCTGTCTTAGGTCAGTTAGGATCACCACTTTTTAAGAATGTGAAATGTCAGAATAATAGTAGTCAGAATGATTTATTTCAGCTTTTATTTCTTTCATCACATTCCCAGTGGGTCAGAAGTTTACATACACTCGATTAGCATTTGGTAGCATTGCCTTTAAAATGGTTTAACTTGGGTCAAACGTTTCAGGTAGCTTCCCACAATAAGTTGAGTGAATTTTGGCCCATTCCTCCTGACAGAGCTGGTGTAACTGAGTCAGGTTTGTAGGCCTCCTTGCTCGCACACACTTTTTCAGTTCTGCCAACACATTTTCTATAGGATTGAGGTCAGGGCTTTGTGATGGCCACTCCAATACCTTGACTTTGTTGTCCTTAAGCCATTTTGACACAACTTTGGAAGTATGCTTGGGGTCATTGTCCATTTGGAAGACCCATTTGCAACCAAGCTTTAACTTCCTGACTGGTCTTGAGATGGTGCCTGTTTGGCGCTCTATTTTATAGTCACAGCATGGCACTTGCGGACTGAAATATGCTACACTTTTATAACAGTGACGCTATCAGTCTTCTAAAGGAAATGTAATGACATAATTGTGCATACCAGCATAAGAATTCCGATCAAAAACATGAGCTATGCATGTGAACTTGATGCATACATAAATGGTAGCAATTGCATCCAGAAGCAATCAAGACTTATATTCGAGGTGAAATAAGATGAACATGGTGGATCTACAGATTTTAAGATTCCACATAATTTTCCTTCCTCATGATGCCATCTATTTTGAGAAGTGCACCAGTCCCTCCTGCAGCAAAGCACCCCCACAGCATGATGCTGCCACCCCCGTGCTTCACAGTTGGGATGGTGTTCTTCGGCTTGCAAGCCGACCCCTTTATCCTCCAAACATAACGATGGTCATTATGGCCAAACAGTTCTATTTTTGTTTCATCAGACATTTCTCCAAAAAGAACGATCTTTGCAACCTTTCAGGTTAGGTCGATATAAGACTTGTTTTACTGTGGATATAGATACTTTTGTACCCGTTTCCCCCAGCATCTTCACAAGGTCCTTTGCTGTTGTTCTGGGATTGATTTGCACTTTTCGCACCAAAGTACGTTCATCTCTAGGAGACAGAACACATCTCCTTCCTGATCGGTATGACGGCTGCGTGGTCCCATGGTGTTTATACTTGCGTACTATTGTTTGTACAGATGAACGTGGTACCTTCAGGCGTTTGGAAGTTGCTCCCAAGGATGAACCAGACTTGTGGAGGTCTACAATTTTTTGCCTGATTTCTTTTGATTTTCCCATGATGTCAAGCAAAGAGGCACTGAGTTTGAAGGTAGGCCTTGAAATACATCCACAGGTACACCTCCAATTGACTCAAATGATGTCAATTAGCCTATCAGAAGCTTCTAAAGCCATGACATCATTTTCTGGAATTTTCCAAGCTGTTTAAAGGCACAGTCAACTTAGTGTATGTAAACTTCTGACCCACTGGAATTGTGAGTGAATTATTGTTGTGTCATGCACAAAGCAGATGTCCTAACCGACTTGCCAAAACTATAATTTGTTAACAAGATATTTGTGGAGTGGTTGAAAAACAAGTTTTAATGACTCCAACCGAAGTGTATGTAAACTTCTGACTTCAAATGTATATGCATTCAATTGTTCCTTTTCTGTTAAAAAAGTATGCTGATTAGCCAGATAAGTATTTGCTAGTAGGACAACTGCAATCTTATAACCTTTAAAGTCCATCATGCATTTGAAATAAAGGTATTTCTTCAACATTTAGTACAATGTGTTTGCTCTTTGATATAGTTGGATCATATAGATTAAACATGTCGAAGGTCTTTATTACAAAGACCTTACAGAGCCTATCTAGTTTTATGGACTATCTGCTGAAATTGAATAATCAGGAAAACTGTGGACATTATTTATTTTTTCCTCTGCCATGTCTAATCACGAACAAGTACCAAAGAAATAAGTTCCTACTGTTCGGTCATTAGGCTATGCTTCAGCCCTGATTGACAGAGAACACAAGGAATTAAAGTGGAAGAATACATATTTTTGTGCCACAAAAAGGAGAACCATTAGGCAATTAAGACTGTCAGCGGAGCAGAGACGACCGCCCCAGTTCCCAACCCCTTGGTAAAAGAGCACTTAATTGAATACATTTACTACTTACGTTTAAACATGAATATTTGATGAAGTCCCCACAATAACGTATTTCTGCATCTCACTGGGCAATAAAATGTCATGAATTGATCTCAACTTAACAAACCTCGGGCATCCATAATAGAGGCCTCTCGTCTAATCCTGGCGAGCGCAACTCAATCAAATGAATTTGCCAAAGAGCCTGGCAGACAAAGGGCCCCCTCCCCCTGGACTTTTTACTCACTAGAATGTGTGGTTGGTTCAGCTGTGATGTTTGCATTGTATCCATTTCCACAAGGATTGACATGAGAACACTTTGTATTAACTTGCTAAGCAGCCCTTTCACACCATTTACATGTGCGATGGGCATTAGTTATATACCGAGACCCTTTCTGCTTGCCATTGAAAACAGGGAAAATGAAGAAGGCCTGAACAAAACGCACTACAAAAGGCTAATACAACACACTGCTAATTCCTCTCCTTTCAGACATCAGCTAATATCCAACTGGAAGTAATGCACCTGCAGCTGAATGCCACTTCACCATTGCAATTGTTCAACTGCATTTCTGAGGAATGAGGATCAGAAATAAAAGGCCATGGACAAACAAGTCATATTGTCCAAGGCACTCTCCTATATACTAGACACTAAATTGCACAATCCTGAATAAAAGAAGACAATAGTTCAGTTTAGATGACGTACAATGCATCTTTAGAAACGTTTTGTTTCATCCGAATGCCTTTTATCTTCGGGATATAATTGATCATGTGTACATATCTTATTTAGAGTAGTGAAAACGTTTTGAAGGTAAAAACCCCCATAAAGAACACTAAATCAGATCACGTTGTCCTTCACAATTCTTGGATTTTGTGATTTTACATGTACCTATAGAGCAAATACATTCAATTAGATCTCTCTCAGGACCCAGAGAGGCACTAACTAGGCCTATTTAGTAGGGCAGGGACGATACCAGTATCGCAATATTGGTTCCATGGCAAAAATGAAAACACGAAGCAGACCAAACGTTTTGGTCCTTTAAAAACCGGCTGTATGTTTTTTTTATTTCACCTTTATTTAACCAGGTAAGCCAGTTGAGAACAAGTTCTCATTTACAACTGCGACCTGGCCAAGATAAAGCAAAGCAGTGCGGTAAAAACAACAACAACACAGAGTTACATATGGAATAAACAAAACGTAACATAGTATGCTATAGCTTAGAAAATAAATACATGTGACTAAATGACAACATAATGATGTTTGTTTCCAACATTTTCCTAAAGAAGTTAAATCCGCTTCGCTTCGCGTTTATTTTGTGTTTTGTTTCCTTGACGTGATACGAGCGAGTATCGCAATACCGTTATCGTCCCGGCCCTACCATTTAACCTAACTGTGTTATTTTGCTAAACGTCCCACTTCAATTTTACTTTTTAATTCATCACTATCTGCTTAATTAAAGTTGTAGATCTACCTAATTATCTTTTATTGGATTTATTTTTCATACAAAAGATATCTCCATTGACAATGATTTTGGCTGACTTAAACGTAAGCTACATATTGCAATAACAATCCAAACATTTGTATATTAACAGCTTTACATTTTAGATCTAGGCTCATATTTGATTTACACATCACTGATGCACGTTTCAGATTTTCACTAGTGATGCCCAGTATGAAACAATGACTGGAACAAAAACGATGTCCGACTGTGTGGAGTCCATCATAGCGTTTGGCTGGTTTAGGGTAAAGGTGATCTCTGACAAGTCTTCCATTAGAGTAGTAGCAGCTGCATGCTGAACTCTTTCCCACAGCTCCCCTCCTCCCTCTCACCAGCTGCACTACACCCAGCCAGTGAGCATGCACTCACAGACAAACACTCTTCAGCTGGAGCCTGAACTCTGCTGCTTCTCTCTAACTCTCTACCTAGCACCAGCTGCACTAAACCCTTAACGAGGTGGACACTAGTGGGTCAACGCTGGCCTGTGTCATCCTCACTGGAAATTCTTCCGCTTTTACATCCGAGTACTGTTTAGTATTGGGAACAGAATAGACAGTTTGGGAAATGTTCAACTAAGAAAACAACTACGGAAAAATTTATCAAAAAAATATTTTCACTGATGACTGCTCTGTGTCTATAACAAATATGATATTCCTGCTGCTATTTGTTAATGTATAATGATGTTATGCACTCAATTAGACAATTGCGACATACTTTTAGTGAATCTCCAAGAAAACGTCCAGGTAACAGTTGACATTATCTATCCTACTACACCTAGAAATGTAGAAATGCTGTAACTATATTCTGGTAACAAGTTACCAACATTGTCTTCTTGATATTGTGTAATAATAAAAAACATTCAACTCCATACAATGACTAAATTCAAATGTAACAAAGTGTTAATGCAATGTTGTTACTGGAGCAATTACAGCTATACTATGTGTAAAGCAAGTGAAGTGTTACTGGCCATTACTTTACTTGGATTTCTTACAATTGAAAGCACTATACAGATTAGCTGATGAACAGGAAAACGTTGTCAGAGGTTCAGAACTGTAATTTGGGATCATTCTGGGGACCAATCTCCCTCCTGACAAAACACACTTATGGGAAACATACCCCAGCAGGACATATTCCACTTCCTGCAGACTATCACAGAGAAATTCAAATCAATGGATGAGCCAAGACCCCTCGATCCAACTCTGATCCTTCCCTTTAGAGAGGGAGGGATAGGATTAGTGTACCAATGGCCCATTGAGCCTATGATAGACTGGGATTAGTCTGACAAAACATGAGATCTCTTACATATCTGCTGCATAATACCACCACTCAGAGGGAGGTTCTGGCTCACTCCAGAAGGCCCACAGAAACCTGCACAAAGCAGCCCACCGAAAAGGCTCCCAAAACAGCTCACCTCGAACTAAAGCAGGTTGGGAAACTGGACAAGCTCCAGAAGAGAAGATAAGGGTACTGAGGGTGGTTTTTCACCTGACCAGGAAAGACTAAGCTTTCACAAAGACACAGTCTTCCCTGGTCAGGGCATGTGGTTGAGAAACCCTCACAACATAAGAAATGGGGCCCATCTCTGGATGGAATATAGTTTGATAGGACATCTCTTTTTTAGGTAACGGCAGTGTTACTGTGCTCGGCTTAAGTGATAAAAGGCATAATTTCAAACAACTTATTTACCTCCACGCAGTCAAAGTTTTCTGTGACTCTGGCTGAATATTTCACTTTGAAGAGGGTGATCAGGTTCCCGGCACTGTAGTACAGCTGAATCTGAAGGCCTTTGTATCCAAAAGCCACCTCACTGAGGAGGAAATAAATCAATAAAAAAAGTGAATAAATAGCTACAGTGAGCTCCAAAAGTATTGGGACAGTGACACATTTTTTGTCTCTGTGCTCCAGCACTTTGGATTTGAAATGATACAATGACTATGAGGTTAAAGTGCAGACTGCCAGTTTTAATTTGAGGGTCTTTTCATCCATATCGGGTGAACCTTATCATACGTACCCCCAAGACATGCTAACCTCTCACCATTACAATAACAGGGGAGGTTAGCATTTTTGGGGGGTATGACACATCTGCCACACTGATCCTCAACACGGGGGCCCCTCAGGGGTGCGTGCTCAGTCCCCTCCTGTACTCCCTGTTCACCCATGACTGCATGGCCAGGCACGACTCCAACATCATCATTAAGTTTGCCGACGACTCAACAGTGGTAGGCCTGATCACCGACAACGATGAGACAGCCTATAGGGAGGTCAGAGACCTGGCCGTGTGGTGCCAGGATAACAACCTCTCCCTCAACGTGACCAAGACAAGACAAAGGAGATGATTGTGGACTACAGGAAAAAAAAGAGGACTGAGCACGCCCCCATTCGGGGCTGTAGTGGAACAGGTTGAGAGCTTCAAGTTCCTTGGTGTCCACATCACCAACAAACTATCATGGTCCAAACACACCAAGACAGTCGTGGGATTAGTGAAGAGGGCACGACAAAGCCTATTCCCCCTCAGGAGACTGAAAAGATTTGGCATGGGTCCTCAGATCCTCAACAAAATTCTACAGCTGCACCATCGAGAGCATCCTGACTGGTATCGTCACCGCCTGGTATGGCATCTGTTCGGCCTCCGACCGCAAGGCACTACAGAGGGTAGTGCGTACGGCCCAGTACATCACTGGGGCCAAGCTTCCTGCCATCCAGGACCTCTATACCAGGCGGTGTCAGAGGAAGGCCCTCAAAATCCAGCCACCCTAGTCATAGACTGTTCTCTCTGCTACCGCACGGCAAGCGGTACCGGAGTGCCAAGTCTAGGGCCAAAAGACTTCTCAAAAGCTTCTACCCCCAAGCCATAAGACTCCTGAACAGCTAATCATGGCTACCCAGACTATTTGCACTGCCCCCCCCACCCCATCTTTTTACGCTGCTGCTATTCTGTTAATTATTTATGCAGGTCACTTTAACTCTACCCACATGTACATATTACCTCAACTAGCCGGTGCCCCCGCACATTGACTCTGCACCGATACCCCCCTGTATATATAGCCTCCCTACTGTTATTTTATTTTACTTCTGCTCTTTTTTTCTCAACACTTTTTTGTTGTTGTTTTATTTTACTTTTTTATAAAAAAAATAAATGCATTGTTGGTTAAGGGCTGTAAGTAAGCATTTCACTGTAATGTCTACACCTGTTGTATTCGGCGCATGTGGCCAATAACATTTTATTTGATTTATGCCTCTTTCTCACTCATCATTATTCATGATTCATTCAGGATTATCTGTAATCATGGTAGCATTAATGTAGGAGTGTTTAGAAACATATTCTATACTTACTTACAAATGAAAAGTGATTACAAAACCCCAATACATTATTAAACATGAATTTTTATTGGGCACAAAATAATCTGAAACACAACCAAAACAAACAGCAAATACATCCAACAAATTTGTAGAGTCACAAGCTTGATGTAGTCATTGCATGATATGAATATGGGACCAAATACTTAACGTTTGACTACTTTAATAGACATAAGTGAATTTGTCCCAATACTTTTGATCCCCTAAAAATGGGGAGACTACGTACAAAAAGTGCTGTAATTTCTAAACGGTTCACTCGATATGGATGAAAATACCCTCAAATTAAAGCTGACAGTCTGCACTTTAACATCATAGTCATTGTATTTCAAAAAATGTGTCACTGTCCAAATAATTTTGGAGCTCACTGCAGATGAGTTAACTGGATTACAACACCTGGATAGGTATTTTAAGTATCTGCTAACCACATATGTTATAGCAATTTGTCAATCGATGACACAGTCAATAACGTTGCACGCAACCATTGGTTGTTGCGTCGCCTCGCCTTAGCTGTGGAACGCGGCCGTAGAGTTCACATGGAGTTACTGTAATGAGATGCACAGATCTTATTGGCTGAATTAGGATTGATACTCACTCATCACCATACAGCTGGTGGCTGTACTCTGGATGGAATGTCGTGCTTTCATCATCCACCTCCTCTGCGAAACGGACTGAGAGAAATGGTTGTATTTAATTATTTGAGTAAGAGGGTCAAATATTGCATTATGAATATGAAACACTCAAAGCACCATTTACCAAACTGAAAATGTCAGTGCAAGTAGCTACTTTATCTCAACATCCTAAACCAAAAGTAAGAGTTTACACACAAAGCTAAATAAGAAGACGCATGAGACAAACCTAGTTTTAAACAGATTGCTTCGTTGGAGTCACACTTATATTCTGCCAACTTCTTCTCCATTACATTCATCCCTGTGGAGCAAAACAAACAGCATTTCTAGCTTATTTGTTTATTTATTAGGATCAGCAGCTACTCTTCCCGGGGTCCACAAAAAACATGACAAGTAACAAAACACATACACTAGGACTGTCACATTTAAAATACAATGATAAACGCAACAAAAAAATAGTACAAACAACTAAATGTGTTAGAGTGTGTCTGTTTGTGCTCCCTCACAGTCCACGTCGTTCCATTAGTTGTTTAAAGGTAATTGCTTGAGTAATTGGAGATGGAAGGGAGTTCAATGCGATTGTGACTCTGTATAAAACTGAATTGCCGTGAATTCGTTTTGGATTTGGGGACTGTGAAGAGACCCTTGGTGGCATGTCTTGTGGGGTATGTATGGGTGTCTGAGCTGAATGTTATTTGATTATGCAGACCATCTGGCATTTGTCACAGTAATATTTCTCATAAAAACGAGAAGAGAAGCAGTTAATCTCTCATCAACCCTCAACCAGGAAAGACTGGCATGCATGTTGTTGATTTGAGTTCTGTATGTGCAGTTAAGGCAAGCGTGCTGCTCTGTTTTGAGCCAGCTGCAGCTTTGCTAGGTCTTTCTTTGCTGCACTTGACCCCATTACCGGAGCGCAATCAAGAATGGGACAAGACCAGAGCCTGAACAACTAGTAGTTGATTGTGTCAAAAACACAGAACATCTTTTTAAAACAGACATACCCTGCCCCATCTTCACAACAACTTTGTCAATATGACTTGCCCATGATAATTGATCATCCAATGTTATACCTAGGAGTTTAGCTTCCTCGACTTCCTCAATTGTAACACTCTTTACATACAACTCCAGTTGAGGTTTAGGTCTTAGAGAATGTTTTGAACTCCTTATTTAGAATTTCAGTGAGCTCACTGGTTTTGGGTGCAGACATGTAGTGTGGAATAAAAATCTAATCTAATCTTTATTTGTCACATGCGCTGAATACAACTGGTGTAGACTTTACCTTGTAATGCTTGCTTACGACCCCTTCCCAACGATGCAAAATAAAATAGTAACACAAGAGGAATAAAATAAAATACACAAGAATGGAGCTATATACAGGGAGTACCAGTACCAGATCAATGTGCAGAGGTACGAGGTATTTGAGGTAGATATGTACATGAAGGCAGGGTAAAGTGACTAGGCATCCAGATAGATAATAATATGAGTAAAATAAAGAAGAGCAGCAGCAAATGTGTAAAAGTGTGTGTGTTAGTGCATTCGGAAGGTATTCAGACCCCTTGACTTTTTCCACATTTTGTTACGTTACAGCCGTATTCTAAAATTGATGAATTCCCCACCCCCAATCAATCTACACACAATACCCCATAATGACAAAGCAAAAACAGGTTTAGAAACTTTGCAAATTGATATAAAAAAAAAAAAGAACTTAAATATTCAGACCTTTTACTCTGTACTTTGTTGAAGCACCATTGGCAGCGATTACAGCCTCGAGTCTTCTTGGGTATGATGCTACAAGCTTGGCACACCTGTATTTGGGGAGTTTCTCCCATTATTCTCTGCAGATCCTCTCAAGCTCTGTCAGGTTGGATGGGGAGTGTCACTGCACAGCTATTTCCAGGTCTCTCCAGAGAAGTTTGATCGGGTTCAAGTCCAGGCACTGGCTGGGCCACTCAAGGACATTGAGACTTGTCCCGAAGCCACTCCTGCGTTGTGTTGGCTGTGTGCTTAGAGTCGTTGTCCTGTTGGAAGGTGAACCTTCGCCCCAGTCTGAGGTCCTGAGCGCTCTGGAGCAGGTTTTCATCAAGGATCTCTCTGTACTTTGCTCTGTTCATCTTTCCCTCGATCCTGACTAGTCTCCCAGTCCCTGCCGCTGAAGAACATCCCCACAGCATAACGCTGCCACCACCATGCTTCACCATAGAGATTGTGCCAGGTTTACTCCAGACGTGACACTTGGCATTCAGGCCAAAGAGTTCAATCTTGGTTTCATCAGACCAGAGAATCTTGTTTCTCATGGTCTGAGAGTCCTTAGGTGCCTTTTGGCAAACTCCAAGCGGGCGGTCATGTGCCTTTTACTGAGGAGTGGCTTTCCGTCTGGCCACTCTACCATAAAGGCCTGATTGGTGGAGTGCTGCAGAGATGGTTGTCCTTCTGGAAGGTTCGCCCTTCTCCCCCGATTGCTCAGTTTGGCCGGGCGGCCAGCTTTAGGAAGAGTCTTGGTGGTTCCAAACATCTTCCATTTAAGAATGATGGAGGCCACTGTGTTCTTGGAGACCTGCAGAAATGTTTTGGTACCCTTCCCCAGATCTGTGCCTCGACACAATCCTGTCTCGGAGGGCTACGGACAATTCCTTCGACCTCAAGGATTGTTTTTTGCTGTGACATGCACGGTCAACTGTGGGACCTTATATAGACAGGTGTGTTCCCTTTCCAAATCACGTCCAATCAATTGAATTTACCACAGGTGGACAAGGATGATCAATGGAAACAGGATGCTCCTGAGCTCAATTTCGAGTCTCATAGCAAAGGCTCTGAATACTTATGTAAATAAGGTATGTTTTTTTTTTTTTATACATTTGCAAACATTTCAAAAAAACGTTTCGCTTTGTCATTATCGGGTATTGCATGTAGATTGATGAGAATTGTTATTTATTTAATCAATTTTAGAATAAGGCTGTAACGTAACAAAATGTGGAAAAGGGGAAGGGTTCTGAATACTTTCCGAATGCACTGTATGTGTGTTCGTGTTGTCGGTATGTTTGTTTGTGTGTGTGTGTAGTTTATGTGAATGTGTGTGGGTTTTGTGTGAGTGTCAATGTAGTGTGTGAGCGTGTATATGGTGTGTATATATAGTCTAGTGAGTATGCATAGAGTCAGTGCAGATAGTTTGGGTACCATTAATTGACTATTTAGCAGTCTTATGGCTTGGGGGTTGAATCTGTCTTGGAGCCTGTTGGTCCGAGAGCCGATGCTCTTGTACCGTTTGCCGAACGGTAGCAGAGTGAACAGTCTATGGCTTGGTTGGCTGCAGTCTTTGGCAATTTGACACCGCCTGATGTAGAGGTCCTGGATGGCAGGGAGATTGGCCCCAGTGATGTACTGGGCTGTCCGCACCACCCTCTGTTGCGCTTTGCGGTCAAGGGCGGTGCATTTGCCATACCAAGCAGTTATGCAGCCAGTCAAGATGCTCTCGATGGTGCAGCTGTCAAACTTTTGGGGATCCGAGGGCCCATGCCAAATCTTTTCAGCCTCCTGAGGGGGAAGAGGTGCTTCCGTGCCCTCTTCACGACTGTGCGGGTGTGTGTGGACCATGTTAAGTCCTTAGTGATGTGGACGCCAAGGAACTTGAAGCTCTCAATCCGCTTCACAACAGTCCTGTCAATGTGGATATACTTTTGCCTCTTTCTCCTATAGTCCACGATCCGTTCATTGGTCTTACTGACGTTGAGGGAGAGGTTGTTGTCCTGGCACCACACTGCTAAGTCTCTGAACTCCTCCCTGTAGGCTGACTCATCACCATCGCGTCGTCAGCAAACTTGATAATGGTTTTGGAGTTGTGCGTGGCCACGCAGTCGTGGGTGAACAGGGAGTATAGGAGGGGACTAAGCACACACCCCTGAGGGCCCCCGTGTTGAGGGTCAGCGTGGCGGAGGTGATGTTGCCTACCCTCAATACCCTGGGGTGGCCCGTCAGGAAGTCCAGGATCCAGTTGCAGAGGGAGGGGTTCAGTCCCAGGGTCTCTAGCTTGGAGGGGACTATGGTGTTGAATGCTGAGCTGTAATCTACGAACAGCATTCTGACATTGTTATTTTCCCTCTTGTCCAGGTGGGAGAAGGCAGTGTGAAGTACAATTGAGATTGCATCATCTGTGGATCTGTCGGGCGGTATGCGAATTGGAGTGGGTCTAGGGTGTCTGGGATGATGGTGTTGATGTGTGTCATGACCAGCCTTTCAAAGGACTTTTAAAGATGTGAGCGCTACAGGGCGATAGGAATTTAGTCAGGTTACCTTGGAGCTCTTGGGAACAGGGACAATGGTGGTCAGCTTGAAACATGTTGGGATTATAGACTGGGACTAGGAGATATTTAAAATGTCTGTGAAGACACTTGTCAGCCGGTCTGCACATGCTTTGAGAACGTGCCCTGGTATTACGTCTGGCCCAGCAGCCTTGTGATTGTTAACCTGTTTAAATGTTTAGCTCACATTGGCCTTGGAGAGCGAGATCATCCGCATACATAGTCATTCTAGCTTTGTGTGAGACCACTGGCAAATCATTTGTAAAAATAGTGAAGAGTAACGGCCCAAGGCAACTGCCCTGAGGGACACCGCAGTGTACATCTCTGATGTTCGAGAAGCTTCCAATGAAGAACACTCTCTGGGTTCTATTGGATAAATAATTATCCAACCATGTGATGGCAGGTGATGGTAAGCCATAGCAAGTTCGTTTTTTCAATGACAATTTATGATCAATAAGATCAAAGGCTGAAAGACTGCCCTGAAATCTAACAATACCGCTCCAACTATTATCTTATTATCCATTTATTTTAAGCAATCATTATTCATCTGAGTCAGTGCAGTACAAGTTGAGTGCCCTTCTCTATATGCATGCTGAAATTCAGTAGTTAACTTGTTCTCTGAAAAATAGCATTTTATTTGGTCAAACACAATCCTTTCCATTAGTTTACTAAGAATAGGCTGCAAACTGATTGGGCGGCTGTTAGAGCCAGCAAAGGGTGCTTTACTATTTTTAGGCAGTGGAATTACTTTAGCTTCCTTCCATGCTTATGGACACACACACTCCTTTAGAGTTTGGTTAAAGATATAGCAAATAGGAGTCTGCAACCATTCTCAATAGTTCATCAAGGTTGTCTATACCTGGTGGCTTATCATTATTGATGGATAACAATAGTTTTTCCACCTCTCCCACACTAACTTGACCAAATTCTAAACAGCAATCCTTCGCTTTCATTGAGATCTTTTATTTAAAAATATGATGGTTCACTGTTCAATGTTGTCTTTTCAGTTTTTCCACTTCACTCGTGAAATAGTCATTGAAATGATTGGCAATAACAAAAGGTTTCTCAAGGATGATCAATGGAAACAGGATCCACCTGAGCTCAATTTCGAGTCTCATAGCAAAGGGTCTGAATACTTATGTAAATAAGGTATTTCTGTTTTTTGTTTTTAAGAAATCTGCAAAAATGTCTAAATAACCTATTTTTGCTTTGTCATTATGGGGTATTGTGTGTAGATTGATGAGGAAATTGTTTTATTTAATCATTTTTAGAATAAGGCTGTAACGTAACAGAATGAGGAAAAAGTCAAGGGGTCTGAATACTTTCCGAAGATACTGTATGTGCCACCTCTTTTGCATAATTTATTTGAACCATACAATCTTTCAATTCATCATCAATCCAGGGGTACATTGTGAACAATTGGCATGAAACATTTTACAAATACTTCCAGTGCTGCATCTGAATTCACCTCATACACATCAGACCAACATACATTTTCAACAAAATAATCCTGAGAACAAATCTTTTTATGATCTCTTACAAATTACTTTAGGCCCAACCTTCGGCACTTTAGCTTTTCTTGTTTTTGCCACAATGTTATGTTCACTACAGCCAATGGAAACTGGTATTGCTTTGGAGCAAAGCTTTGCAGCATTAAGTGAAGATATGATCAATACAAGTGGATGTGACAGATCCAACACTATTGGTATGCACTCTAGTTGGCTGAGTGAACCTGGATCATATTACAGGCATTAGTCACAGTTAGAACCTTCCTCTTGAGAGGACAGCTAGTTGCTAACCAGTCAATGTTCAGGTCACCCAGAAAATAGACCTCTGTTAACAAAATAAATCAATATGTGTGTGTGTGTGTATTGTAAGTGTGATGTTGTGCTGAAGCTACTGACCCTGAGGCTTGGCTATCTCATTCCTCCAAAGCGTTTGGGAGAGGGTGGACAATGAGCCTGTCGTAGCGGACGTAAGCAATGTTCCCATGCTCTCTGGCAGCATTCATAGCTGGGATAAGTTATTTCCGTCTCTGGCGCACAGCTTCAGAGAAGTCCTCGTTGAGGAAGATGTTGGTTCCTCTCAAGTTCTTGGCTCTCTCCAGAACAGCCATCTTGTCCTTAAACCTCAGGAACTTGACCACTACCGGCCTGGGTCTGTCACCTAGGCTGGTTACATGTTTTCCAGACCTGTGGGCACACTCCATCTCAATTTTCCATCTGCAGCTTTTCAGTAGCGCTGTCCCCGACTAAAGAAAATATTGCTCGAAAGAAAGTTGTATTTTCTTTCAACCAATCGATTGGTCGAAATGTTAAAACGTATATTCTTCCATATTTAGAAACATTATGTGTTTTAATAAAATCAACTATATGTACTGAGCTTGTCTGATGCTTTAAGCACGCTGTTAAAGAGGGAGCCAGAGATCAAGATATCCTAACCAGAAGAACATTTGTTTTTAAATGTCACGACCCTTCTCCTCCCGTTGCTGCTGGCCTTCGCAGATTCTGCCGTTACAATCCTGAAGTTGCCGGTAATAGGCTACACCAGGGGTCGGCAACCTTTTCCATTTGGAGTGCCAATTTATCTGACCATTTCTACCAATCAGCGTGCCAGCTATGATTTTGATATGCGCATTTCATTTATAATATTTTTGTATCTCAAAATCATTGTCATGTGTCTAAATTCTACATAATCTAAATGAAAATTATACAAATCTAAAAGTAACTTCCATTGCCAACTATATAAAATAGCCTATAACACCAACAAATAAAAACATTGCAGCCTGCAGTTAGAAAATGTCCTGATAAAAATGTATATCCTATAAATCACATTGGCTATGCATGGCCTGTCTGCAACGAACTTCAAACATTGTATCAACTATGAACCGTGTCAGTCTCTAAGCTCATGCTAGCAAACTTGCAACATTGTATGAAATATTCTGGGCCCTCAGAGTTTCTCGCGCCAGTGAGCTTGGGACAGACACAGCCGTAGGCTATTTGTGCAAGGGATAAGAAGTAACTAGGTATTTTATGATGTTTTCACTAGATCAGAGCATTACATTTTCCCCTTTCATGCTGAGTGGTTATCAAAAGGGAGAAAGCAGGAAATATTTTTCAAATACGTCGAGGAACTATTGTAATTCTCAATGGACTCTAAAAACTTGCTTGCTGTTTGAGGTGGAAAAAACTTACTTTGAGAAGCGCCATTACCGTAACCAAACAAACATTGTAGATTAGAAATTATGGGAATTAACGGTAAATGCTGGCTACTACTGGTGGTATATGTAATGGGGAAGTGATAGACACTCAAAGGGCAAACAATTCACACTAAGTTATGTAACAATGAATGCACACGACATGGCGGATGAGAGCGCATTCTGGAGAGAGACACGTGCACAGGAAGATTGTCCATTTCACGCACTTATCAAGAGAACATCCCTGATCATCCCTACTGCCTCTGATCAGGCGGACTCACTCAACACAAATGCTTAGTTTGTAAATTATGTCTGAGTGCTGGAATGTGCTCCTGGCTATCTATAAAAATAAAAATAAATCATGCCGTCTGGTTTGTTTAATATAAGGAATTTGAAATGATTTATACTTTTACTTTTGTTACTTAAGTATATTTTAGCAATTACATTTACTTTTGATACTTAAGTATATTTAAAACCAAATCATTTTACTCAAGTAGTATGTTACTGGGTGACTCACTTTTACTTGAGTTATTTTCTATTAAGGTATATTTACTTGTACTCAAGTATTACAATTGGGTACTTTTTCCACTACTGCCACAGACAGGCGCGAATCAGATAGGTGTCTTGTGTGACATTTTTTTTATATAAATCCATTTGCCACAGCTCAAAAAAATCTCTGTCGACCAACAGCCTATCAACCAAACAATCGACTAAGTTGGGTCAGTCCTACTTTTCAGTGATCATTTCTCTTTCTCCTCAGACTGGGCCAAAATCTAATGTGACGATTCTGGTATGCCATCCACAACGATGTTATTCCTCCTGGATTGTCCCTTTAGATAGTCTGTTTCCCCAGTCATTGTTAATAATGATTCACAGAGTGGCAATGTCATCTCGAGAGGACTTACAGTTCTGTTCTTAAGGTCCTGGGCCCTGTTGCGTAAAACATTTCCCCCCTTATTTTTTCACTTAGTTTCTTTAGCTTTAAGTAAGTTGCACAAAACACTTTAAGGCACATTTTTTTGTGAAGCCAGCTATATTGTGGTATGGTTATTTTCCTTGCCAACCACCAGAACGATGAACAACTCAGGGAGTCCAAACAATACACAGACTCCAGATGTGTCCCATAGCTAGTGGTCGCCTTTTGTCTTCCATAAACAAGCCCTGTAACATGGAGATATGGCCTGTGGGAACACTAACCCTAACTCTATCAAGGTGTGTATCAATTTAACCTTTTGTTTTTTGAAAATTATTTATCGCTGATATGAAAGATAAGGTCCTTATGTTTCCAAAATACTTCCGCAAGCGATGCGTGTTAACTTTCAGACCGAGCTCTTAACAAAAAGACCCCGTAAAGAAGATACTATCGTCAATAGGCGCTAAAGCAATTAGCGTCTATGAATGGGGTAGCTTGTCCCTAGCCTCAACATCATCACTGACTCCTGATAACGTTAACAAGCTAGCTTGCTAGTAAGGGCTAACACAGTTAGCTACCTAGTGTGCTAGCTAGCTTGATGACAGCTCGATTGCCTGTGACAGTAACATACATACCTCGAACACTCAAAGAGGTGAACACATCTATCATACAAATTGTAATACAAACCATAAAACAGGTTTTGTCGACTGAAATCTTTTATATATTAATGTGTTACTTACCCGCCATTTCTGTACACTGCTGCATCTCTGTTGTTGTCAAAGGCCCGCGGAAAATACGCACCGAGGACTTCCTGTTTGCCCACGTGTTTCCGCCGCATCTGATGTATGCGGAAGAAATCAATTTATTTTCTCATCGCTCGCTCTCCATGGATTTGTTTTGCGACGCTTCCAGTGTGTGCTACAGTTGAACCACGAACTATTGCGCATCACCAATCGATGGAGAAAACAAACTCTTATCCGCGCAAGTGTATCTCATTATTTTACTGATGAGAGGATTTGGTGCTGTGCCTGTGCTGATGTTATATTCTATTCTGTTCTTTTTTAAATTTTCTGTTATTTTATTTTCTTCCATAGGCTACTGGAATCCTAAAAATGTGAATCCTGTGAAAATATAAAAACTAGATGGTTTCCCACAATTTAACACTAACTATTAAACTATTGTTATTTATTTGATTTCCACACAACCAACCTCCTCACGCACACTCAAAGTTTAAATAAGATTTCAAAATTCCTTGGGTGAGTTTTTCTTCTTATAGTACTCCCATAAAGAGAAAAAAACACAAGGTTATGGTCACAAAATATATAGCCTAAGCACTCCAAGTGGGAAGCACACTCTGTTGTGGTAAACAAAATGTACCCTTTAATTGTCCCATTATGTCAGTCCACCCCACCGCTGACTTAAATTAAGAATTTGAACCTTGAAAATGGTCTTTCAAAAAGTGGATTACAGTACAGTGATAGCTCAATAAAATAAATGGGCTCTCTGGGGAGAGTGCAATGGCTGAACACTGAACTGTGGTAATGCTGTGCTATCATCCCTGCCATGGCAATTCTGTCCTCCAGAAGCACCAATGCCTGACCCACACAGTCATGTTTAAGCCACTATAATTTTACCCCAACCTACTACTCTGACAGCACTAGATTATAACAGTTTCCTGCTTAGGCTACAACGCCTTTTACTCTCTTGCTATGTGTTATGGTGTGTCAGTATGGAGGCAATACATGCAGCTCGATCTCTAACCTTTATTAAATATTTCTGGTGAAAGCAGAATTGTCTTTTCTAAACTTTTGTCTAGAATTTGTGCAATGTGTAATGCAACATGTTTGTGTCTGTTAATGTATTTTATTGACTTTTGTAGTTTGACTGTGTTCCTCTTTTAACCTTCATACATTTTGTATCCTTGTGGTAACATAACATTATTATACAAAGCTCCTGCACAAAGCAGATAATAAAGTATATTCTTATACAATATAAAAAAGCAGTGTATGGTTTTATGAGAAATAAAATATTGAAACGAAAGAGAAAACAAGCCAGACAGTGGCCTTCTCAATTTTATTTATTAATGACATTTCGGATTCTAAGTGCACAAAGTCCTTAATAAAAAAAATAAAAAAAATGTATCCCCTTAGTCCGTGGATACTAGATGGACATGAATAGTAATGCAACATTTGACCTTTAGTGCACCTCACTCGAGCTCACATTTCATTAAGATGATGGAAAAGGTATAATAATATTGGACAGCATAATTTGTAAATAGGTTTTTACACAGGAGTCGCTTTACACTGTGCACAGCTAGCATAGCTTAGTCCTCTGATGATTTGTTTTAGTTGAGCATGCACGCTACAAAATATCTGCAGGTTCATATAGCCCACACAGCAGTGCATCATGTCCTTATATGAGCCACGTGCGCATGAATCGTGCCAGACTCTGCTGACAGCTGGCAACACTCCCATTGCACTGTATCTCGTCAACAGGCAAAGCACGACGCTACAGTACGAGGCTACAGTATTGCCTAAAATACATTGTCATTGAGGTCTTCTTCAATATTGTCATGCTGTCATCTCCGAATCATAGGCTACAGTAGCCAAGCGCCTGCACTGCTAGTCAACGTGACGTCACACTCAGCATGGCGGTCAAGGTGACTCCGTCAATATTTTTTTTTTTTTTTTTTATAAGAAATTAATATTACTTGTATTTAAACGGTTTATTTATATTGGATATGGACGCTAGTTTACCGATGCGGACGCATATATTATATACTTTTTTTTTAACGAACAGAATGGTCATCTTTCAGCATCTTTTCGTGGGCACGTCGGCCTTGGAGAGATAATTGAGTAATGTTTACCTTGTTACAGTGTATTGTTTATTGATCTAATGGAAGTTATTCCGCTACTTTTATTGTATAGCACGTTTATTGTGGTGAAGGTCGAGTAGGCGGTTCAGTAATGAAAATAGCAAAGGCGACCATGTTGCTGGTGGCAGGGCTGATATTCAACTGTAGACTACGAGTCCTGTAGCCTATTACTGATTTTTCAAACATCGAACCTTCAAAGACAAGCAACCGATTGCTGTCTCCGCACTAATTATTTTATTATATTGTAGCCTATGCAGTGTCGTTGCGTCCTATGGAATTCTCATACTGTCATTGTATTACCAGATTCATCAAGGTTTGGATTTGATGACTCCAACTGTATATTTTAGGTGGAAACAACCGCAAGAGGCGATTCCAATGAGCTGAGGACTATATTTCTGAAGGTAAGACTGTCATTCACAAGTGGTCCCAATATTGCTATGGCACTAAAATAGTCATTATTTATATTCTTTGATTCTTTAAATGCAGCTGTTCTTGGATGAATGAAAAGAGCATGCAACTTTTAATTTATTGTCTTTAATGATAACCTAGATTGTAAGGCAAAGCTACATTATGGAAAAGCTACTGAGACCATAATTTAACTCTCTCTCTCTCTCTCTCTCTCTCACACACACACACACACACACACACACACACACACACACACACACACACACACACACACACACACACACACACACACGCACGCACACACACACACACACATACATGCACACACACACACACACAAACACACACACTCACACATACACACACACACACAGAGAGAGAGCGAGAGAGAGATACACTTGAGTGTGCTGCCTCTACTGTTCAATACTACAAGGAAAGGTCACACAAATGCTTGGACTAATTCTGGATCACCTTCACCAAGGAATTTCTCCTTGCCTGACTTCTTTTAGGGTGTGACATTTACTTGGATCTTCAGATGTCTGGAAGATACAGATGTTTTTGCAAATCATTTCAAACATGCGTTCTTGTGCTTTACAAAGTCACACATAGTAACAAGCAGAAGGCTGCTAGGCCATTGTTAGGAGTGTAAACATGTTTCTTGCAACAGACAGCACCAGGGAGGGACTCCTTATTTGACCTAGTACTATTTTAGGACCTTCTTCTTTCTTCATACAACACTGCATTGATTAATTCTGAAAGCACCCCAATGAATATTAGGCATAGCTGTTTTAATATGCACCTGTAATTAATATTAGGCATAGCTGTTTTAATATGCACCTGTAATTAATATTAGGCATAGCTGTTTTAATATGCACCTTTAATTAGTAATAAACATATCACACTGAAATAGCTAGTTAATTAATGGATGAAAGGGCCATTTTGTCCAACCTGCCTAATCTGATCAAGAAGCACTTGAGGCTTGTTGTGAAGATAAATTGATGCCAAATGATGTAGTGAATAAATGGGTTAATAAATTGGTTGGAATTAATACTTTCACTTAAAACATTAACTCAAGAGTGTGCAGTGAGATGTGGTCTCAAATGCATTCTTTGTAAAGGTCTCTTTCTTTCTCTCTCTTTTACTGTCTCTCACTCTTTCTTCTTTTATTTTTCACTCTCTCACTCTCTCACTCCCTCTGACCCCCCCCCCCCCCCTCTCTCTCTCTCTCTCTCTCTCTCTCTCTCTTTCTCTCTCTCTCGCTCTCTCTCTCTCTCTCTCTCTCTCTCTCTCCCTCTCTCTCTCTCTCTCTCTCGCTCTTGCTCACTCCCTCTCTCTCCCTGTGCTTGGCTGTATACCCAGAGCCTGGCCTTTATGCTGCCAGTTCATGCAGTGCTTGTGTTTCCTGAGCTATCTCTGTTCCAGCTTGTAACCCAACCCTGACTCCAAAACTGACCTTTCATTTTCTAAAGCCTAGACGAGAGGTCAGTTTTAGCACCACCAGTGCTAAAAATGCTGTTCCTATTCTCTTTCTAAGCAGTGCACATGCATTCAATGCACATTAGTCCCCTGTAGCTCAGTTGGTAGAGCATGGCACTTGCAACGCCAGGGTTGTGGGTTCGTTTCCCATGGGGGGCCAGTATCAAAATGTATGCACTCACTAACTGTAAGTCACTCTGGATACGAGCGTCTGCTAAATGACTAAAATGTAAATGTATGTGTAAAGTTATAAATGGATTTGATTATAACTGTCTGTGTCTTAATTTAGAAATACATTTTTCAGATGACTTGGCAGTCCCTTGCAATGCCACAGCTGAAGCCCTAATGTCACATATCATTATACGCTGCTCTAGTACTTATCTATTACATTGTACTTACAACATCCCATATTGTATATGAAATATAATATACTGCACTGCACTTATCTCCATACGTGATTGTGACACTTAACATGATAGTGGTTTGTGAAGCTTTGTTGCCTTGATGACTTGCTACACTACAGCTTGTGCTGTGTCATTGTGGGTAAAAAAAAAAGAACATAAAAGAATAACCAATTTCTCTCTAGGAGGTAATAATACAGCTTGAAACTTTATTGAAGTGTTTTGAAAGCAAGTAGCTGAAGTTCTCTATCTGTTTATTCACTGAACAACTCAAATACATTACTAGAACACAATGAATTGCAAGAACTAGATTGTTTTTGAACTATGGTATTTTTGCCTAGCATTGATGGAATGTCTAGAAGCACATAATATAAATCAAAATAAGTATAACTATGGAGACAAAATCAAGATAGAAACACAGACACACTATTGTCAGAAGTAAAGTTAACTGTAAGTGTTGTCAGATACAGTAGGTGTTGAGGGAACTGTGATATAACGCAAAGAAAGGCTGTGTTGGGAAAGTGACTCCAGGCATGGAGTTTTGTATGAGTATGAGTTTGTATTGAGTTTCTGAGAATTTACATTTTACACTCATCTGGGTCTTTTGTCTCCCTTCAGCATGCCAGTGTGGTTGAGGATGGGGAGCATTACATGTCCCCCAGGGACTTTGTGCAGAACTTCCTGGGTCTGCACAACCAGCCGGACCACAACCGGAAGACTGTGCAGCTGATCGCTGGAGTAGCTGACACCAGCAAGGATGGGTAAGTCTACTTCCACTACGTGTCATCTTTTGCACATTTATCATTCCAGTGTTAATACGAAATTGTAACTATTTTGCACTATGGCCTATTTATTGCCTTACCTCCATAACTTACTACATTCACACACACTGTATATATATTTTCTGTTGTATTTTTGACTTTATGTTTTGTTTACCCCATATGTAACTCTGTGTTGTTGTTTTTATCGCACTGCTTTGCTTTATCTTGGCCAGGTCGCAGTTGTAAATGAGAACTTGTTCTCAACTGGCTTACCTGGTTAAATAAAGGTTATATAAAAAAAAATAGATGATCCTCAACATTAGTGACCCTGATATAGAAGGGGTTAACAAGAGTTTCTACAAGACATCATACAGCGGAAATGGAATTGAGATTTTTTAAAGAAAAAAAGGGTCAAACTAACATTTTGATGACTGTTTCACTACCTACAAGATCCCAATGTAACCATGTGATACACACAATGTGGTTCTAAATGTTACGTGAACAGATATAGGATCTTAATTTGACCACACTGTTGCAGGAGAACTTTCCTGCAATTCAGGAAATGTAAAACTTGTAGTGTATTTGAGGTTTAAAAAGGCTTCTGAAGTTAATAACTTCCACTTTGAAATTTCAGACCTGATTTTCCCTTATGAAAAATGTATCAACCCCTACAAAAAATGTCCATTAATTATAATCCACATAAAAATTCACATTTCCTGTTGCTGCAGGATTATCCTGCTGTAGCAAACTGGCTCAAATTAAGATCCTACATCTGTATTGGTGTAGACAAGGAGTAGTAAAGAGAAATCAGTCACATGGAGAAAGTGATTAATGATTAATCACAAGGTTGTTCACATTGCCTGAATAGCCATCTTCATCAGTTGTTTAACACCCCATGTTTGTTTTTATTGAATATCCACCTGATAAGATAAGCGGACGTATTATTTGCATAATGCCAAAGACTGGAGATAGCATCTCGTTTAAATAAAACTAAACAGCACGTTCCTATCCACACCATAGACTGTAGAGCATATTATAAACATGGGTCAAATAAATAGTTATACAGCACTTGACCTTTTCTTGAAAAGAAAATGCTCCAACATCTAAAAGTGGTTGTTTTAACGACTGTTGCTTTTGCTCACTTTTATGTAAATGATACAGGTAGGCTACAGTTATTTGTGTGCTCAAATGAAGTTAGGGTTCCTGATGTACCTTTGAATTTGCAGAGAAATGTCATTTTTTCAGATAGTACTCTTTCTTTCTTGTCCAAACAGACTGATCTCTTTCCAGGAGTTTCTGGCCTTTGAATCGGTTCTGTGTGTCCCAGATGCCCTTTTCATAGTTGCCTTTCAGTTGTTTGACAAGACTGGCACAGGGGACATCTCATTTGGTATGTACATGGGGATGCCCAATGACCTGGTGTGTGGGGATGGCTGTCCTGTTGCATCCCAGTCCTGTCTGTTTCATGTCATAATCATGTCATAGCTAATGGGCACAGCATCAGTAGAGCGTTTACCTAGGGGCAATGACCATACACTTTCCCATTGTGCAAGACCCATTTCTATGTAAGAAGTGGATGATATAAGATGAATATATCTCATGTATAACTAAGGACCTTGTGCAATAAGGTGCTGTATAGCTGTTTTCAGTGTAGAAAATGAATGTAGGTCTCGCATGTGTGCTTAGTGTGTATTCAGTTTGTGCGCTAGTGTGTCTCTCTATACTGGGCTTCTGGAGACTGCAGAGTAGTATAGGGTTGGTCAGTCAGCAGCTTCTATTCTAGAGGTGTCGTCTAAGCGAAGAATAGTCTCAGCTCTGAGAGAGCTGTGGGTAATACCACATCATAACAAGTCACATCTTTACAGGACAAAAGAGTGGTTGCAATGCTCATTGTGCAGCACGGGTCCCCATGAAGGCGATAGAAAATGAAGGCAGTGCTCAGACACAGTGTCCTAGATATGCTTAGAACTCACACAACATGATGGCGATGGGATTGTCAGCAAGGCCATATTCCCCCTCTGTGCATATCGACTGGATTTGTAGGTTCCCAGAAATGAGATAAGGACATATATTGTATGTTTTTTGTTTTTCTTTCAATCTCTTGATGTTACTCATCAATCTTTCATTTGGCAGCCAATGTGCGGGACATCTTCAGCCAGACCACAGTGCACCACCACATCCCTTTTAACTGGGACTGTGAGTTCATCAGGCTACACTTTGGCAATGACAGAAAGAAGAACCTCAGCTACCTGGAGTTCACTCAGTTTCTGCAGGTACTGTATAGGCATGGACATTACCAGCCACCTTATGAACAGTACAAATGTTGGAGGCAATTTTTCTATCATGGTTTAGGTAGACATGGGCGGATTATAATAGCATAATAAACACACCATTATGTAACGTATTGAAGCTGTAACAAGTATAAGTAATCACCAAAACAGGGAGGGCTATGTACAGTGGGGAAAAAATGTATTTAGTCAGCCACCAATTGTGCAAGTTCTCCCACTTAAAAAGATGAGAGAGGCCTGTAATTCATCATAGGTACACGTCAACTATGACAGACAAAATGAGAAAAAAAATCCAGAAAATCACATTGTAGGATTTTTAATGAATTTATTTGCAAATTATGGTGGAAAATAAGTATTTGGTCACCTACAAACAAGCAAGATTTCTGGCTCTCACAGACCTGTAACTTCTTCTTTAAGAGGCTCCTCTGTCCTCCAATCGTTACCTGTATTAATGGCACCTGTTTGAACTTGTTATCAGTATAAAATACACCTGTCCACAACCTCAAACAGTCACACTCCAAACTCCACTATGGCCAAGACCAAAGAGCTGTCAAAGGACACCAGAAACAAAATTGTAGACCTGCACCAGGCTGGGAAGACTGAATCTGCAATAGGTAAGCAGCTTGGTTTGAAGAAATCAACTGTGGGAGCAATTATTAGGAAATGGAAGACATACAAGACCACTGATAATCTCCCTCGATCTGGGGCTCCACGCAAGATCTCACCCCGTGGGGTCAAAATGATCACAAGAACGGTGAGCAAAAATCCCAGAACCACACGGGGGGACCTAGTGAATGACCTGCAGAGAGCTGGGACCAAAGTAACAAAGCCTACCATCAGTAACACACTACGCCGCCAGGGACTCAAATCCTGCAGTGCCAGACGTGTCCCCCTGCTTAAGCCAGTACATGTCCAGGCCCATCTGAAGTTTGCTAGAGTGCATTTGGATGATCCAGAAGAGGATTGGGAGAATGTCATATGGTCAGATGAAACCAAAATATAACTTTTTGGTAAAAACTCAACTCGTCGTGTTTGGAGGACAAAGAATGCCGAGTTGCATCCAAAGAACACCATACCTACTGTGAAGCATGGGGGTGGAAACATCATGCTTTGGGGCTGTTTTTCTGCAAAGGGACCAGGACGACTGATCCGTGTAAAGGAAAGAATGAATGGGGCCATGTATCATGATATTTTGAGTGAAAACCTCCTTCCATCAGCAAGGGCATTGAAGATGAAACGTGGCTGGGTCTTTCAGCATGACAATGATCCCAAACACACCGCCCGGGCAACGAAGGAGTGGCTTCGTAAGAAGCATTTCAAGGTCCTGGAGTGGCCTAGCCAGTCTCCAGATCTCAACCCCATAGAAAATCAGTTGAAAGTCCGTGTTGCCCAGCGACAGCCCCAAAACATCACTGCTCTAGAGGAGATCTGCATGGAGGAATGGGCCAAAATACCAGCAACAGTGTGTGAAAGCCTTGTGAAGACTTACAGAAAACGTTTGACCTGTGTCATTGCCAACAAAGGGTATATAACAAAGTATTGAGAAACTTTTGTTATTGACCAAATACTTATTTTCCACCATAATTTGCAAATAAATTCATTAAAAATCCTACAATGTGATTTTCTGGAGAAAAAATTTCTCATTTTGTCTGTCATAGTTGACGTGTACCTATGATGAAAATTACAGGCCTCTCTCATCTTTTTAAGTGGGAGAACTTGCACAATTGGTGGCTGACTAAATACTTTTTTCCCCCACTGTATGTGAGTATTATATGAGCCATAAAGCCAGTAGTACAGTGCCTTGCAAAAGTATTCATCCCCCTTGGCGTTTTTTCCTATTTTGTTGCGTTACAACCTGTAATTTAAATGGATTTTTATTTGGATTTCATGTAATGGACATACACAAAATAGTCCAAATTGGTGAAGTGAAATGAAAAAAGAACTTGTTTAAAAAAAATCTAAAAAATAAATAATGGAAAAGTGGTGCGTGCATATGTATTCACCCCCTTTGCTATGAAGCCCCTAAATAAGATCTGGTGCAACCAATTACCTTCAGAAGTCACATAATTAGTTGAATAGAGTCCACCTGTGTGCAATCTAAGTGTCACATGATCTGTCACATGATCTCAGTATATATACACCTGTTCTGAAAGGCCCCAGAGTCTGCAACACCACTAAGCAAGGGGCACCACCAAGCAAGCGGCACCATGAAGACCAAGGAGCTCTCCAAACAGGTCAGGGACAAAGTTGTGGAGAAGTACAGATCAGGGTTGGGTTATAAAAAAATATCCAAAACTTTGAACATCCCACGGAGCACCATTAAATCCATTATTAAGAAATGGAAAGAATATGGCACCACAACAAACCTGCCAAGAGAGGGCTGCCCACCAAAACTCACGGACCAGGCAAGGAGGGCATTAATCAGAGAGGCAACAAAGAGACCAAAGATAACCCTGAAGGAGCTGCAAAGCTCCACAGTGGAGATTGGAGTATCTGTCCATAGGACTACTTTAAGCAGTACACTCCACAGAGCTGGGGTTTACGGAAGAGTGGCCAGAAAAAAGCCATTGCTTAAAGAAAAAAATAAGCAAACACGTTTGGTGTTCGCAAAAAGGCATGTGGGAGACTCCCCAAACATATGGAAGAAGGTACTCTGGTCAGATGAGACTAAAATTGAGCTTTTTGGCCACTGGGCAAAAATCCCAGTGGCTAGATGTGACAAGCTTATAGAGACATACCCCAAGAGACTTGCAGCTGTAATTGCTGTAAAACGTGGCTCTACAAAGTATTGACTTTGGGGGGGGTGAATAGTTATGCACGCTCAAGTTTTCTGTTTTTTTGTCTTATTTCTTGTTTGTTTCACAATAAAAAATATGGTGGTAGTGGTAGGCATGTTGTGTAAATCAAATGAAACAAACCCCAAAAAATCTATTTTAATTCCAGGTTGTAAGGCAACAAAATAGAAAAAATGCCAAGGGGGGTGAATACTTTCGCAAGCCACTGTATGGCTGTGGACGTAGCTTGTTTGGAGTGAAGGGGTTTGTGGGCTCAGATGATGAGCAGGGTGGTCTGGGAGTTGGAATGGCTTGGCTGTGGTTCCACTACTCTACTGTGTGTAAAGCCTCAGCAGTTTGCGGTGGATCATGGTTGACTAAGGGTTCCCACCAGCGCACAAGGACTCTTGTGTGTGACCTTTTCATTCAAACCAACATTTGGTTTAGCTGTTATTTCTCTGCTGATGTTTTGTAACATTGTTTCCAGCTAATACATTCTTGAATGTGATTCAGCTAAATCTAACATAGTCATAAACAAAACTGCTGAAAGTTTAGTGCATTTTTTAACAGAATATGTCCTTCCACCTTCTGGAGGTTACATTGTTCCAGTCTAACTGGAATTAAAAAACATAACTGTTAGTATACAAGGAAAGTAAACAGCGCCTGTAGTGTGGGTCTTATGTGCTACAGTATCCATCTTTAGTGCAGCATCCAAGTACTGTACAGATCTTAATTTGATCACTCTTTTGTTGCTGAGAATTTTCCTGCACAGCAGGAAATGCAAACTTGTAGTGTATTTGAGGTTTAAAAGGTCTTTCTAAAGTTTGTAATTTCCACTTTAAAATGTCAGACTTGATTTAACTTAACGAAAAGTGTATCAGCCCCTACAAAAAATGTCAATTTATTATAATCCACATTTCCTGTTGCTGCAGGACTATTTTCCTGCTGTAGCAAACTGGCTTGAATTAAGATCCTACATCTGTACCTGCATTTGGGTATCAAAGTAATCCCCAACTCTTACAAGATATGGAGTAAAAGTGTATAGTATAAAAAGTTACCATGATGCACTGTTTTCTGTTATGGCACAATGAGTTATGTATATAGATGAGAAGTATCCGCTGCTATTATGTGATCAGCTTTGACAGCAGAGCTGACCCTGGGGCAGTGGCCCCCCTGCTTCCCCTCTGATTGCATGGCTGTCCTATTGAATCATCCCTGTGCTCCTCCCGACACACCTGCCTGCTGTCCTGCACAGGCCTGGGATCAGACTTCAGGGGGACATGGTTTTTATTAGACTCCTGAGAGACAGCGATGATTACAAGAGCCAGGGTCTAACACTGTCACATCTAATGCTTCCACATGCGCCAAACTGCGTCCGACATCGTCCAACATGATGTCATGTTTTTTTCCAATGTTCCATTTCATCCAATGTAATTTAATGCGTTTATGTCACAGGAGCCTGCTCTTTGTATATTTTGTTCAAACTTATACCCTTTCCTCTAAATGTAGGAGCTGCAGTTGGAGCATGCCCGCCAGGCGTTTGCCCAGAAGGATAAGAGCAAGATTGGTACCATCTCTGCCATGGACTTCAGCGACATCATGGCCACCATCCGCCACCATATGCTCACCCCCTTTGTGGAGGAGAACCTGGTCTCAGTTAGTTAGAGACAGCTATGGTTTCCCAGTTTCAACATTAGATTATTGTAAGGGCACTGTGTGCATGAGGAGACCTCACAGTGTCTGTTCCTCTCTCCATAGGCGGCTGGAGGCAGCACTTCCCACATGGTGAGCTTCTCCTACTTCAATGCCTTCAACGCCCTCCTTAACAACATGGAGCTGATCCGCAAGATCTACAGCACACTAGCTGGCACATACAAGGATACCCTCGTCACCAAAGGTACACATGTAGGATCTTAATTTGAGCAAGTTTGCTACAGCAGGATATAATCCTGCAGCAACAGGAAATGTGAATAATTGTGTGGATTATAATTAATATACATTTTTACAGGGGTTGGTAAATTGAAGGAAAATTAAGTCTGAAATTTGTAAGTGGAAATTTCAAACTTCAGAAGCCTTTTTAAACCTCAAATACACTACAAATTTAAAATTTCCGGCATTGCAGGAAAGTCCTCTTGCAACAGGGTGATCAAATTAAGATTCTACATTTGTAGCCTACTCCTGCTCATACCTCATTTGAGAGTGAGGAAATGTGATTTCATACATGAACTGAGGCTGTACAGTACTATCATGGGTGTTTCACCTCTCTTGACAGAATGGTGTCAGGAAACACAATATAATTTTTCCTTAGCTCTAAGTAAATAAGGTCAATTAACACTGTAATATTATGTTTTACAGTGGGGGAAAAACGTATTTAGTCAGCCACCAATTGTGCAAGTTCTCCCACTTAAAAAGATGAGAGAGGCCTGTAATTTTCATCATAGGTACACGTCAACTATGACAGACAAAATGAGAGAGAAAAATCCAGAAAATCACATTGTAGGATTTTTAATGAATTTATTTGCAAATTATGGTGGAAAATAAGTATTTGGTCAATAACAAAAGTTTCTCAATACTTTGTTATATACCCTTTGTTGGCAATGACACAGGTCAAACGTTTTCTGTAAGTCTTCACAAGGCTTTCACACACTGTTGCTGGTATTTTGGCCCATTCCTCCATGCAGATCTCCTCTAGAGCAGTGATGTTTTGGGGCTGTCGCTGGGCAACACGGACTTTCAACTCCCTCCAAAGATTTTCTATGGGGTTGAGATCTGGAGACTGGCTAGGCCACTCCAGGACCTTGAAATGCTTCTTACGAAGCCACTCCTTCGTTGCCCGGGTGGTGTGTTTGGGATCATTGTCATGCTGAAAGACCCAGCCACGTTTCATCTTCAATGCCCTTGCTGATGGAAGGAGGTTTTCACTCAAAATCTCACGATACATGGCCCCAATCATTCTTTCCTTTACACGGATAAGTCGTCCTGGTCCCTTTGCAGAAAAACAGCCCCAAAGCATGATGTTTCCACCCCCATGCTTCACAGTAGGTATGGTGTTCTTTGGATGCAACTCAGCATTCTTTGTCCTCCAAACACGACGAGTTGAGTTTTTACCAAAAAGTTCTATTTAGGTTTCATCTGACCATATGACATTCTCCCAATCCTCTTCTGGATCATCCAAATGCACTCTAGCAAACTTCAGACGGGCCTGGACATGTACTGGCTTAAGCAGGGGGACACGTCTGGCACTGCAGGATTTGAGTCCCTGGCGGCGTAGTGTGTTACTGATGGTAGGCTTTGTTACTTTGGTCCCAGCTCTCTGTTGGTCATTCACTAGGTCCCCCCGTGTGGTTCTGGGATTTTTGCTCACCGTTCTTGTGATAATTTTGACCCCACGGGGTGAGATCCTGCGTGGAGCCCCAGATCGAGGGAGATTATCAGTGGTCTTGTATGTCTTCCATTTCCTAATAATTGCTCCTACAGTTGATGTCTTCAAACCAAGCTGCTTACCTATTGCAGATTCAGTCTTCCCAGCCTGGTGCAGGTCTACAATTTTGTTTCTGGTGTCCTTTGACAGCTCTTTGATCTTGGCCATAGTGGAGTTTGGAGTGTGACTGTTTGAGGTTGTGGACAGGTGTCTTTTATACTGATAACAAGTTCAAACAGGTGCCATTAATACAGGTAACGAGTGGAGGACAGAGGAGCCTCTTAAAGAAGAAGTTACAGGTCTGTGAGAGCCAGAAATCTTGCTTGTTTATAGGTGACCAAATACTTATTTTCCACCATAATTTGCAAATAAATTCATAAAAAATCCTACAATGTGATTTTCTTGATTTTTTTTCCTCAATTTGTCTGTCATAGTTGACGTGTACCTATGATGAAAATTACAGGCCTCTCTCATCTTTTTAAGTGGGAGAACTTGCACAATTGGTGGCTGACTAAATACTTTTTTCCCCCACTGTATTAGTTTAGACTGTTCCCTTAGATCTGTGGAATTGATAGTTGACCTGTTCTGATAGTGATAGTTATTTATGTTATATTTTCCCTTTCACCTTTGCAGTGTACTGCTGATGTGGTTGGTTACCCTTGCAGCAGGTCTACCCACCCACTGTATCCCTACATCCCTAGTCTTAGTAAGTGACCCCCTGCCTGGTTTTTCTTACATAACATGCCTTCCTCTGTTCCGTATTGTTCCACAGAAGAGTTTGTTAGTGCTGCCAACAAGTTTGGTCAGATCAATCCAATGGAAATTGACATCCTGTACCAGCTCTCTGGTCTCCACGCTCATTCTGGGTAAGGTTCAAACTCTCTCCAGTCTCAGTGACACATCACCGGTGCTTTGTGCTTTTTACTCACACGCATACAACATGGCCTTTGCATGGCCAAATATTGAATTACTGTCCTCCACATGAATTCAATATATCTAACACATTTATTGTAAATAGCTTTTTCTGATGAATCTGTGAATGGAAAAAAAGTTACATTTATATTTATTGGATGTAAATTATAAGTTATTGCCCATTCAGTTTAACAACTGTGGCTCCACTGGTTGATTTACAAGAGAAACGTAAGCATGGATACAGACTTTACGATGCGTTGGGCCAGTGAGGAATATCTGTGTATCACTGGCATTAAGACAGCTTTATTTACTGCTTGAGTTGTGGGAATATATCCAGCTTTGTTTGTCTGTTGTGTATACAAACTCATATTAAAGCTGCAATAACCTCAAGTTATAAGGCTGTAAAATGTCTGTGGAAAATCTTGCATCACCTCCGTGTGAGGGATGCTGTGTTTGGTTTTCCTGGCGTAACGTTGTGATTCTCCCCTGCTGTTCTTAAGAAAGCTCAACTTGGCGGACATCGAGAGGATAGCACCATTGGAGGAGGGCGCACTCCCATACCACCTGGCTGAGATCCAAAGACAGGTACCCTGCTGAATGACTGACCACATGGAGTTACCTGCTGCCTTTTATCTACTGCATGCCTTCTTCTCCCACTATGCTTTCTTATTAGAGCGCAACAAAAGGGAGTGTTTGATGACGTAATTAGCAGAGTGTTGATGTTTTCTCTTTCTTTGTGAATGTGCATTATGAACACCTAGGATAAAAGCATGTCCCATTTTATTCAGTGTGGACATATACATCAGACACAATCACATATCTGTGAAGCTTTTATCAGGATGGCTTTTCAGGAGTCTGCTAGTGTGTGGAGCATCTGGCTAAATCTGTTTAGAGTAGGAGGCTAGGAGCACAGTGAGAGTGCTGGAGAGATGTGGATCTAGGAGGCGGAAATAGTTCCTATCTTTCCAAACGACACAGCTCTGTAAATCAGACTGTGGTCAGGCCTTGGTCCACTCACGCTCCGGGACTTCTGCTCAGAGGTCTGGAATGTGGCTTTGGGGAAAAAGGAATGACAAGAACATGTTGGTGTTCTCAGGTCTGCCCCTTTGTGGAAGTAGGATAATTGCTTAAACCCTTTGATCAAGGCCTCGATCTCATTAGCATGCTGCCTTCAGTGAAAGCAGCTGGGGAGGTGGATGGGCCTGATCTGGGAGATGTTGCTCACTACACCAAGGAGGGCAGACACACTCCAACTGTTACTTAGCCAGTGTAATAATTAATGTAGAGACGTATCTCTACATGGGAAAGGCTTGTGGGATTAAGCTGTTACACGGCAGCACAGAGAAAACAAAGGGGCTCCACTTTCAACATCAAGAACAAAACCAGAGATCAGGCAGATAACACAAAATTATGCTTAGTTGAAAAAAATTCAACTAAGCATGAGGCCTTCAACCTCTCACTAGCTTCATCGTAATCAATGGATAGTTCTGGAAAGTTCTCCTACACAGTACTGTATCCGTAGCCAGAGTGTCTATGTCGTGACATACAATACTGGCTTATGAATAAGACTTATACCACGACAAGATGTCTACATTCCATAGCTTCCCTCCTCTGTTGAGTGGTCCATAACATTTTTCTTTCCACAATGTATCTGGTTCACTACAGTTTAATAGAAGTCGATTCATTCCTGGTGTTCTGATCTCCTGTCTTTTCTCCCTCAACAGCAAGCTCACGGGGATCCACATCGGTCTGTCTTGCTCCAGGCTGCAGAGTCTGCTTACAGGTTCGGTCTGGGCGCACTCGCTGGAGGTGAGTGACATGTCTACGGAAGAGCCCCCGGCCCACTGAGGGGTAACCCAAGCTGGTCAGACTGGCGCACTGAGTCCCTGGGGCCGGGTCTGCCCATTGTGCTTCAGGGAGAGGTGCTCTGATCTGAGGCTCCCGCATTGTGCTGCTGTGCCACTGGTGGCTCCAGGCTGTCTTTGGAGCCGGAGCTTTGGAATGACACAAATCTTCCGGAACCGCTATGGAATCTCTGTCTAATTACTCTGGGAGGAACTGATACAAGGAACCTCTGACATGACAGCCATTGAGATAGGCACAGACACAGAGAGAGAGAGAGAGAGAGAGAGAGAGTGTGTGTATGTACAGTGGGGGAAAAAAGTATTTAGTCAGCCACCAATTGTGCAAGTTCTCCCACTTAAAAAGATGAGAGAGGCCTGTAATTTTCATCATAGGTACATGTCAACTATGACAGACAAAATGAGAAAAAAATTTCCAGAAAATCACATTGTAGGATTTTTTATGAATTTATTTGCAAATTATGGTGGAAAATAAGTATTTGGTCAATAACAAAAGTTTCTCAATACTTTGTTATATACCCTTTGTTGGCAATGACACAGGTCAAACGTTTTCTGTAAGTCTTCACAAGGTTTTCACACACTGTTGCTGGTATTTTGGCCCATTCCTCCATGCAGATCTCCTCTAGAGCAGTGATGTTTTGGGGCTGTCGCTGGGCAACACGGACTTTCAACTCCCTCCAAAGATTTTCTATGGGGTTGAGATCTGGAGACTGGCTAGGCCACTCCAGGACCTTGAAATGCTTCTTACGAAGCCACTCCTTCGTTGCCAGGGTGGTGTGTTTGGGATCATTGTCATGCTGAAAGACCCAGCCACATTTCATCTTCAATGCCCTTGCTGATGGAAGGAGGTTTTCACTCAAAATCTCACGATACATGGCCCCAATCATTCTTTCCTTTACACGGATAAGTCGTCCTGGTCCCTTTGCAGAAAAACAGCCCCAAAGCATGATGTTTCCACCCCCATGCTTCACAGTAGGTATGGTGTTCTTTGGATGCAACTCAGCATTCTTTGTCCTCCAAACACGACGAGTTGAGTTTTTACCAAAAAGTTATATTTTGGTTTCATCTGACCATATGACATTCTCCCAATCCTCTTCTGGATCATCCAAATGCACTCTAATAAACTTCAGACGGGCCTGGACATGTACTGGCTTAAGCAGGGGGACACGTCTGGCACTGCAGGATTTGAGTCCCTGGCGGCGTAGTGTGTTACTGATGGTAGGCTTTGTTACTTTGGTCCCAGCTCTCTGCAGGTCATTCACTAGGTCCCCCCGTGTGGTTCTGGGATTTTTGCTCACCGTTCTTGTGATCATTTTGACCCCACGGGGTGAGATCTTGCGTGGAGCCCCAGATCGAGGGAGATTATCAGTGGTCTTGTATGTCTTCCATTTCCTAATAATTGCTCCCACAGTTGATTTCTTCAAACCAAGCTGCTTACCTATTGCAGATTCAGTGTTCCCAGCCTGGTGCAGGTCTACAATTTTGTTTCTGGTGTCCTTTGACAGCTCTTTGGTCTTGGCCATAGTGGAGTTTGGAGTGTGACTGTTTGAGGTTGTGGACAGGTGTCTTTTATACTGATAACAAGTTCAAACAGGTGCCATTAATACAGGTAACGAGTGGAGGACAGAGGAGCCTCTTAAAGAAGAAGTTACAGGTCTGTGAGAGCCAGAAATCTTGCTTGTTTGTAGGTGACCAAATACTTATTTTCCACCATAATTTGCAAATAAATTCATTAAAGATCCTACAATGTGATTTTCTGGATTTATTTTCCTCATTTTGTCTGTCATAGTTGACGTGTACCTATGATGAAAATTACAGGCCTCTCTCATCTTTTTAAGTCGGAGAACTTGCACAATTGGTGGCTGACTAAATACTTTTTTTCCCCACTGTATGTGCGTGTGTGTGTGTGTGTGAGTGCAACCAACATGCAACTTCCTAAGACCCTATGTCTTTGTGGGCTGTGGGTCTTTGAACCAGCTGCTGAGGAAGGTGATCAGTTCTGAATGATCAATGGACAGTTGAGGGAAATCGGTGCCTCTCCATGGCGATGATGAGACCTTTCTCAACCTCTCTTGCTGATGAAGGGTGTCAGCTCTTTGCATGCTTGAGAGCCAGAGTCATTACAAGGCCTTTGATGTCAGAGACAAGACATGACAAGCCGCTGTGGCTAAGAGCTGCATTTAGGGAAACCTGCTGCATGGCTGCCTCGTCAGACAATAGACACAATCTACACAACGGCTCTCCCACAGACTCCATAGTCAATACTCTGTCTGGGCCTAATGACTGTTGTTCTTGTTTATATGCCCACAGCAAAACAATAAAACACCAATCTTTAGCTATACTATACTAACCAATCTTTAGTACCTAAAAACTGTCTGCTAAATAGTTAAAATAATTATACATATATTTGCTGTGAATATATGAAGATCATTACATTTACATTACATTTTAGTCATTTAGCAGACGCTCATATCCAGAGCGACTTACAGGAGCAATTAGGGTTAAGTGCCTTGCTTAAGGGCACATCGACAGATTTTTCACCTAGTCGGCTCGGGGATTAGAACCAGCGACCTTTCAGTTACTGGCACAACGCTCTTACCCACTAAGCTACCTGCCGCCCAATCATAGAATATTATCACCAAGAAGAGTATGTTGATGGTGTGAATACAGTATGTTGATGGTGTGAGGACAGTATGCTGATGGTGTGAATACAGTATGTTGATGGTGTGTGTACAGTATGTTGATGGTGTAAATACAGTATGTTGATGGTGTAAATACAGTATGTTGATGGTGTGAATACAGTATGTTGATGGTTTGAATACAGTATGTTGATGGTGTGAATACAGTATGTTGATGGTGTGAATACAGTATGTTGATGGTGTGTGATTTTCAGCCACGGGTGCGACCGCTGTGTACCCCATTGATCTGGTGAAGACCCGTATGCAGAACCAGCGCTCCACCAGCTCCTTCGTAGGAGAGCTCATGTACAAGAACAGCTTCGACTGTGCCAAGAAAGTGTTCCGATATGAGGGATTCTTTGGATTCTACAGAGGTATAAACTAAAGCATGGTGAATGGGTTTCTATTATGTAATGCTAGATACGGTCATCGGGTCCTCCAAAACAAGTTATGTTGTTCTGCCAGGATCATCATCCGCATGGTTTGCATAATAGCAGAAACATTTGCCTTCATGTTCTAAATTCACCAAGTCCATGGAGGGCCACATTGTCATTACCTAGCTAGCTGAAAACGTCCCAGAGGAAAAACGCAAACAGAACTCATGTAGAAGTGTCAGATCCATGTTTTCCAGTGTAGTGATAACGGTGCTGAAGGCTTGTGATATATAAAACTCCCACAGTGAGAGGGCTCTCAGATGAAGGAAGTCAAGACTGCCATCTACTGCTGCCTCCGTCACTGCAGCTCTTTGTTAGTCCTCTCTGCTCTGTCCTCCTTCCTCCCTCTTTATCTTTCCACACTGATGAGAGGGGGATTGACTGAGAGACAGACATGCTTGACTGTTTTCTGGCTGCATACCATGAGGAGTCACTCACTAGCTCCTTCAGAAGTTTATCTGGCTCACTGAAGGACGGACGGTGAAACAGTACAGTGGTTATCAGCGCTATAGCACTGACCCCCCTCCCACCAGGGCCACACAGCTCTCTCTGTTCCACACGACACTGGGATCAGGCCACAACAATGCTGAGCCCATACAACTGCCAGTGTCATATTTGAGCTTTTTGTTCATTTGAATGGGAGGCATTGTCGTTTGGTGCATCAGATGTATCAGCCGTATCTGTAAATATTGATTGTTTATTTTACCCAGACAAGAATCATGCTGATTTCATTGTAGGGACTGTCAGTGGATGCATTTATTTCCAGTCAGTGTCTTCCTCTGACAGGAAATCTAAAAGGTCTCCATGAATACTGTTTTGCAGGTCTCGTACCACAGCTTATCGGTGTTGCCCCAGAGAAAGCTATCAAACTCACGGTAAGTCATTACAATCATTTCCCTTAGAGTGCCTTCACTTTCATTGCACAATAAGGAAAAGTTGTACCCTTCGTATGTTGAACATGAATACCATCTCACAGAAAATACAATACGTCTTCCAAAATCCAAGACGTGACTAGATGCACTCATTGTCATTCTCCTTGAGGATTTATTTATTTAAAAGTGTGCTTTGTGCTTGTCTGATTATCTTCTCTTTTCTTACAGATGAATGACTTTGTAAGAGACAAATTCACCACAGAAGATAACACCATTCCCCTGTTTGCAGAAGTCCTGGCTGGTGCAACTGTAAGTATTGACGTGAGGATGTCTTCGTATAGACAGTCTGTCTATACAGAGTGAGGGCTGAAAATACTCTTGTGCTTCATGCAAAGCAAAGTTAAAGTGTTGGCATTGACTCACATAAATCCAATTGACCTTGATGTGGGGGAAGTGAAACAAGATTTTTGTTGAAACTAAAACATTCTGTAAGATTTTCTCTTTCAGTTTATGAACATTTGCATCTCATGGGTGTACATTTTGAATTCCAGACATTGAGCCAAGAACGGGAGGACATTTTTGTGGTTTTCAAACTCCTTCAACTTCAAGGTTTAGCTTAATTCTTTCTGACTGATATGAAAATACAATTATAAGCTTTTCATTTTCAATTAGAATTACGGATATTGAGTTATTGTATATAAATGTAAGCTCTAATTCAAGCTTCCCGCCAGTGTATTGACATCCTAAATAACTAGGGGGGCTGAATAGAAAGGCGCTCTTTGGTCTCTGAACCCTATAATTGGGCACAATTTGAGAAATGATGCCTGTGAATGGACTATTTTTACCTCAGCGTGCTAATTAGGCACACTAACGTTTGGTGAGTGCATTGGTTAAAAAGCGCGCAATTCCGTCGGCCTACCTCTCTGCTAAATGAGTCCAAGTGAAACGAAACAGACAGGGCGGGGAGGAGAGCCTGCAGGTTGCCTACGGAGGGCAGGGTCTGTGGGGTTATGACCCCTGTCAGCCTGTAATTGGAGGAAGAAGGGCTGGAGGGCCATGGGATGGAGCTGGCTTTACCTCACTGTGATTGAGTTTGACAGGACTGCACATACCTGAGGCCTGATCTGCCATGGGCCCATGGGCACCACAGGTCCATACACCATACAAGTACAACAACAAGCATAGCATGCACCCTATAACTTTTTAGTTCTGGTGAAGGACACCACCCTGCAATGTTATCTTCTCTAATGTATTATGTAAGCATTGATATTCATGTTTGTGAGATTTTCCCCATAGTATTAATTTCTTGCACATCTGATAAACATGGTCTTCATGTAAAGTAGTTTCACATTGTAGAGCAGGGGTCTTCAACCTTTTCTTGCCCAGGGACCCCCTTCCAGGCAAACCGATGACCCAGGGACCCCCATCATATGTTACCAAAAAATAATCACATATCTTGTCTTATCATCAGGTGAATGATATTGGCAAGGAGAAGTAATCAACATTTTAAAATGAATAGATTTGATAGACAGTTTAATTATTTTGACCTCCCCACAATATAACTGGAAGAGGAAGTGTAAACTCTAACACAGCCTATTAGCTAGAAAGGTAACTCCAAACACATTTTCGCTAAAAGATCATCTGTTTAGCTGGTAGGCCATGTGTTGGCAAAAAATGAATGTCCAAGTCAAGAACGCTTACCGGCAGCCAGCGGCACTTGCCGCACTAGTAGCCTATTTGTGAGTGCTTTTTCAAAGCCTATGTCAAATACTACAGTGAGTGTAATTGAATCCAACGAGTGTAATTTGCTCAATATTAGGAGTTGAGAAATAAAGTTGACATCATTACAAAGAAGATACTATATTCTCCTCTTTTTTACTGCAGGTATGTCATTCAAAAATACATGTATTCTGTTGTTGCTAGCGATGTTCATAAAATACCCCACTGACATGTTTTCTTTTTTTTACATACCCCAGTTGAATAACCCTGTTGTAGAGGGCAAATGTTCTGTTAGTTTGTTGTAATGTTATCCCTCCTGACTGAATGAATAAGTGGGGAATATAAAGGAGATAGAGACAGAGGGATGAATGCATAAATCTTCAGAGTAGCAGATGTTCCCCTTCCACTTTGAAAATGACTAAACGTGCCTGAGCTTTTTTTAGGACAGCGCTCGGATGTTTACAGATAGGAGCCCTGCCCTCTGTGTCACCAGCAGGCATCCAGGGGCCTGATTAGATTTGGGGAGGGTGATAAATGTGCCTGAGTCAGAGGGGCTGTGCCCTTGGGCGTCCCTGTCTTGGCCCTGAGCAGAGCATGGTGATTCAGCGCTCTCCCCTGGGAATGGGGTGAATTGGGGAAGTGTGCGGGGCGAGGCCAGGCTGGGCCACTCACCCCTCTACAGGAGGTGCCTGGGGTGCCTGGGGAGAGGGAAGGGGCAGAGGGCTGGTGCCAGGGTCAGGGCCTTCCAGCCTTGAGCCAGGCTTCTCCTCACACCACGCCTGTCTTTCCCTGACCCCACTGTTTCCTCCCTCAATGTCTGCTTGTTTCTCCTGCTCCCATCAAGACCACTGTCTGACAGCGCGACATTAGCGCTAGAAAAGTGTATTTTGTGTTTAAGTTTACAAAGCTAATTTGAAAGTGCTTATTGGGGTGAAATGCTTAGGCACCATAAGTTATTATCATCCTCACCATGGGCTGACCCCTTAATCATAGGACACAAGTAAACAAATAAATGAAAAGGATTTAATTACTGTAAGTGATTACTTTCATTTGACAATTTAAGTTTTGCATTATAGATATAGATTTATTTGTGAGATGGAAAGTGAGTAAGACAGAAAATGAGTAAGACGATCTTATAACATTGCTGTTACTGGTGCACTGTGACATGTACTGTTGCTTCTCACCCTAACCTGGGTTGTGTTCTGCAGGCTGGAGGCTCCCAGGTGATCTTCACCAATCCTCTGGAGATAGTCAAGATCCGTCTCCAGGTGGCCGGAGAGATCACCACGTCCCGAAGGGTTGGTGCCCTGACCGTGGTCAGGGACCTGGGCCTCTTTGGCCTCTACAAGGTGGGTAAACTCCTCTACATCACAGCACCACTCTAAAAACCTATGTTATAGCCTAACTCAACCACCTCTGCATGATGTCACCCCCAAGGGCAGCTTATGCTGCTGTGATGTTGAACAATACATACTGTATGACTGTTTAACAATGCTATTACATAAGACAATGCTGATATTACATAAGGAATATGAGAGTTCTGATGAGCAGGCACAGTCTGCAGTAGGATGACTAGCTAGATTCCCAACTGACTATTACAATCATATTATGTCTTTCCAAAACAGTGTTTAACATGCAGGGAGACCACGGCTGCCAACAACCAACAGAAAATGAGGGGGGATTATGCTTTACCACTGCTCCTTTCCAAGTTCTCGTGGGTTTACTTACATCTCGAGTAATGTGTTCATGGTCCATATTTTAATGAGAAGCAGACAATGTGGAGCTTGTTAAAAGAGACTCACTTCCTCCCTGTGGATGGGCCCAGTAGACCACGGGTCCATGTTAATGCTGTCTCGGTGTGTGTCTGAGAGACTGCGGGCTGGGAGGGAGGGAGCTCTCTGGGGGCCCCGGGGGAAACCACGGGGGAGCAGTGCTGCCTGGGGGCCTTCTGGCTCCTTCTGTGACCCACCGCACCGCCAGGCTCCTCTGTTGGTTGGCTGAGGTTCACAGCCAGCCAACAATAATCCACTGGAGCTCCCAGGCTAGATGATCCCGTAGCCACAGCGGCCGCCTGAACCACTGCAATTACCCTCTACACCATCAGGGTCAAACATATGAATTACAGTAGAATATTCAGTATTGTAGAATATTCAGTACAGTAGTCCAAACCTGGACTAAAGAGACCAGATGTCGACACTACTTAACTCATTTGATGTTGATGATTCCACATAAACCTGTGCAATATACAATATACAAGCACTCAAAGCGTTATCATGAGAAAATATCTAATAAAGTAATGTACCATGAAAATGCGATGTTCTTGCAGGTGTAGTTATTTTGGGTCATATAAAATAAATCATTATGCGTTTGTGTGTCCTAGGGAGCGAAAGCCTGTTTTCTGCGTGACATCCCGTTCTCTGCCATCTACTTCCCTGTGTACGCCCACACCAAGGCTGAGTTTGCAGACGAACAGGGCAGAATTGGCGCTTTGCAGCTGCTCACTGCTGGTGCCATAGCAGGTAACTAGCGCTAACAACCACAGCTGCAAACCTCACCATCTCAACCTATAGACATAGCATCGACACTAGACCTGAAGAAATGCTTAAGGTCAATTAATATATATATATATTTTTATCATTAACAGTATATTCAATATGATTGTAATCTACTTTCTATAACATGTACAGTAAATGACTGGACATTCTGTTCCTTTTCTATTTTAAACCTGGCATTGTACTGCACTGCTTGCCATCAGTGGTGATACTGTTCCTGCATAGTGAGAGTGCCTCATTATGTGGGTTGTGCAACACCTCCTAAGGTATACCTGCTGCCTCCCTGGTGACCCCTGCCGATGTCGTCAAGACCAGGCTTCAGGTGGCGGCACGCGCAGGCCAGACCACATACAACGGCGTTATAGACTGCTTCAGGAAGATCATTGCTGAGGAGGGCTTCAGGGCCCTGTGGAAGGGAGCAGGAGGTAGGGGACACACGCACTCAAATGAGCGGTTTCATGACTGGGAAATTAGGCACTCCGTGGCTCCCATAATTGCTCTCTTGAAGACATCAGAGAAAATGTGAAATCCCACATTGTAATTTTAACCTCTGTCCCACCAGCCCGTGTCTGCAGGTCCTCGCCACAGTTTGGTGTAACCTTGGTGACTTATGAACTCTTGCAGAGATGGTTCTACATCGACTTTGGAGGACAGTGAGTATTCTGTCTGGCTCACCTATAGTGAACTGAAGTACACTTACAGTTACAAGGATGTCAGTTTATGTCTGCCATTGTATGTTGTTTATCCTTCCCAAATCTTTTCCCCCCAGTCGCCCCACCGGTTCTGAGCCAACTCCTAAGTCGAGGATCTCCGACCTTCCCCCTGTAAGTGCTGACCACGTAGGAGGCTACCGTCTGGCTGCTGCCACATTCGCTGGTGTGGAGAACAAGTTTGGTCTACACCTGCCCAAGTTCAAGTCTTCTGGAGTGGTGTCTGTTAGCCAAGCCCCAGCTGTGCCCAAAAACGAGCCTACGGCCTCGTAAGCTGTCGGTCTCCCTCTCAACACTTTACTGCTAAATGGCTGCAAGCTCCTTGAGTAGGGCGTCTTAAAATGTCTCTGTCCTGTCATCCCTCTGAAATGGTTTGGTTAAAAAAATGTAACATCTCTTCTCCTTCATTCATAGGCATTTGAAACGCTCTCTTTGAATGCTGCATGAATAGTGCTTCCTTGGTTTGTCTTTGAATAGCTGTTACTGTACATATTGTACATCTCAGTGGAGAGACATTATAGCATTGAAAAGGAGTGGTGTTACTATTGTGTTTCTTGAAGTGAGGCTTTGATGTCGGCTCGTCAGTCAAATTTCAGAGACTTGAAAGGACGTACAGATGTTTTCGAAAGTATTTATTATAAAATCATGACCAGTGTCTTGGGAAATAATTTTAATCTATTTTGATGAAATAAATCATTGAAATTGATAAATATTTATTATGTGAAAAGTACATTCTGAGATTCATGACACGATATGTGGGAGATGTTCTCTGGGTCACACAAAGGGAAGCTTTCCTTAGACACTACATACAGACAGTATGGATACTGAATCCATACCGCAGATATCAAGCAATTTTCCAATACAGCATAATATCCTGAGGTATTCTACAGATTCTGGTTCTGATTTTTTTTTAAAATTAAGAGCAATAGTCATGTGCAAAGACATTCAGACGAAAGTTGAAGATTACATTTTTTGATATATTACAAAACAAGTGGACATTTGGCGCATCTAGGTTAAAGGAACATATAAAAACACTGGCTAACAGTATAATGAGACCACTACATTCCTGTGTGTAGTAATGATGTGATAGATCTAGTCTACTACAGTTGAAGTGGACATGGGCATTGAAGCACAGTGTGAACAACAAACATCAGTCATGATGACAGCAAACACATGCTCAGGGTTGTGTAACCACAAACAAGTCGAGTGGCCAGTGAAACTGAACCTGCAGCTAAACCCACAACACTACCGTATGGATTCAGACACATGAGATCTCTGCATGGAGTTGACATGGTACCTTTAAGGCATTTTGGTTCTTGAGTTCAACTGATTTGTATTGCAGAGTAAGACGATGGCTTTGTTTCTTGTAGTGTCTGAGGTTGATAGATAGCCCTGTTAGTTATCCCATCAGACTGGTTTGCTTAACCAGCCAATGGAGAAGGCGAGAACGTAGAAGTATCCAAGTTAAGTATGTGTATTGAATCTGACTACAATGTTTCCATAGAAAGATGTCCACATGCCTAAACACTGTCGCAATCGCGCCTTTTCCTTCAATCAAAACGAGGCTGACATTATGAAGCCGGTTGCTGGTCCCTAGACTGGCGTTTCCATTGCGATCAGGCAGAGAGGCGCTGAGCGGCAAGCTCCTCAGCGTCATCCCGGTTCTCGTTGATCTCCGCCAGGGTTCGGACAAAACGGGTCCACTCGTCGTTGCGTGGAACAGCGATTTGCTGGGGGGGAATAAAAACATTGATATGGGTGAAAATACTAACACATATTGTTGAAGCTGGGACACTCAGGGGGCAGGGAATCACTGGCAATCTTCCAACTGTCACAGAGACTTGACCCATCAGTGGCAGAAATCAGGGGGGGAGAGCTCCTCTCTGTATTTGCAGCTCCCCACTCACTGACCTGACTGATACAGAAACTCAGACAGACCCTCAGGAGCTGTCTCCGTCCAGATAGCTGGCCTCTGACAAGACAATGGCTTAATTGTTGTCCGAAGAAATGGAGCAAAAAGTATTACCAGAGCCCCTTCACCTCCACTAGAGGGAAAATAAGGTACTCCATTTCAGGCAGAATGATAAAAATAAATACACTGCTGAACCTCTCAAATAAGTGTATTTATTTTTTTACTACTTTGTTAATATTAATTAAGTATTTATTTGTATCATTCTGCCTGAAATGGAGTACCTTTACAAACATTTTAGATTTAGCCTATATCTCAATTCTGGCTCAAATGTCTGAATGCAAAACCCCCTAGAGATTACCCTTACCAAACATATATGAAGAATGCCATGCGTTTTAATGGTACAGTAAAGGCTCTTAACCCACTCACCTCTCCAACATCATAGACCAGGATCTGTCCATCAGAGTCTCCCACGGCTATCTCTTTGCCAGAGTGGGCCCATCGCACGCGGTTCAGGGCTGGGTTCCCCTCCACTGTGGTACTGGCTGTAGGAACCTGCAAAAGAAACAGCTTCTTTGTCAACACCTACAATACCAATACTGATTGGCTGACTTCTGTGACACTATGGGCCGGTTTCCCAGACACAGATTAAGCCTAGTCCTGGACTAAAAAGCATTCTCAATGAAGAATCTGCATTGAAAGTGCTTTTTAGTCCAGGACTGGGCATCACCTGTGTCCGGGAAACCACCCCTATAGATCCTGCATTGGTGCAGCACTTATAAATGGGGGCATGTGAAAGAGTGCCAGGTAACGTTACCTCAGTGTCGTTGTTGAGGTTCCACAGATCAAGATGGCCCACTCCATCTACACACGCAAACAGAGCCGGGTGAGTGGGGGACCACATGACATCATAGACGTAATCCGAGTTGTCCTCGAACGAGTACAGTGGCTTGTTGTTCTGGAAGAGAGAAACGGGAGGCGGCGCATGAAAACATTCATCCACTCTGAACTGACTGTGCGCAATACAAATATCTGGATTAATGCTAAAACACAGATGCACACTGAGCTTTGTAGGGTTAATGGAGTCAGAATTCAACCACATACAGTGGGGAAAACAAGTATTTAGTCACCACCATTGTGCAAGTTCTCCCACTTAAAAAGATGAGAGAGGCCTGTAATTTTCATCTAGTACAACGTCAACTATGACAACAATTGAGAAAAAAAATCCAGAAAATCCCATTGTAGGATTTTAATGAATTTATTTGCAAATTAGGTGGAAAATAATATTTGGTCACCTACAACAAGCAAGATTTTCTGCTCTCACAGACCTGTAACGTCCTTTAAGAGGCTCTCCTCTGTCCTCCCCTCGTTACCTGTATTAATGGCAACTGTTTGAACTTGTTATCAGTATAAAAGACACCTGTCCACAACCTCAAACAGTCACACTCCAAACTCCACTATGGCCAAGACCAAAGAGCTGTCAAAGGACACCAGAAACAAAATTGTAGACCTGCACCAGGCTGGGAAGACTGAATCTGCAATAGGTAAGCAGCTTGGTTTGAATAAATCAACTGTGGGAGCAATTATTAGGAAATGGAAGACATACAAGACCACTGATAATCTCCCTCGATCTGGGGCACCACGCAAGATCTCACCCTGTGGGGTCAAAATGATCACAAGAACGGTGAGCAAAAATCCCAGAACCACACGGGGGGACCTAGTGAATGACCTGCAGAGAGCTGGGACCAAAGTAACAAAGCCTACCATCAGTAACACACTACGCCACCAGGGACCCAAATCCTGCAGTGCCAGACGTGTCACCCTGCTTAAGCCAGTACATGTCAAGGCCCATCTGAAGTTTGCTAGAGTGCATTTGGATGATCCAGAAGAGGATTGGGAGAATGTCATATGGTCAGATGAAACTTTTTGGTAAAAACTCAACTCGTCGTGTTTGGAGGACAAAGAATGCTGAGTTGCATCCAAAGAACACCATACCTACTGTGAAGCATGGGGGTGGAAACATCATGCTATGGGGCTGTTTTTCTGCAAAGGGACCAGGACGACTGATCCGTGTAAAGGAAAGAATGAATGGGGCCATGTATCGTGAGATTTTGAGTGAAAACCTCCTTCCATCAGCAAGGGCATTGAAGATTAAATGTAGCTGGGTCTTTCAGCATGACAATGATCCCAAACACACCGCCCGGGCAACGAAGGAGTGGCTTCGTAAGAAGCATTTCAAGGTCCTGGAGTGGCCTAGCCAGTCGCCAGATCTCAACCCCATAGAAAATCTTTGGAGGGAGTTGAAAGTCCGTGTTGCCCAGCGACAGCCCCAAAACATCACTGCTCTAGAGGAGATATGCATGGAGGAATGGGCCAAAATACCAGCAACAGTGTGTGAAAACCCTGTGAAGACTTACAGAAAACGTTTGACCTGTGTCATTGCCAACAAAGGGTATATAACAAAGTATTGAGAACTTTTGTTATTGACCAAATACTTATTTTCCCACCATTATAATTTTTGATTTTTTTTCCTCAATAGTCTGTCAAGTACGTGTCCTAGATAAAATACAGCCTCTCCGCTTTTAAAGTGGAGAACTTTGCAATTGTGGCTGACTAAATACTTTTTTTCCCCACTGTATGCACTGAAAATTACAACCTTAGAACACCTTCTAATATGGGGACTTCGCTTCCCCTGCCTAAATGACTTTTCCCCTCAATTCTTGGCAGACTCTACAAAACGTTGAACATTCGACAGGGATGCTGCCCCTGCTTGACGCCAACCTTCAAGTTGTGTCAAAGTTGGGTGGATGTCCTTTGGTGGTGGGCCATGTTAAATTAACCCCAACCTGCCAACTGCAGGTAGATTTTAGCATTGGCGGGTAAGATGTCTATTTCACCAGCCACGTTGGCATTTATAGTAAAATAAATGCTGCAGTAGCTGTTTTCAAAGTATTTCTGCCGTTTTGTTTCATAGCTGGTAAATTAATCGCACAAAGTCAAAGAACTACGAATCCTATATAGCCTATTCCAGCTCACGCTGCAACACTGCCTGGCTGGGGGCTGTGCGCATGTGAAGAGCTGAGTGAAAGATTCATTTTTAGAAGCGCCGCGCACAGGCATAAAAATTGGTCTAATTTACATGAAATTAAAGTCTACTGAAGTGAGACTGTCCTTGTGTGTCTTGTTCACATGCTATGTTGTTTTTCAATGTTTGAGTTTCAACTGCTAGGGAAGAGAAGACAGCGCTGCTACTAAATCAGACTCAATCTCAAAGGCACAAACATGACTCGAGTCGCATTACCACGTAACCTCCCGCCCTTAAAGGGGCAGGTTAATTTTTTTTTGTCTCATCTGTGATGTTTTGGTTAAAAGACTCAGGTCATAAAAATTTAATTAAACAATATACCACATTACTTCTTACCAGAGTTGTGGACTCGAGTCTGACTCAAGTAAAACATGTGATGACTTGAGACTCCACTTGATATAAAATAAAATAACTTGACCCTTAAGACTCGGAACTAGACTTTGACTGAAATTATCTGGACAGGTTTTGTAATGTTCTGTCACTCATTTTGTGGCACAGAGTCTACGTGGATTACACGCAGCCAGAGACAGCAACCGCAGCATTGCCCTTGCAAAGAAAACTGCAACAGATTGAAAAGCACACTCGGTACTCTGATTGGACCAGCAAACTGTCAATCAACACAGGTCGGGAGTGTTTGCATATTGCTGATTTTCTGTACAGCTATAGGATCGGGTGCAGCGCAAACGTCAAATTGTAGGGAGAGAGGATTGCCATATGAAATAAATATGCAGCTCCAAAAATGGTTTGGTCATCAAGCATATTAATCTGTTTACTTTGCAAGCTCACTAGCAATGGGGCAACAGTTACTAGCATAGGCCTACTGTAATTTAATTTTAAAGCTTGCATTTAGAATTTGTTAAAATTAATTATTACTGTGGCGAAGACGCACCATAGCAGTGGAGTGCTTTTTTTTCCACTTGTTGAAATGTTTGTTGTTGCTTTCACACGTTTAAATGCATAGGCCCTATATGGTAAATCTATTCCATCTAATACTACAATAATTACTAGCCTTTCATCATGCCATCCCCGTACTGTTTATTGCAACACGTAGACATTTCTGTTTCATGTTTGATAGGCCATCGATACATTTTCATTTTATAGCCAACCATTTCTTACCCTGCTCTGAGTGGGCGCAATGTTTATAGTGCACATGAACGTTCGCAAGATTCATGAGGTAGAAGTTCTATTTATTTAATTCAATGCATGCCTTTCCTGGGTTATGCCGGAGTTCCGTGTGTATGTTGCCCCGTTCAAAACAACTGGGAACTCAGAAATCTCTTGACTTCCGACTTCAGTGCATTCAAAAAAACTTGGAAGAAAAACAAGCCCGATGGGAAAAATCGATTTGAACGGTCATCCAACTAGGAATTCCAATTCTGGAACTCGGCCTCTTCTAGAGCTCCGACTTTCCGACCTGAAGATCACGACGTCATGATTTGACCTCGTATTTTTCCGAGTTCCCAGTTGTTTTGAATGCGGCATAAATCCTGTCTCTTGTCATTTTGTTGTGTGTAATAGGAGCGCGAGCACCTCAGTGCACATAGACATAGGCTACGTACCTGCGCTCCACTTTGGATCAGAACTTGAATGATTGTTCATGTAGCTGGTGTGAAATATATAATATTAGACTAATCACGACTTTAATTGACCCTTAAAGTACAGTAGTATGTACATTTTTTTCATGCCGTGGATGCCACAAAGGGTATATAAAGATTGAGACTTTGTATTGACCAAATACTTATTTTCCACCATAATTTGCAAATAAATTCATTAAAAATCCTACAATGTGATTTTCTTAACGTGTACACATACAGCCTTTGTAAGTGGGAGAACTGCCAAGTGTGTATGCACTGAGTGTACAAAACATTGAGAACACCTTCCTAATATTGAGTTGCTTCCCCCTGCCTTTTGACCTCAGAACAGCCTCAATTCGTTGGGGCATGGACTCTACAAGGTGTTGAAAGCATTCGACAGGGATGCTGGCCCATGTTGACGCCAATGCTTCCCACAGTTGTGTAAAGTTGGCTGGATGTCCTTTGGGTGGTGGACACTGCCTTAAATTAACACCCACCACCTGCCAAATGCAGGTAGATTTTAGCATTGGCGGGTAAGATGTCTATTTCACCAGCCACGTTGGCATTTATAGTAAAATAAATGCTGCAGTAGCTGTTTTCAAAGTATTTCTGCCGTTTTGTTTCATAGCTGGTAAATTAATCGCACAAAGTCAAAGAACTACGAATCCTATATAGCCTATCGCACCTCGCGCTGCAACACTGCCTGGCTGGGGGCTGTGCACACATGAAGAGCTGAGTGAAAGATTCATTTTTAGAAGCGCCGCGCACAGGCATAAAAATTGGTCTAATTTACATGAAATTAAAGTCTACTGAAGTGAGACTGTCCTTGTGTGTCTTGTTCACATGCTATGTTGTTTTTCAATGTTTGAGTTTCAACTGCTAGGGAAGAGAAGACAGCGCTGCTACTAAATCAGACTCAATCTCAAAGGCACAAACATGACTCGAGTCGCATTACCACGTAACCTCCCGCCCTTAAAGGGGCAGGTAAAACATTTTTTGTCTCATCTGTGATGTTTTGGTTAAAAGACTCAGGTCATAAAAATTTAATTAAACAATATACCACATTACTTCTTACCAGAGTTGTGGACTCGAGTCTGACTCAAGTAAAACATGTGATGACTTGAAACTCCACTTGATATAAAATAAAATAACTTGACCCTTAAGACTCGGAACAAGACTTTGACTGAAATTATCTGGACAGGTTTTGTAATGTTCTGTCACTCATTTTGTGGCACAGAGTCTACGTGGATTACACGCAACCAGAGACAGCAACCGCAGCATTGCCCTTGCAAAGAAAACTGCAACAGATTGAAAAGCACACTAGGTACTCTGATTGGACCAGCAAACTGTCAATCAACACAGGTCGGGAGTGTTTGCATATTGCTGATTTTCTGTACAGCTATAGGATCGGGTGCAGCGCAAACGTCAAATTGTAGGGAGAGAGGATTGCCATATGAAATAAATATGCAGCTCCAAAAATGGTTTGGTCATCAAGCATATTAATCTGTTTACTTTGCAAGCTCACTAGCAATGGGGCAACAGTTACTAGCATAGGCCTACTGTAATTTAATTTTAAAGCTTGCATTTATAATTTGTTAAAATTAATTATTACTGTGGCGAAGACGCACCATAGCAGTGGAGTGCTTTTTTTCCACTTGTTGAAATGTTTGTTGTTGCTTTCACACGTTTAAATGCATAGGCCCTATGTGGTAAATCTATTCCATCTAATACTACAATAATTACTAGCCTTTCATCATGCCATCCCCGTACTGTTTATTGCAACACGTAGACATTTATGTTTCATGTTTGATAGGCCATCGATACATTTTCATTTTATAGCCAACCATTTCTTACCCTGCTCTGAGTGGGCGCAATGTTTATAGTGCACATGAACGTTCGCAAGATTCATGAGGTAGAAGTTCTATTTATTTAATTCAATGCATGCCTTTCCTGGGTTATGCCGGAGTTCCGTGTGTATGTTGCCGCGTTCAAAACAACTGGGAACTCGGAAATCTCTTGACTTCCGACTTCAGTGCATTCAAAACAACTTGGAAGAAAAACAAGCCCCGACTGGGAAAAATCGATTTGAACGGTCATCCAACTAGGAATTCCAATTCTGGAACTCCGGCCTCTTTCTAGAGCTCCGACTTTCCGACCTGAAGATCACTGACGTCATGATTTGACCTCGTAGTTTTCCGAGTTCCCAGTTGTTTTGAATGCTGCATAAATCCTAGTCTCTTGTCATTTTTGTTGTGTGTAATAGGAGCGCGCGCACCTCAGTGCACATAGACATAGGCTACGTAGCCTGCGCTCCACGCTTTGGAGTCAGAACGTTGAATGATTGTTCCATGTATGCATGGTGTTGAAATATCAATAATCATTAAGACTAATCTAACAATATATGTGGAAATGGCCTTTTACATTTTAGTCATTTAGCAGACGCTCTTATGCAGAGAGACTTACAGTTAGTGAGTGCATACATTCTTTTCATACTGACCCCCGTGGGAATCGAACCCACAACCCTGGCGTTGCAAGCGCCATGCTCTACCAACTGAGCTACAGGAGGCCTACATTGTAGAACCAGTTTATTGGTTGTAATTGCCAATTGGCTAATTGTATGGTCCTGGGGGCTATGTGCTTATATTATGTAGGCCTACCTGTTTGAGCTCTTGTGTTTGATAGATTCGATTTTGTTTCTCAATGGGAGGCTGTACAGTCTTGCCCTCTACCGGTGTCCGTTCAGATAGCCTCTGTATCAGGCTTAACTTGTCCTATTTCTTTTGGGCTATTACCCGTGTATATTTGGTAAATCTACTTGTATATTTTGTATGATATGGCGCTTTCACCATTGGATCACAAAGACCTGTAAATAAATCTACACTGAGCACGTCAACCTGCCTTGCCTCCTGCTGGTTTCATGCCCTTATGACTGCTACATGTCCATATTTGACAGTTACATAGGTTAATAAAGATATGTTGTGGACAAAATAATGAAAAGGTCAGTCTGGCAGCCTCAATAAACAGACAAAGATTTGTAGTTGAACAAGTCGTTGCATGTATAGATTTTGTTTTTACTTGACTTGAGACTTGACTTGAACATTTGTGACTCGGCTCGACTTCACTTGCTCTTAGAATGCACGACTTGGATTTGACTCGTTCTACTTGGGACTCGACTTGAGACTCGGACCTTGTGACTTGAGACTTGCTTGTGACTCGAATAATAGTGACTTGGTCCCACCTCTGCTTCTTACTAGAAATACATTTATTGTTTTAGAAACATTACAAAGCACGCTCATCCGTTTTTTTCTGTTTTGTTGGTGTAATTTTTGCGGGGTAAAAATATTTTAGCTGGTAAAAAAATCTACCTGCCATAGTCGCTGGTGGACCAAAAAGTACATTTTAGGCCCTGGTGGTGGACCATTCTTCATACACACGTGAAACTGTTTTGTGAAAAACCCAGCAGTGGTGCGCCTGGCACCTACTACCATACCCGGTTCAAAGGCACTTCAATCTTTTGTCTTGCTCATTCAGAGGGGTGAATGGGCAAGACAAAAGATTTAAGTCCCTTTGAATCCATGTCTCACGGCTTAAAAATCCTTCTTTAACCTGTCTCCTCCCCTTCATCTACACTGATTAAAGTGGATTTAACAAGTGACATCAATACGGGATCATAGCTTTCACCTGGATTCACCGGTCTATGTCATGGAAAGAGCAAGGTGTTCTTAATGTTTTATACACTCAGTGTACATGGCACCCATAGGGCTCTGGTCAAAAGTAGTGCACTATGTAGGGAATACGGTGCCATTTAGGACGCATCATAGTAACAGCAGGCTTTCTATTGGGGAGACGGTACAGTACCTTGGTGCTCCACAGCTTGACGGTCCAGTCGAAGGAGGAGGTGACAAACAGGTGGGAGAAGTCGATGGGCCCTGTCGCTGTGTGACAGTCTATCCCTGTGATAGGCCCGTGGTGGCCCTCAAACATCTCACTGATCCCTGCTTTACTGTGGACCAAACATACAACACACAGGGGATAAGAACACCAATACTTAGCACACACCAATACTTAGCACACACACCACGTTACATTAATTTCCCCCCGATGAAACATTAGCATATATAATGTGATATCATTACCAAAATAATATACATTAAATATTCTAGCATATATTTCTGAATTTCATAGCACACAAGGTTTGGTCAAGACCTCCCTTTTTGTCTCAATTTAAGTTTGGAATAACATTTACATTTAGAGAATTCCCCTTTTAACGTGCCATGACTGTAGATTCCCAGCCCAGTGGTGAGAGAGAGGCAGCCTTCAGCTTCAGAGCCACATGTTGCAGGCTGTGGCTCTGATAATTACCTCGAGGGGTAAATACCCAGCATGAGAGATGCTTATGCGTTATTAACTGGGATGAGAGTAACATACCATTCGAAATGAGGTGGAAAATTAGTCCCTCAATTACCGAGGTGATCATGCAATGCAGAACCTAGCAACTATCCCCTCTCGGCGGTCTCTGGGCATAATGCAGGACATTAGCGATAGCACCGTAGCTCAGAGATCTGTCTCTCCATCGCAGGCAGGAAGCACTTTGAGTCAAGCCATGCTGCTCTGTCACCACACAAGTGGACACACTGACTGTTTGCTTGGGCCACCCTCTCTATTTCTCGCTCTCAAACGAGAGCATTGTGCAACGATCCTCAGATTTGAGTCTCTTCGGGACATCCAGTTTTAAACAAACTCCCTCACTCCGAGGGAGGACTCCTCCAGAAGAAATGATTTCTTTCCCCTCCATGTGTGTCCCGTTTATGTTGAGCGACCTTTACAAACCTAACTGACAGAAGCTAAGCAAAACAGGATGACTGGGGTAGGAGTGAAAACCTCAAAACAGCAGGAGATCAAGTGTTGGATTCATATTGCTTGGGGAAGTGAGGGGGGTGTATTTATTTGACATATCAAATTAAATGTATTTATAAAGCCCTTTTTACATCAGCAGATGTCACAAAGTGCTTATACAGAAACCCAGCCTAAAACCCCAAAGAGCTAGCAATGCAAATGTAGAAGCACGGTGGCTAAGAAGAACCTCCCTAGAAAGGCAGGAACCTAGGAAGAAATACTGTTTTAAACCGGGGCCTAACAAGCCTCCTCAGTTTCCTGGAGGTGTCTGCCCAGCCGGAGGGGATGGGGACACGGGGGGTCTGGCTGGGTGGGTGGGGTTCTGGTTAAAATTGTTGTACCTTCCATGACGACACGCCATGTAGACGGATCCGTCCTCGCTCCCCACCGCAAAGTTGTTGACATCTCCGAGGGGGAAAGACATGGAGGTGACAGCTACGGCCTTCGACTGCTTGAACACCAGCTCCAGGCTGTCCTGTAGAGTAGTGCGAGGGAGGGAACAGAGTAGAATAACATTCATAACCAGCGCTCTCTCTGCCTGGCCTGCATGTTAACACACACAGCCTATAGATTTCATGTTATTTATGTATAATCTATATTCAGCTAGCACTTTATAATAAATGATTAACATTTGACATCGGTGGGTTCGGCAGCGTTGTTGGATTGACATTGCTAGCAGAGTTCATTTCCTTGATAAAAAAAAAATGGTTGAGCGCAAAAATATGTTTAGTGCCAAAAAAATACTAAACGGAGCGGCTGAAACAAATGAGTCTAGTGAGGTCCCGGTGTTTGACATGCCCTATGAAATGGGCCAACGTAATGTGTGTGGAGAATAGGCTGAGTTGTCCCATGTCTGTGTGGTGGTGGTGAGGTGACTGATGGGCGCTACCTACCTGCGGTTGAGAAAGCATGTCCAGGCTCCAGGAACACATCTTGCCATCGGTAGAGATGCTAATGAGGTTGTGGGCGTTCTGGGTGCCTACCACGTTCACACAGTACACTGGGTGCTGCACAGAGGGGGAGACAGGGGAACAAGGCCCCCACAATCGGTCTGTTTACAACACACCGACGTTACCATGTTCCTGCACTCCGCTCTTCTTACCATGTGTCCAATGTAACTGTTGAGGTAAAATCATTTTGGTGATGGTTGATTAGCAGATGAGAGTGTTGTGTTATACCGTGTGTGCTGCTGCTGACAGGGGGGTCCTCTGTACGGGGGTCCTCTTGTTGCTCCTATTGTCCCACAGAACGATCTGCCCTGAGTAGGTGCCCCCCACCACCAGGTTAGGGTGGAACCTGGCAAAGGCGGCCGACATCACTGCAGACTGGCCGAGAGAGAGAGAGAGAGAGAGAGAGAGGGGGGGGGGGGGAGTGAATGTAAGAGACAGAGCCATGTTAGCGTCTGCTGAGATTAACGAGTGCACGGTGAAACGGTGACAGCTCTCTGGTGATGTAGGTCTATGTCACCTCCAATCAAAAACGGCTGCGTGCAGCCCCTATTTCAGACCCGCTCAAAATAATATACAGACCTGGGCCATTCAGGGTAATGCTGCAGTATGCCAGTGTGCTGTACAGCGGGCTGCTTATTTTCATTTAGACTTTAACTATCCTGTGTTTTCCATGACTCACACTTCACCACCCACGGCAGGGCCTTCTGCTGGAGGCTGCTCACGACAGGATATATCATGTATGGATTATGTCTACATTATTCATGCTAGTTTATTATGTGTAGTCTCCTTACTTGGTCTCTGGCTGCCTGGTCCAAGCCCTACCTTCCCGTAGCCTGAAACACATCCCCCGTAAACCCTACACATCTAGCCATATGTAATCATTCATTCATCCAAGTAGATTTTTTCCAAAAGGTCGCACTAAAAAAACTTGCATTTCCCACCCACTTGGAGGCATAGAGAAAAATGAGTTCACACTTCTGCTCAGTCTTATTTGGTGGAAGCAATGTGCCTGGGACTACATCCGCTCTGGAGGCATCAACATGTGGTTCTACTCAACCCGTCTTGCTCTGGGAACCTCAGGGCATGCAGTATAATAAGGCAGGCCAGGTGGAGGAGCTGCTCGCGCTCTCTGCTGAACACAGGGCCCTTGTTTAGATACACATGATAACCACTCCAGCCCTGCGCAGCACAGCACACTTAATACAACTGCTGCAGCCCCTTACATCCCAGTCAGCTATTGCACCACTGCTCTTCTCTGTGGTGGAGGTGAATGCCAGCCCGGTGAAATCCCAATGTGGATGAAGGAGGGAGACAGAGAGAGAGGCAGAGAGAGGTGGGAGGGATGGTTGGCGGTGTGCCACACCAGTCAGGGAGAGAGCCACCCATGAGGCAGAGGGAAGGGAAGGGGGGGGAAGAGAGAGAGAGAGAGAGAGAGGCCCTGGGTGGCTTTAGTACCTGGCAGTGGAAGACGTACTCCGGCGTGTTCTTCTTGTACTTCATGTTCCAGACCAAGGCCACCCCGTCCGGCTCGTGGGGGGCTTCCTCATTGTTGTTGTATGAGGCAACCAGCAGCTCAGGATACTGGTGACAGACAAATCAGCCCAAATGAATGTCAAGAGGAAGTAGACATGGCCCCCAGGCTTGGCTCCATGTGAACAAGCCTCCCCTGCCCTCCGCGGTGCCGGTGAATGCCGAGCAGAATGCGTAACCACCCCTTCTTCAACAAGATTTATGGCCGGGAAACTTTTCCCTAACAGCGCAGTCTGGTAAATAACGTTTGGATGCTACGGCTTGGCATAATGTTAAAGGACTAGGGACTAGACTTCTGAGAGAGCTGAGTGAACCACGGTAGTAAAGTTGGCCACTGCAAGTCGTTGGAGACCTTTGAAACTCAACCCTCCAGTGCACACTAAAAACACAGGGAGAAATGGCTGAGGAAAGAATGGCTTGAAAGACCTGCTCTCAAACACTTATCAGATGTAAACAAACCATTAACCTCTGCTGCTTCTCATATTGGAACAACTGAAGTTTACAGTTGGTGAATACACAATTTAGCACAAGGGAATGGATATCGCTCTGAGCAAGCAACGTAGTGGTGAACAATGAGTTGGTGTTCAATCACTGTCAGAAGACATTGTAGAACTAGGAATCAAATGAAGAGAGACATAAGGGGAAACAAATCATTACGGCCTCATACTAAGTGACAATTTGTGCATAACACGGTCCCAGCACCCTGGGGAACGTGGCTAAATGTCTAATATGTAAAATAAGTGCTGTGTATATCGTACAGGATTAGGGAAGCGGTGAGGTAGCTAAAGACTGTCAACAATATGTTAACATACTTCATTCTTACAATAAACAAATTGTGGTTGAATTCTGACACGTAACGACGCAGTGTGACATGATTCACAAAGACACAGGGGCCAGTGAAACCATGAAGAACTACTTCTAGCGTTTTTACTCAGTGATTGAGTCAGTGAAAAGGTTGCGTCATGATAATGAGCCAATGGTGACTGATAGTGCTGTGCTTTACCGGTGTAGGGTGAAGTTTCCCCACCAAGGGTTAAAGTTAGGATTGGGTCAGGGGAAGCTGATCCTAGATCTGCACCCAGGAGTGTGTTTTACCTGAGGGGACCAGTCCAGACAGGTGACCACGCGGTGCTTGGACCAGCGCTCATCCATAAACTGTCTGTTCAAAAACAGCTTGGCCCCTGCTTGGATCTCACTAGGAAACAGCATAGTCACAGTCAAGTCATAATAATAACGCCACACTCCTTCCTCTTACTAAACAGCTAATATATTCTGCCTTTTCTATTCAAATAATGCCAAAGATAAATTGTCCTCTTTCTTTACCCTTCCTTCTCCTCCATCTCGCGGCCACTGTAGTCGAAGAAGACGTCCACATGTTCGGACAGGGCCCGCTCCACGATGCGGGTGCTGTGGTCAAAGAAGGTTATGAACTCCTCAGAGTGGAGGATCTGCAGCTTCTCCTCCTCGGTCAGCTCTTGTGGAGGTGCTAGACAGACAGTAGAAGTTATGGACATACAATACAGAACCATCTAACAGCTTGGGGTTGTCTTATTAAAATTATATTTGAAACAAAAGGGCCATCATACAACACTTGGATGTCAAAATCCAACAAAAATGGTTGGTAGGATTCTTCAATGAAGATGACATCAAAGAAGTTGAATCGTTATTCGTTTAGCACCAACTCCTACCTTCCTCCACCTCTTTCTGGTCTGGCTTCTCCATTTGGATCTCAAGCACTGGTTTGTGGTGGAGCAATTTCCTCCTCCTCTTCTTCCTCTGTTGGGTAAAAGGTGCAGGATTTCAATTCAACACTACATAATAAAACTGGCAATGCTTTATATATCATGGTTAATACAAGATTAGTCATGCCAAATGTGACAGTGGCAAATGAGAAATGTTACAAATCATGGATGATTTCACTGACAATGGTTTAAAGTGACAACTGATCCTGCAATTCTGTGTCAATGTTCGGTTCATTCCTAATGTCTACTACTAGTCTCCATCTGCAACATAGTTTCTCTACAACAAGCCCACTGAATGGTAAGCAGGCTAGCATGGGTATGGGAATGGAATCATTATGTGCCTCTGCCCCTCATTTGTTTGGTTTGCCAACTCAATGTCACCTCTCTGAAAGGACCTGCGCCTCTAAAGCGCTGGAGGTTGTCATTTGTGTGTGTGGGGGGGGGGCGCGACGCAGCGGGGGTCTGGTCCTACGGTCCCCCTTCCCCGATAATGAGACCCAGCTATTCAACCGAGGGCTTGCACTTCTCAGTGTAGCCATCTCCTCCATGTCCCAGTAACAAGTTGCCCCCTTCCATCCAGGCCAGGGTCCGGGGGCAGCGGGACAGAGGACGGGGAGCAGCTGCCCAGGCCCACTCCCATTGGGCCGACCAGCTGACAGGATGGTGCTAACCAGATGGCGCTGCTTGAATTGTCTTGTTTGCCTCAAAAGGTGGCATGAGGATGGCACAGAGGTTTTCTGCCTGGCCGCCCCCTAGACAAGTCTCTCTGAACGGCAAGCCTGTGCAATTACCGTCCCACCAGGGGGTCCACAGACTGCTATTCAACCTCGGAGAACATACAACAAAATACAGCTTGTAGGCCTGACCAGCTGGTAAACCACACACTGGCTCAGACTTTCACACATTACAGAACTCTGCTTTCTCAAACAAACACCTCACCGTCTCCTCTCCATACACACCCCTTCAATGTAGAAAGAGATTGTTTAAACAAACACATTCATGTGGATGAGAAAATGTACAGTGTGACAGTTCTATACCTTTTAGAGCTCTATGTATAGTTAATCTATGACGGCAGCAGTGTTGCACACAACTGTTCCCTTTACACTGAGATCATCTAAATCAGGGGTGTCAAACTCATTTTCCCCCGGGAGCCGCATTCGGTCTTCAACAAGGTCCAGAGGGCCGCATTGAAAATGGTTATATTTCCTTTCCGTCAGATTTTGCTAAAAATAGTCCTCCATCCATCGGTTTGGGAATTTTCGATGCTCCCTGACTGTCAATAGCTTTCATTTCGGTGATTATTAGTGAGCTGGGCACAGTCAAGAAATTGTATGAATGGTCCGTTATAATCTACACAGTTTCGATTTGGTTTTATTCATTTTAAAGTATATTGAGTTCGTAAAAAAACAAAACGTTGGGTTGTTTTTTTCACTCAAACCACCCACGGGCCAGATTGGGCTGTATGTTTGACACCTAACTGATAATGTCATCTGCCCATATAAAGTGATTCTCTTTCCTGTCTCCCATGGAGGTTGGGGGGGGGGGCATTGGGTGTTCTGATGAGTTTACAGAACTGGGTTGATGACAAGCCATTTCAATGGACGGCCGTACCCTGGAACCCAAAGGAGAAGGTTAAAATCATTCCTTTCAAGGGCCTCAATCAGGCTTAAAGGAAAACAGTAATCACTGTCTTTCAGCTGGGCCCTGCTGCGCTCGTCAGCCCTTTCCCCGGCGAGGCAGGCAGAGCAATCAACCTGCCAGGCATTAGGAGCGGAAGGACAATCTGAAAATAAAGGGTATAATGCACCTGCCAGCCAAAATGGCCATTTGGAGAAAATCTAGTGATCCTGGTGACCCCGCTGGGGGCAGTGGGGGGGAACATAACCAGGGTGGGGGGGGGGGGGGGGGGGGGGGGACATTTAACAGAATTCACCCGGATCCACCATGTCCTGCACACTGAGACCTCCCCTCAAAGTAGGCCCAATTATGGCTTTTGTACCACTTAAAAAATAAACGCTTTTTTGGGGAGTGGTACCGGGGGAGGGAGGTGTAATCACAGTTCTTTGTCAAGACACTATATTAATGCAAAAGCGACGTGGGCCCAGTGTGTTGTTCAAGTACAAAACTAATGACCTTTACTCCCCACTGCAGGTGTGTTCGTCTCCTCCAAAGCCACAGAATGGACAACACAAATCAGACTTCCACATGCCAGTTTTCTAAAGGCTGTTGCACAAAAATCAGCTTCCACTGTTGGTCTTTTCCAGCTAGAGGAGTGTGGAGAGTACATCGCACATGGTCTGTCAGTAGAGAGAGAGCCCACTTAGTGTTAAATACAGAAGACGCCATGGCTTCATTCAATTCACTGTTAGTTTTCTATCCGTAAATGAAAATGTCTTTCCCTTTGAGTCTAAAGTAAACAGCATTACTCATAACAACTGTTCAAGCATATGAGAACATTCTTTTTAATTATTTATCATCACTTCATGCATTTGCCAGCTAAAAATAATGGCAAAATAATTTGACATCTCAGAATAATAACCACAATGCTCCAAATGTACTTTGTATTTTGCTAGTACCATCAGAATATCTTTACGTGCATAGCATAGGCCTACATCACATTTCTACCACAGTGTCAGATACGGATTTACTGAAGGGACCATGACCAGGTGGCATAATGGTCATGGTATGTTTTCTTTCTGTGTGAGGTAGCAGATGAAAATACATCAAGCCACCACGACCCAACACAACCCAGGAGATTTCAGCAGTCAGCCTACAGCTATTCTGACGAGCAGGTTAATCAGGGTTCAGTCAGCTGTGAAATGGGAGGCTTTTGTTGAGTTTACACACTTGGAGCACTGGTTACCTCTCTCGCTCTCTCTGTGTATCTATCTCTCTATCTAGGCTCTCTCTCAACAGACAGAGGATTGAGACAAAATAAAGACCTTTCTGTGAAGCCTCCTGTAGCTCAGTTGGTAGAGCATGGCGCTTGCAACGCCAGGATTGTGGGTTCGATTCCCACGGGGGGCCAGTATGAACATGTATACACTCACTAACTGTAAGTCGCTCTGGATAAGAGCGTCTGCTAAATGACTAAAATGTAAATGTAAATGAAGATGTGATAGGGATTCACCAAATGTTTTTACCCTACAAATCTCTTTATTACTGATTATTTTCTCACATTTGTATCTTTGAAAAAACTATACTATAATTGATATGAGCATGCTGAAACTGTAGTTAAATTGTAGCCTAAGCCTAAATTTAATTCAACAATACAGTCAGTTAAGGGGGACTAATCGACAAGTGCCAAGCGTATGAAAGGTGACAATGTTCAAAGAGTGCTACTTCAAACAAGAGGCTGTTGAGTTGAGTTAGTGATTAAAAGTTATAACCTTCGCCTGAATCCAAGTGATTAAAACAATCACATTTAATTACATTTCAAATTTACTCAAATGCTATACTTTCTCTTGTATTGCCTGAAGCCTTTTCAAACAGAGCTCCAGGCAGAACACTCAATGAATTCCCCCATATATTTTTTCCATAATTACAACCACTTGCTAAGCAGCACTTATTGATGTTGCATAATGTCTACTGCTGTAGTCTGAACACACTAATGTTCTAGATATAGGCTACCACTACATTTGATTTCTACACACTATCCTGATTCACTGCCTTTCCTTGCATGACCTGGAGTGGGAATTGCAACCATCCAAGCAAAACAGTGAGTATTACTTTTATAAATATTGGTGGAACTTACCATTTATGGGGACATGTCTCAAACTAGATTATTTCCCACCAGGTCACAATATTTGCATCTACACTGGACTCCTAGTAGCCTAGTACAGGGTTTCCCAAACTCGGTCCTGGGGCCCTCCCTGGGTGCACATTTTGGTTTTTGCCCTATACAGCCGATTCAAATAACTAACTAAACATCAAGCTTTGATTATTTGAATCGGCTGTGTAGTACTAGGGCAAAAACCTCTCCAACCCTGTTCCTGGAGAGCTACCGTCCTGTAGGTTTTCACTCCAACCCCAGTTGTAACGAACCTGATTCAGCTTATCAACCAGCTAATTATTAGAATCAGGTGCGCTGGTTTAGGGTTGTAGCGAAAACCTACAGGACAGTAGTTCTCCAGGACCAGGGTTGGAGAGTCCTGCTCTAGAGGATGGGAGCTGGAAGGACCAGTCCCCCCTACCCAAATTAAAGAACACTAATCAGATTGTGCCTTTTTTGGAGATGGGTGGGTCATCTATAGGGACAATTTAGGATCTCTCTCTCCTTAACTCTATGTCTAGCATGGCACGGCAGCACCTTCCTCCAATGCCACCGCCCGCTGACCTTGAGTGTGCTGTGCCGTCACCTCCTCTTGACAACATGATGAATCACTCAAATCAGTGCACGCGACCAACGCCACCCCCAACATCATATGCGCAGAAGGGTGCGAGCAGGCGAGGGGACGCCGCCTCACCAAGTGCCAGGAGTGATGGCGCGAAAGCACACAGAGTATGTTTTGTTATGTGCCTATTGGGTGAAGGGAGAAGACAGGAAAGCGAGAGTTGATGAAATGATTACAGAGTGCCAGAGAGAGTGGAGGGGGTCTAGTGTTGGACAGCCAACAGAAACCATCCTTGTTTAACACAGTGTTACAATGCCCTAAAGACAGAGTCCCTGTGCCTCCCTCCACAGAACAGAACAGACAGAGAGAGCTCTGCTCTTTATCCTTTACTGGGTATGGGTCTCCATAGAATCACACAATTTGTTCACAGCCAGACTGCTGACAATTCACATTCCTCAATGACAAATCACCACAAGTCATCTGGCTAGTTTCCACTGGAGATTGATCTGACAGAGAACTAACTGGGTTCTATGCAGTCTGAAGTGTGAAGGGGGAACTTCGAAGAGGCAAGTAAGGAAGGAAATCAACCTTTATTCATCAACCCAAACCTCTGAACACAAATCATCAAGCATAAATAATGAATCTCTTTAAACTCACTCACACAGTGTAAATAAAAAACGACTAGGCTACATAGCACTCTATAGCAGTCGCTGATATGTCTTGCTGATAAAGCAGTGTAAACAACAGATTTCAGCCTATGAGACACTCTGAACTGCATCTTAGAAGAAAAAAGAAAACTAGGGGTGTAATCACAATATTGCATATTGTGGCACATGTGCTCAACATGTGGAGGTTATGGGTAAACATGCTTTTTTTGAAGATACGCATCGACAACCACATGAAAGCTGCTGTGCAGCAATTACATACATATTGACATGGTTCAGATGCATTAGCCGGGCATGCACGAGGTGCTTCATATCTAGCCCCAATCTATTGCCTTTCTTCCCAATTCACCCTGGCCCTCTCATCCTGCACATTAATTGTAGCAGGGCCCTATTGGTTTGAGGATGGGGGTTTTGAGTGGAGTGGGCCTACGTGTGTGAATTTAATCTTTCCTTTGGCTTCTTATGTTTCCCGGGCCCCTGCAATTTCCCCCGGCTTTCATCTCAGTGCTCGGTAAGGCCAGATCATTTCCACTTTGCGTTCACTTCCTGCTCCCACTCGTATGATCATACAGGCCAGCCAGCCAGCCGGCCACAACACACATCAAAAAGAGTAGCTTTCTGAAACACTGATAGCCGACTGCATTGTTCTCTGACCTTGCAGTCAACAAGTCTGGCAGCTTTAGTTGTGCCGAAAATATAGAACCCTAAAAGTGTCTTTATAAACTGGATGGTTCGAGCCCTGAATGCTGATTGGCTGACAGCCGTGGTATATCAGACCGTATACCACAGGTAAGACAAAACATTTATTTTCACTGCTCTAATTACATTGGTAACCAGTTTATAATAGCAATAAGGCACCTCAGGGGCTTGTGGTATATGGCCAATATACCACGGCCAAGGGCTGTAAGAACAGCCCTTAGCCGTGGTATATTGACCATATACCACACCCCCTCGTGCCTTATTGCTTAAATGTACTTAGGTCAGACTTCTCACCTTCCTTCTGCTGGGTCATCACAGGTGTCTGGGTTTCCTTGGTGTATGACACCGTCTCTTTTGGAGGGAAGTCAACATGGTTGATCTTGGCCATGCCCAGCTTTAGAGGCCCACGCCTAAAAGCAGAGTACAACCTCAGACACATGGCAGGGCCAAGGAGAGCTGAAATAATAACATGAACCTGGGCGACCCATACACAGCACATAACAGTACTACTATCACATTGCAGCCTTTTCATTAGCACCTCATTGCTGAAGTTGCCTTTAAGACGGATGGGAGATTTTGTCTTCTGATAATCACTTATTCATGGAGAAAGGATAACAACGTGTCTGTAGGTCAAAGAAAGATGCCACCAAGATACACATACACGGCATTACTTTTTTTCCTGATATAAAATGATGGCTTTGAGAGGGTCAAGAGGAGCAACAGTGCTACAGGTTGAAAGTGGGATGAAGTGAAAAGAAGAGGAGGAGAAGAAGATAGTGTCCAGTACCCCAGCTCAGAGTCAGAGTGAAGCTGAAGAGTGGACGGGTCAGAGTCCCAGTGCAGAGTCCTGGTTAGTGTCACAGCAACAAGGCAGCATTAGTGCAAGAATGCAGGCATAAACCAAGAGAGGAAACAAGTTAGACCATATACACACAACATGCCCACACTGAAAACTACAGGTAACAAAGCAAACTTGTATTCAATTCAGAACATTTCAGAAAGACTGAATTTCCTGTAGAGGGTGGTAAAATGCAGTTACCATGACAACCCTCTATTAGGCACTTGCATATAGAAGCTAAAATATAAAAACCAAGGACAGTATCTGTTTAAAATGCTTGAACACAGGTCCTGAGAGTGTGAGGACACTGGGTCTAATGATGCAGCCTGAGGGGCTGTCGAGGCCTGAACTGTGTCACACAAACGGCTCGGAATCCCATGTGAGGGAGCGCCCTGCAAGGGAAAACATGACCTCCATGTGTGTAGGAAATGGCCATGCTGCTGAGGGAAATGAGTCAACATGTAGAGCCTTGGGGTGGAGGAAGAGCTCCCTGGCTCTGATGGGACACTGGGGGAGCTAGAGTTTCAGCAGGGGGACTGGGGCTCTAATTAGGGGTTAAGAAGTCCCCCAGGCATCTCACAGCCCTGTTGTTTTATAGTTCATTTAGAACCCTCCTAATGCAACAGCACACAAACAAAATAAACATGCACACCCTCAGCATAAGCTAGTCATCATGATCTTCAATGGTATTTGTGTGTTATTTTGAGAAGAACACTAGCGCTGTGTTTTCAAAACTGTACATGTTTATAGGCATTGTTTATAAGGCAAATGGTTACATAAGCACCTGTGTGCATCTAGTAAAACTCATGCAAAGGTTGTTTAAATTTCATTGTAAGAACATTGGCAATATCTTATTAAAAACCTAGATACGCGATTGACTGTTCCAGCTGTGACATAAATAATAATAATAATAATATGCCATTTAGCAGACGCTTTTATTCAAAGCGACTTACAGTCATGTGTGCATACATTTTTATGTATGGGTGGTCCCGGGGATCGAACCCACTACCCTGGCGTTACAAGCGCCATGCTCTACCAATTGAGCTACAGAGGACCACATGGATTTATAGAGAAGAAACTTGCTCAAACCTGTGAAACACAAATCCTTTAAAATTACACAGACATTAGGAGAGACAGTCCCTCATTCATTCCTGCAATAAAAGCCCCTGCATGCATCGCAACCTAAAATACAGTGGCGCTGCCCTGTGCTTAGGGGATGAAGGCTCTTTGCAGAGAGAAATGAACACATTTTGACATTAAAACATTAAACTGGGGGGTGTTTGTACCTGGGTCCCACAGCGCCATCGCCCGAGTCTTGGCTCCCTGCCTCGCTTGGTGTGCCCGCGGATTTGGAGGTTGGAGACATGGGAGGAGGGACTAGATAGTGAAACAGACAGGTATCCCCTGTTACTATGCGAAGAGGCTGGCATGTTCACAATAGTGCAAAGGTATGTCAGTGTGGGGTGCCAGCAGTGGTAAAAAAATAATAATAATAAACACGATTAATGCGGCATGCAAAAAGGCAAAAATGGAGTGGATATGAGCAGCAAAATGGAGAAAAGACAAAGAAAAATGTTTTATATTTCATGCCATATGCTGTGAAAATTAGTAAGACAAATACCAATAGTATTAGAAATAACTAGTCACACATCAACATACCAAAAGCAAATGGATGAGACATGTTAGAGAAGTTGTGAGGCAAAATAATGTATTGTCAACTAATTCTAAAATACAAACAAGTAAATAATCATGTCAATGTCATTTAAGCTATTTAAATTTTAAGTCTAAGGAACCATGGCAAACCATATAAAAAAATATTACATTTTCTGATTCATCCATAACATCAGTTCTCTTTATCACTTCTGTTTTACATACGGACAGGACTAGCCAGCCATAAGGCAATATGAATTAATCTACTATGGACCACTTCTGCCCCCTTCTGTTAGCTTGGTGACAATGTTCTCACATAAATCTTGGTTTAGAAAAACGTTTGGTCAAGAGTCAAATGGCCTACACTACACTAGAGAGACGCAATCCTTGTAAAAAGCTAATGTACAGAGATTTGTTAAACATCTAATACTGATGGTAGATGGTTTCTTACCAACAGGGACATCAGCTGATGTGATGCCCATGCTCTGCAGAAGGGCATCGGTCTCACGTCTCTTTTTCTCCAAGTCCGAGTCATCCAGTGGGGCGGCATCTTTCTTCAGGTCAGCCTGGAAGAGAACCAGAGCATATACACTGGTTAGTATCCTGGCTGTAAGCATGATGAATAGAGGGTTTGATGGAGAGTAGTCTGAATTAGGCTAGTTTATAGTGCTGAGCGATTAACCGAAATGTCTGTTATTTTTCGTTTTTTAAATAACTAATTGACCGATGTCGGTTCAATTACTTGAATTCCATTTCGTTCTGTTTTTTTTCTTCCTGTGAGCTCAATGCGCAGTAAATCAGATCAACCCCGAACGAATTGTCATGAAATAAAACCAAAAAATATACACAACTGAAATATTGTATTAAAGTAAAGTAAGGTGAATATTTAAAAGTTCATAAGTGATAAGCAGTAATGGGCAGTCACTACCATCATGGGACTTGTATTAATTGTTTTATTCTGTGGTGTTACAGCATTCAACCCACATAATGCATAGTGCATTTAATGTTCTAAAAAACTATTATTGAAACCGAAAAACCGTGATAATGTTTTACTAATCGGACCAAAACAACCTCAAAAGGCAATAATCGCTCTTAAACAATTAACCTAGCCTTAGAATCTGTACATTTTCCCTGGAATCAAAGCTACTGCTTCCTCTTTCCACTGATGTCAAATAGGACTACTCAGATACTTTGAACAGAATGCACAACGCCATTTTGGTCAGTCTAGTTCAGGGGATATTTAAAGTCCCTATAAGCATGTACTTACCTCTTTCTTTTTGCGCTCATCTTCCTTCCTTTTTTTCTCCTCCCTGATCTGAGCCAGGCGTTGCTTCTTCCGTTCAAGCTCCGCTTTTAGCTCGCTTTTGTCTGACATGATGCCAACACTAGGACACAAACACATTTCAGAACAAGATAGGTGACCTACAGCATTTTACAGCAGTCGGCAAATCTGAAAACTCCATCATTTGTACAGAAGGTGTTATTTTTTACTCAGAAAATAGCCATGAGTTAGGCTACACATTGGAATATAGACTAGAGTATGGTCAGAAGCAATTTAGCCTAGGGTATTTCAAAAATAAACTGCATTTCATGAGCTGCTCTGAAAGTGTAATAAGATCACTCATCCGTTTTAACCTTTCAGATCAACGAGAATAGCACCTGTTCCTTTGCTCTGATCTGCCAGGTCAAACCATTTAACTAGTTTTTGATCATGAATTAAGTTTCAGCAGGGCACAGATGATAAGGCTCAAGAGCACACTCTACTGTCCAGACGGAGAAAGGTTGGATGCTCTTCCATTAGCAGGGTCCTGACCGCCTGGTCTGTAAAACCCTTTACTGGTCCAAAGCCCCATTCAATGCGCGTTTGTCTACTCAACTCTAACCAACTTCAGAGTGCGCTCTTAGAGAGATTAGGTTGATCATTTCAAGAGACGCTTTACCATCCTGTATACAGCATTGATCAGCCCTCATATCCTCTACAGCACCTGACCCTTTCAACACCTAAGAAGGGGACCACTTTAAGACATTTGACTTAATTGCACAATTTAAGACAATGAATGGAGGTCTCTGAGCTTTACATTGAAATAGGTTTCTAAGCCGTCCTTTTCAGATGGTCTGTGCAATGTGAAACCCCATATACATTACATTTGATCAACCACTTTGAGATAACAATGTGGTTGATGCAACTTCAAGAGGTGTTCATGTAAATGCTGACTTCTGTAACAGGAAATGTCGGCTAATACAAGGACTGTAGTTAACTAACTTAAACATAAAAGTGTGTTATTGGTTTTAAAAAATAAAATAAAAAAAATAATAACCATTTTAAAAACAGAAGTAGAGGTCATCAAGAGCTCCAACATAAGCGATGCTGGCAAGAATCGCGCCGCGAAGTACAGTGACTAGTCTACTGTGGTCAAACCATGAATTATGAGCATTGCAGCATCATCAGCATCTTCTTGCCTCGCTGTCACTTTAACTAGCTAGTGCGCTAGCTAAGTTACATAGCTAGTACGGTTTGTAGAGAGCAGCTAGCGAATGTTATCTTAAAATTCAACACATTTTTTTACTAACGTTAGTAGACTGGCAGGCCTGTTGTTTATCTAACATAACTTTAGCAAACTAGCTGCGGCCCCACCCAGCCAGTGTGACGAGTGTGTGTGGGACTGACTGAGAGACCAAAATGGCTAGCTAGCGAACGTTGGCTAGAATAATTGACTTGGTCTTGGCATCCTGACTTTTCAAGTTGAAATAATGATTAACTACCGGACTCTTTCGCAAACAATTTCTAACTACCTATTTTTAACATTATGTTTTATTCAAGCCTAATTGTAACGTTAGATGATCAGCTAGCTATCACAATTGGCCTGCAGCAGGCTAACGCTACGTTAGCTAGCCAACCAACTAAATCTCATCTCACGTTTTTATTTAGAAACAATATGTTTGTTTTTTTAAGTCATTACGCGCCACCTCCACGTTTCACTTGTAGTTTGGTAACAAACCTTATTTCTACTTGGCTTTCTAATCGCTTGAATCTAGGATCCTTTCCTGAAGCACCAACACAACGGTCGTCACTAGTTACCAAAGCCACAAAGTGAGAAGGCCCGCCTACTCAACCAATCAGATGAGAGAGCGTGATGACGCGTATGCCGGCTCAGAATGCCCGCTTATCCGACCAATCAGAGGAGGGAATATGATGACGCATATTCCATTTCGCGGGAAACGCCTCATTTTCGAAATGGCATGTCTAGAGTTCGGGAACAAGAATTGGCAACGTCACTAAAATTCATAACATTGAGAAAGGACAAAAGGCAAAAGGGTAAGTTGTCCTTATATATATATATATATATATATATATATAAATAACTAGTAGCTAACTTTTGCTACTCTCATCTAAAATGAGCTAACTAGCATAAAGGATTCCATTCCAAGCACAGAGGAGTTATTCTATTTGACAGAGCAAAGTTGTTAGTTTCCCTACTAGGCTGTCTAATAGTAATATATCATATTCTTGACCGTCAAAAGATGCACAGCCTTTGGCAGGAAAACAACTAAGTTGGGAGAGTAAAAGTATCCCATTCAATGGTGTTCCGTTTCAAATTGTGGTCACAAAGACGTATGTATGAACGCCACACAGATGCCGCGTTCAAAACAACTGGGAATTCGGAAAAATACGAGGTCAAATCATGACGTCAGTGATCTTCAATTCGGAACTCTAGAAAGAGGCCCGAGTTCCCGAGTTGGAATTCCGAGTTGGATGACGGTTCAAATCGATTGTTCCCAGTCGGAGCTCGGTTTTTTCGCGAGTTCCCAGTTGTTTTGAACGCACTGAAGTCGGATGTCGGAGATTTCCGAGCTCCCAGTTGTTTTGAATGCGGCAAGACAAACATTTTTTACATTTTTACATTTTAGTCATTTAGCAGACGCTCTTATCCAGAGCGACTTACAGTTAGTGAGTGCATACATTATTTAAATTTTTTCATACTGGCCCCCCGTGGGAATCGAACCCACAACCCTGGCGTTGCAAACGCCATGCTCTACCAACTGAGCTACATCCCTGCCGGCCATTCCCTCCCCCACCCTGGACGACGCTGGGCCAATTGTGCGCCGCCCCATGGGTCTCCTGGTCGCGGCCTGGATTCGAACCAGGATCTCTAGTGGCACAGCTAGCACTGCGATGCAGGGAGGTAACAAAAGCCAAAGTCAGAGAAATATACTGCTGAAATGAACAAGAAGGCAGTAAGTTCAAAGACAGATCACTGTAATTTATACCATACACTTTTACAACATTAATTTCATTTTAATTAACAATGGAATGTTCATCAATAAAATATAAGAAGATGGGACTTTAAACGGGTGTCCCAATAACTACTAATAAATATTAAGTAAGTGGGGTTAGGGTGGTGAGTTTCCCCTCACACTGTAAAGAGCTTTGGGTGTCTAGAAAAGTTATATGTAAGTCCAATCAATTATTATTAAATCCATAGTTTAAAGACCATGCCTTTGTATACATTTACGTCATTTAGCAGACGCTCTTATCCAGAGCGATTTACACACTACACTGAAACTGGTACAAAAGACCAAAATGATGATATAATAATGATATGCCATTTAGCAGACGCTTTTATCCAAAGCGACTTACAGTCATGCGTGCATACATTATTCGTTTTTTGTGTATGGGTGGTCCCGGGGATCGAACCCACTACCTTAGCGTTACAAGCGCCGTGCTCTACCAGCTGAGCTACAGAGGACCACAATGTGGACTGCAAAGCTATGTTTAGTTAAATAAATGACTATAGTAACTGCCTAGGTGCCAAATAAAGTAACAGGGTTGAAGTGTTCTTAAATCAGAAAAAAAAAATCTGCCAATTAAAAAATATAGATATTTCTGTTAAACTGTGTACATTTTACTTGTGGATTTTGAAGAAAAAAAAACATCTAAATGCAAGATGTGTCAATTTGTTTGTCTACATGTCATTTTAAAAACAATGCAGATATTGGAGTAGGCTAAACCTACACTATATATGTGGGCACCTCTTCAAATTAGTGTATTCGGCTATTTCAGCCACACCCGTTGCTGACAGGTGTATGAAATCGAGCACACCGCCATGCAATCTCCATAGACAAACATTGGCAGTAGAATAGCCTTACTGAAGAGCTCAGTGACTTTCAACGTGGCACCATCATAGGATGCCACCTTTCCAACAAGTCAGTTTGTAAAATTTCTGCCCCAGCCAACTGTAAGTGCTGTTATTGTGAAGTGGAAATGTCTAGGAGCAACAACAGCTCAGCCGCGAAGTGGTAGGCCACACAAGCTCACAGAACGGGACCGCCGAGTGCTGAAGCGCGTAGCGTATAAAAATAGTCTGTCCTCTTTACCATTTGGCAGTCCGACGGACGAATCTGGGTTTGGCGGATGCCAGGAGAACGCTACCTGTCCAAATGCATAGTGCCAACTGTAAAGTTTGGTGGAGGAGGAATAATGGTCTGGGGCTATTTTTCATGGTTCGGGCTAGGCCCCTTAGTTCCAGTGAAGGGAAATCTTAATGCTACAGCATAGAATGACATTCTAGACAGTTTGGGGAAGGCCCTTTCCTGTTTCAGCATGACAATGCCCCTGTGCACAAAGCGAGGTCCATACAGAAATGGTTTGTCGAGATCGGTGTGGAAGAACTTGACTGGCCTACACAGAGCCCTGACCTCAACCCCATCAAACACCTTTGGGATGAATTGGAACGCTGACTGCAAGCCAGGCCTAATCGCCCAACATCAGTGCCCGACCTCACTAATGCTCGTGGCTGAATGGAACCAATCCCCGCAGCAATGTTCCAACATCTAGTGGAAAGCCTTCCATGAAGAGTGGAGGCTGTTATAGCAGCAAACGGGGGACCAACTCCATATTAATGGCCATGATTTTGGAATGAGATGTTCGATGAGCAGGTGTCCACATACTTTTGGTCATGTATTGTAAATGCATGTCTCTCGTCTGCCCTGCAAGCCGGTCGGGCATACGCGTCACACTCCCTCATCTGATTGGTCGTTTCCCACGAACCTTAACCCGGCATACGCGTCATCACACTCCCTCATCTGATTGGTTGAGTAGGCGGGCCTTCTGACTTTGTGGCTGTGGTAACTAATGACGACCCCAACACAACGGTCATGGCTAGAATGGATCCATCTTTTGTCAAATTAACGTTTTTTTTGTTGTTGCATTTTTGCTAACTCTAACCATTTTCCTAACCTAAACCTAATTCCCCTAACCTGCTACGTTAATTCTCCTAATCTGCTACGAAAAGTCAATCCAACGTTAATTTGACAGAAGCTGGATCCCTTTTAGCCATGACCCAACACAACGGATGTGGATTGCGGAATTACGGTTGCCGAAGAGCGACAGTCAAATGAATATCAGCAGCAGAGATTTGCTGGCAATGATCTTACTGCGCCAGTAGGGAGCACTGTCTGCTCAAAGTACTACGATCCCAGTTGCGGCTAATGAAGATAAGTGTTAGTGGAGAGGTGCATGTCCAAGTCCTGACAATTTATCTGCATGTAAAACTATGATTTGGATCCAAGAGGGTATGAAATTCTAATGACCCTACAGATAATATAAAAACATAGAGCTACTGATCATAATGCAACAAAAATGTATATAGACATTATCATGTCTACAAACATTCTGGTAATGTTATAACTTACTAAATCATTTGTAAAATATGCTTTAATACTATTAAGCATGAATTCCTCACTGAATGAAATCCATAGTGCATTGAACAAAGTAATGATGAAATTTGTGTTAGCCTATATTGCCTTTAGGTAGACCTGTATGTAATAATACATATATTTGGATTATAATGGATTCACCCCTCACATCAATGATGATTCCTTCCCTAAAGATGTGTTGGTTCTGTAAATCCTGCGTAAATGAAAATAAAAACATTGAATACAGTATGTAATCATTATAAAAGGTACAAAAATGTAAGGAATATGTATACTGAACAAAAATATAAATGCAACATGTAAAGTGTTAGTCCCATGTTTCATGAGTTGAAATAAAAGTTCCCCGAAATTTTCCAAAAGCACAAAAAGCATATTACACGCACATTTTGTGCACAATTTTGTTTACATCCCTGTTAGTCAGAATTTCTCCTTTGCCAAGATAATCCATCCACCTGACAGGTGTGGCATATCAAGAAGCTGATTAAACAGCATGATCATTACACAGGTGCACCTTGTGATGGGGACAATAAAAGCCCACTCTAAAATGTGCAGTTTTGTCACAACACAATGCCACAGCTGTCTCATGTTTTGAGGGAGCGTGCAATTGGTATGCTGACTGCAGGAATGTCCACCAGAGCTGTCCAACCGGCCTCACAACCACAGACCACATTTATGGCGTTGTGTGGGTGAGCGGTTTGCTGATGTCAACGTTGTGAACAGACTGCCCCGTGGTGTCGGTGGGATTATGGTATGGGCAGGCATAAGCTATGGATAACAAACACAATTGCATTTTATTGATGGCAATTTGAATGCACAGAGACACCGTGACAAGATCCTGAGGCCCATTGTCGTGCCATTCTTCCACCGCCATCACCTCATGTTTCAGCATGATAATGCACAGCCCCATGTCGCAAGGATCTGTACACAATTTCTGGAAGCTGAAAATGTCCCAGTTCTTCCATGGCCTGCATACTCACTAGACATGTCACCCATTGAGCATGTTTGGGATGCTCTGGATCGAAGTGTACGACAGTGTGTTCCAGTTCCCGCCAATATCCAGCAACTTCGCACAGCCAGGTCGCAGTTGTAAATGAGAACTTGTTCTCAACTGGCCTACCTGGTTAAATAAAGGTCAAATAAATAAATAAATAAACAGCCATTAAAGAGGAGTGGGACAACCTTCCACAGGCCACAACGAACAGCCTGGTCAACTCTATGCAAAGGAGATGTGTCACGCTGCATGAGGCAAATGGTGATCACACCAGATACTGACTGGTTTTCTGATCCACGGCCCTACTTTTTTTTTGAAGGTATCTCTGACCAACAGATGCATATCTGTATTCCCAGTCATGTGAAATCCATAGATTAGGGCCTAATGAATTTATTTCAATTGACTGATTTCCTTATATGAACTGTAACTCCGTATAATCTTTGAAATTGTTGCATGCTGTGTTTATATTTTTGTTCAGTATATTTTATGATTATTTGTCTAATCTTCATTAGGCTAGTTAAATTCTTTATCAAATCATTGTCCATTACATTCAATAACATCAAATAAAAAAACAGTTTAAAAATCAACATTCTGGAACTGTTGGGAACAATTCCTCAAGGTGCTATTTGGGACAAAGGCTTACATTTGCTGAGGGAATGCCAGTAGATAAATGCAACTTTTTAAAGCATCAACAGACAGACAGAACCAGCAGTTGGTTTTCATGTTACTCAGTTGACCTGTCCTGAGTCCTCCAATTTACAGCTCCTTCTCCTGGCATCTCCATTGCCTTTGGGGTCAATCGGGTCAGTTTGTTGAGACAGGGCAGTGCCCACTTTGGTGCCAGCTGACCCACCCCCATTAGTAGGCAGGGAGCGCAGGACCTGCTCACTGGGGCGTTTCCAAGAGGGGTGAGTAGCGATCCAGAGGATGATTCCTCCAAAAATAACTATCAGTACTCCCAGTACATTCACAAAGGTGGCCTCTGGGGGAGAGTCCTTGTATTTGGGATCTTTCCTGAGAGACAAAGAAGAGTTATCTATAGATGTAATATGTTTATAAAATGGGGTCTCTCAGTACCAAAGTTTAGTGTATGTCCCATATTTCCTGTGTTATAAAACTTACAGGCCAAAAATGAGCTTCTCTGTGATGCCCATAAGTGCAGTGGCTATGACACTGGCAAAGATGAACAGGCCACTGTAGATGTGCAGGGGCATAAATGCTGCTCTCAGGTATATTGGGGTGATGGGTATCAGGTATATACACACTCCCAGGACAAGCTGCTCAGTAAAAGAGGGAAACATCAGGAAACTCTGTCAAGCACTGTAATGAAGAATGGAATGGGCTATACCGGTCTTACTGTGCCATAAAATGTACTTCATAAACAGCCTACACACGTGTCCATGCATAGAGCTGTAGTTAAATAGTTAGAAAAAAATCAATAAGAATGATGGTTTATGACAAAGCTTTATAATAATATAATCAATATAATGAAGCATTCATTAAGGACATTTCTACAGCATCATAATAGGCTACCCAATATATTTTGGTGCGCTTACCTGTAGTGAATAAAGTATCACAGCTGCTAGCCCCACCCAGCTATGCAGGCTGTACATGTTGGGGATGTTTTGTGAGTTGTGGAAGTCAAATACTGCTACCAAAGATATGGCAGCGAAAATGAAGGCCAGTATGTTTAAGCCAGCATGAATAAACTTCATCATTAACTTACTGCACTTCCAGGTCCATGGCAACCTATACACGACAATGGCTGAAACAGACAAAAATAGCCTACTTATTCAACTGATGTTTAATCATCAAAATGCATTAAATCCAAAGTGATTGAATGAGAATAATACTCTGAGATTAGCAATTCTTGCTATACATACCAGATGTTGTAGCATCCTGTTTTTGACATCACTATGAAGTAGGCCTACTTCTACACATAAAATAAGACCTTCATCGCATTATATAGTTTTCATTTAGTTTAGTTTAAGTGGTGTAGGCTAATAGTAGTTAATTTTTAACGAATGTAATCAAAGGCAAATACCAATCAAAGTTACTGTGTCATTTAAGTTAATCAGGCTACACTCAAGGACACTCAGGGAGGTAGCCTACTTCAAGTGGAAGAATGCAAATGGTCTGGAATGTTGGTAGCAAAACTGAGTACAACTCGTTAACTTAAACTTTTGTAAAGAATCAAAGGGTCTTGTTTTACTCAGAAATGCATCAGGGCAACATTAGCATAGATAGTGCTCTAACATTTGTCTACAACAAAACTGATGAAAATAAAGCCAACAACTGAAACAGTGACTGGTTTAGAAAACAATGCATCTTTCTTTCAATAATAGTATCCTGACAGTGAATAGATACAGTGTAGCCTTTTTCTTTGGGTTACTTCGGAATCTTGTGAGAAAAATATTCCAGGTTGCAAACTGCTTGTTGAAATAACTTTCAGATCAAAATAACTTTTTTAAAATTTAGACTGTCTCGGCCAAACTCAATCGCTTCAGATCTAGCTGAATTCTGTACTAGAGAGAGCAATAAACAGACACAAACTTCTCACCAATTCCCTGCATAAAAATGAACCCGGTAACGATTAAAACCGGGTGCCAATTGAATTCGGCCAGTCCTCCATCCCATGCTAAACCTTCCTTGAAGTAGAATACCCATCTCAAAACAAAAATTATCGAGACAAAACCAACGGTCACTGCGGCGGACAGAGCGAACAGGAACTGCTTGAAATTCTCCATCGCCAACACTGGATTAATGGAGGAAGTGATTTGAGGTGTAGTCTCAAACTAGAGGAATTTCAAGTGGTTACTTGAGGGAGGGAGGGAAGGGGGGGTCATGAGTCATGATTTTCCAATAACAAATCTGCTAATGTTTTCAAATACCAAAGTTTTGTAAACTCCGTTGTTACAAAAGGGCCATACAGAACAGACTGGTCTCATAGACTAGAGGTAACATAGTAATCGGTCAATCCGGGACACTCAAATTAGTATGATATGTTACTTTTGGTATGGTTATGTAAGACAGAAGGTTACTTAAGGCAAAAATGAAAGGATGATGATTGGTCGGGGTGGAAGGGGTGGGCGTATAACACGAATGTATAATAACCCAAAGGCTGCATGTTTGAATCTCATCACAGACAACTTTAGCATTTTAGCTAATTAGCAACTTTCAACTTCTTACTACGTTTTAGCTACTTTGGAACTATTTAGCATGTTAGCTAACTTTTCCCTAACCCTAACCTTAACCCTTTTAGCTAACCCTAACCTTAACCCTTTAACCTAACTCCTAACCTTAACCCTAACCCCTAGTTTAGCTAACATTAGCCAGCTAGCTAACGTTATCGTTAGCCACCTAGCTAACATTAGCCACAACAAATTGGAATTCGTAACATATACGTTTTGCAAATTCCTTAACGTACGTTTTTGCAAATTTGTAACATATTTTGCAAATTCGTAACATATAATACGAATTGTCATTCGTAACATATCATATGAAAATGATTATGGACATTCACAAATTAATACATACCATACGAAATGTAACATATCATACTAAATGGAATGTGAAGTATTTATGTAAAGAATGATACGAAATGCTCTGAGACCAGGTTACAGACACAGCAGTTATAAAACAGATCACCGGTGTGTTGTGCACAACATTAGCATGAGAACCAATAGAAGAATCACCATTTGCTGTTCAAAATATGTCCCGAATTGAAATAGATTAAAACGAATAAAAATTGAATTATGCCACAATTGGACTAGATAATGCTAAACAAGGTTGGAATGTTTTTATACAAAATCAATAAAAGACAATTATTAGTTAATTTGACCCCCCAAAAATAAAACATCTGTTGAAATCGAACTGTGGATGTATTTGAATTGAGAATTGCATTGGGGGCATACTTATTTGCACTGTACAGCCTAACCTATGGATTGTGAACCCATGAAATGGCGTATCAGCCTACAGAAGTGACACTCACAGAACACAACTATGTAGAGTTTACACAAATATTAGCGTCTTAGCTCTTATCACAGGACTTTGATTGTGGGAAATCACCTTTCCAGTCAGTCTATGGTGTGTTGGACATTCATATTGCACTGTACAGCCTAACCTATGGATTGTGCACCCATGAAATGGGGATTCAGCCTACTCAGTGACACCCACAGAACACAACTGTGAAGAGTTAACACACATATTAGCATCTTAGCTCTTATTGCGGGACTCTGAAACCACTGAAATGAGCAATATTAAGCTCACCAGTAAAAAATAAATAAAAATAAAAATACAAATTATATATATATATATATATATATATATATACTGAACGAAAATATAAACGCAACATGTAAATTGTTGGTCCTGTGTTTCATGAGCTGAAATAAAAGATCCCAGAAATTGTCCATACGCACAAAAAGCTTATTTCTCTCAAATTTTGTCTACAGATTTGTTTACGTCCCTGTTAGTGAGCATTCACATTTCTCAATTGCCAAGATAATCCATCCACCTGACAGATGTGGCATATCAAGAAGCTAATTAAACAGCATGAAATTTACACAGGTGCACCTTGTGCTGGGGCCACTCTAACATGTGCAGTTTTGTCACACAACACAATGCCACAGATGTCTCAAGTTTTGAGGGAGCGTGCAATGCCGACTGCAGTAATGTCCACCAGAGCTGTTGCCAGATAAATTAATGTTCATTTCTCTACCTTAATCCAACGTTGTTTTAGTGAATTTGGCAGTACGTCCAACCGGACTCACAATCGCAGACCACATGTAACCACGCCAGGCCAGGACCTCCACATCCAGCTTCTTCACCGTCTGAGACCAGCCACCTGGACTGCTGATGAAACTGGGGGTTTGCACAACCGAAGAATTTCTGCACAAACTGTCAGAAACGTCTCGGGGAAGCTCATCTGCGTGCTCGTCGTCCTCACCAGGGTCTTGAACTGACTGCAGTTCGGCGTTGTAACTGACTTCAGTGGGTAAATGCTCATCGTCGATGGCCACTGGAACGCTGGAGAAGTGTGCTCTTCACAGATAAATCCCGGTTTCAACTGTAACGGGCAGATGGAAGACAGCGTGCATGTCGTTGTGTGGGCGAGCGGTTTGCTGATGTCAACGTTGTGAACAGTGTACCCCATGGAAGTGGTGGGGTTATGGTATGGGCAGGCAGGCAGGCATAAGCTACAGACAACGAACACAATTGCATTTTATCGATGGAAATTTGAATGCACAGAAATACCGTGACGAGATCCTGAGGAATGTCGTGCCATTCATCTGCCGCCATCACCTCAGGTTTCAGCATGATAATGCACAGCCCCATGTCGCAAGGATCTGTACACAATTCCTGGAAGCAGAAAATGTCCCAGTTCTTCCATGTCCTGCAGACATGTCACCCATTGAGCATGTTTGGGATGCTCTGGATCGACGTGTACGATAGCGTGTTCCAGTTCCCGCCAATATCCACATCCAAAAATATGTTTCTACTGGTGTCTTCGCCCCAGGCCATTAGTGACCATTGCCCAGTTGTTTGTGTTAGAGATGTGAGAATACAAAAATCTAAGCCTTGTGTCATCAAAAATAGGAACTTAAAAAACTTCAGTGAACAGGCTTTTTTACATGATCTTTATTTTGATTGTATTTCAGCTATCCCTGAACCTGATTTAGCTTTCCGTCTTCAATACTATTGTGGATAATCATGCTCCCTTCAAAAAACTATGGGTTAAAGGTAGGTTGAATGCCTGGTTCACTCCGGAATTATCAGAAGTAATTCATAAAATAGATGATGCTTGGGTCAAGGCCAGGAAGACAGGCTTAGGCCCGTACTGGCAAGCTTTTAAGCAACTATGGAATCATTGTGTAAGACAAATAAGAAAAGCTAAATCTGATTATTATGTAACCACTCTTTTGGATTGTAATGGGAACCCAGCTAAATTCTGGAAAACTGTCAAATCCCTGAAGAGTTCTACTTCCTCCTCTCAGCCACGACAAATTAATTCAGACACTGGCCTCATTACGGACAAAAATGCCATCATTGATGCATTTAATCACCATTTTATTTCAGCAGGCTATCTCTTTGAAATAATGTTTAAGCCTATTCACAATGATACTGGGCTGGATGCTGATAGGGGAAACTTGCTGAATGATCAGAGAAATTATAGTCAAAGCTTTTCTTTTAGGCTATTTACAAAAAAAGTCCTGGATGCTTTGCTAGCAATAGACAACAAGAAATCCACAGGGGCCAACCAATTAGATCCCGGTCTGCTTAAGAGTGCAGCACCCATCATTGTTGGCTCAATAACCCACATTTTTTATTTAGCATTGTAATCAGGAAATATTCCAAAAGCACGGCAATCGGCTCTTGTGCTGTCACTCCATAAGGGCGGGGATAGTAGTGATCTTAATAATTATCGCCCCATTTCAAGGCTTCCTTGTCTAGCTAAGATTCTTGAATCCTTGGTAAATGTACAACTTTGGTATTTTTTATCTGAGAAATGTATTTTGAATGTAAACCAATCTGGGTTTAAGCATAGCACTATTATGGCAACCACTTTAGTTGTTAATGATCTTGTCAATGCTTTCGACACTGAAATGAAATGGGCTGCTTTGTTTGCCGACCTGTCAAAAACTTTTTATACTGTTGATCAAGCTATTTTATTGAATAAGTTGTCTTCAATAGGCCTGCACACTGACGCCTATTCATGGTTTCATGATTATCTTAGTGAAAGAACCCAGGCCATCGTGATTGATGGGGTTACGTCTGAATTTCTTGAAGTGCATAAACAGAGGTCAATTTTGGGACCTGTTCTCTTCACTATTCATATAAACACCATTGGTCATTCTGTAAAAAAAAAACTTAATTTATATGCGGCTGATACTATTATGTATGCTATTGCCCCGACTGTTGATCTGGCTGTGTCAAAACTACAGTCAGGAATCCCTTGCTGATTTAAAACTTGTGCTTAACACGGGCAAAACGAAATACATGTTGTTTTTAAACTCTCGCAAGAATGTTTCAGATTAACTACATGTTCACTCATTAGATTGTTCTCCAATTGAACGTGTTCCCGCACATACAGTTGAAGTTGGAAGTTTACATACACCTTAGCCAAATACATTTAAACTCAGTTTTTCACAATTCCTGACATTTAATCCTAGTACAAATTGTCTTAGGTCAGTTATGATCACCACTTTATTTTAAGAATGTGAAATGTCAGAATAATAGTAGAGAGAATGATATATTTCAGCTTTTATTTCTTTCATCACATTCCCAGTGGGTCAGAAGTTTACATACACTCAATTAGTATTTGGTAGCATTGCCTTTAAATTGTTTAACTTGGGTCAAACGTTTCGGGTACGCTTCCACAAGCTTCCCACAATAAGTTGGGTGAATGTTGGTCCATTCCTCCTGGCAGAGCTGGTGTAACTGAGTCAGATTTGTAGGCCTCCTTGCTCGCATACGCTTTTTCAGTTCTACCTGCAAATTTTCTATAGGATTGAGGTCAGGGCTTTGTGATGGCCACTCCAATACCTTGACTTTGTTGTCCTTAAGCCATTTTGACACAACTTTGGAAGTATGCTTGGGGTCATTGTCCATTTGGAAGACCAAGCTTTAACTTCCTGACTGATGTCTTTAGATGTTGCTTCAATATATCCACATCATTTTCCTTCCTCATGATGCCATCTATTTTTTGAAGTGCACCAGTCCCTCCTGCAGCAAAGCACCCCCACAGCATGATGCTG